ACCTTGGTCCTGCCTATTACTCCGAGAGCGATTTTTAAGCTGGGACAAGGTACGGAAGCATGCAGTACACAGTATCGAAGAAGTATAAACCAAACAAAGGAGAGTACAGCCAGTGGTAAATAACTCGAGCACACACCTCCTTTCTCCGAAGAATGAACAACATCGAAATAGTAAACAGAACGTGAAAAAGAACGTGCTTTGGACATGATAACGAAGGGTAAAAAAGAGAGAGGGGAGTCAGTGGAATTGCGAACGGTCAGGGCGGGCGGGATTAACCGATTACCCGAGCGCAGGAGATGCAAAGATACGAGAGCTCAAGAAAGTGCGCTGTTTTTTATTGCAGCATGGATCCTTATTGGATGAGATAGTTCGCCCGCAAGTCATCGGTCGATCGGGGTTTTGTAAGGCGAAATACGTGTACCAGATGGACATGAAGTTCATCCATTCTGACTGTTTGCTGTTTGTTGTGTGTGTCGGAGCATTGAGGGATCACATCATGATAGGATGTCCATGGCGCGCTTTTTTTATGTTTTTTTTTGAGAGCCGATAATTAGTAAAACGAGACACATCTTATTTTTTATATCAGAGTTCCGTCCGTGGTAATTTGCATACAGTAGGTGCACCTTCATGTGAACTTTTTTCCATGCATGGTGGCATTGAGGCAATATATGTGTTGGTACGCAGGTTCTGATTCCGTGTTTTTGCACCTCGATCTGATCTTCCTCATTAACCTGGGCCACTGCCGTTCCACGTCTCTTTGGCTTCGATCTGTCTGGCCCCTTTTCTTGTCCCTGGAACTTAGTCCTCATGCCTTGACCTGCCTTCACTTCCTATCCTTTCATTCAATTTCAAATGCTGCACCCTTGCGTAGCAATTCATTCGCACTTGTGGTCTAAGGAGTGGGCGGGTGCAAAACTACAATTAACAATATCGCGTACCTTTTGCTTAGATATTCCTCCTTGTGCATTGATCTTTAGGAGTTTTGACCTCTCATCGAGGGCTATTACTTCGCTGTTTTTCTGGTCTGCTTGCGCGTGTACCTTGAAGGCGGTTGTCCCTGTCAAGTTGTATTTTTATCCAAAGTCATCGCGCACACGACAACAAGGCTGGCTAATTGCTAGTTGAGAGCCATGAGGAATAAAAGAAAGGTTTTCGAGAGCATTCAGGTTTTGATGTGATGTGGTGTCTTGCAGTGAGTGGGTATGATGCGAAAATCGGCCATTTAGTTCGAGGGCCAAATAAAGGCGATGCTGCAGGTCAAAAAAAGAAAACCCCTCACTCATCGGATGCTATCCACGAGGGTAGGGGGAGGAAGGTGATGAAGGGTCATGTAGAGGAAATATAGGGTGGCAAAAGCAAGGGGAATAACGTGGCTAATCTTTTCTGCTGATTGCGATTCTTTTCTCTTGCCCATCCTTTTGTCTCCGTCCCTGTGTCACACACTCATCTGCACTTTTGTGTTTTTGTCACAGGCACACAAGCGAGAACAAGTTCCCTTGAAAGATGCTTGTAGTTCTCCACTACCACCACCACGTTATTATTTTCTTCGTATGTGGACGTTGAAATGACGAATCCAAAAGCTACCTCATGATTTGTACTGCATTCCACCGTGCCCATCTAGCCAATCAGCAGGCTCCATTCTGGCTACCTTTTTTTTCTTCCCTTCTTTAGTGTGGTGTGGCGGATCGAGGAAACGGCAAAAAGCTGTTGCCGGGTCATACTTTTTTTTTTTTTTTTGAATAGTACTCAGGCCCTCGAAGAGAACCCAAAAAGCGAGGGAAACTGATCGTAGTAAAGCCTTATTACGTATACACAGCGAGGGAAATGAGGCGAGTGCGCAAAGAAAATGTTGATAGGGAGAGAAGAATATGGGGTACCCCTCTCTTTTTCTACTTTCCCCAACGTGATGCTGCTCACCAAACAAAAAACAAACTGTCGTTGTTATTTTCGTTCTTTGTGCTCTGATCATGGACGGAAATTACAGTGGACGAACTGTAACGTGAGAAAAATTGAACCATCGGAAAGATAGAACTTCCGTTGTGGTTATTCTGGTCTTGTGGACACACCTTGCAGGGTAGATGGGCAGGGGGATTACAGTGTAGGGAGGCGTCCCACATTAAAGATAACGTTGTTTTTTCATGGCTTTATTTTTTCCTGTGAGAAAGTCTACTCTTGTCTGATCACAAGAGAAAGAACCAGGCTGGGCTATACGACAGGGCTGGACGATATCTCGTCATTCTTCTCATCCCTTCACTTTATGCTTGCTGACTGAACGACTCACTTGCCAAGAACACAAACCTGAAGGCTTGGAAGAAAATAAACAGGCGAACGCACAAAAAAAGTGAGATCAATTGACAGCCAGTCGATTCGCTGAGCAGATGTCTCTTCGATCCACTCGGAGGTCATTTCCACCAGGCATGTTTGTTTTATTGGATCTCCTTTGCGCTTTGCGACTGTTGCTAAGCAATTAGAGCGAGAGATAAAAAAGTAGACAAAAACGAGTATCGATGAATTTTTTGGCTCACAGAGCTAGGGGAGTGAGAGATCGGACAAATTCGCAAACCTGCAATTATGCTCAATGTTCGTCCTTCTTGTTTTCGTTCTTCGACCTTCTACTCTCGACTGTCTGACCGAAGAAGATAGTCAAAATACTTGTTTTTGTTTGTTTGTTTAGCTGTAAACAACGCGCACGTACGCACATGGACAGACTGATTGCTCGGAGCGAAAAACAAGAACTGCACAGACTGCAAATCACACTAACGATAATAAAAAATAAGTGGTAGACAGGAATTGAAGATCTTACGGAACAATCGAGGAAGCGAAAATAGTCAGTCGGCGATAGGAGGAACAGGGGTTGTTGGGGTTGTATAGGGGAAAGGGTAAAAGGAGAAAGGAGGGAGTGAGCGAATTACTGGCCACGCTGAATTGAAAATGGGAGTTCATCCACTCACTCACGCGCAGCTTTGGCTACGTGGATAGGACCAAATAGAACACCAAGAGATTGAAAAGAGATGGAGGGGAGGAAAGAGAGAGTGAAAGGAGGAAAGAGAGAGGGAAGGGATGAGAAGAATGATGGGTAATCGGGTTCATGACGCCTATGACACGATGACTCTTTGACCGTTCGTTGGTCATGTATAGCATTTCGTCGCGGATGAAATGTAAAAGTACGACTGTGACAGCAAGACGACGCTTCTATGCCTACGCCCATCAAGGCACGTCAACAAAAAGTTTGAGAAAATGGACAGGACACAATGCAGGTGACACTCTTCTCATATCCATTGTATTAGGAAAGGGCTAGCGGTAAGTAGGAAAGAGAGTGAAAAAGAAGAGTAGAAAAGAAAGAAGAAAAAGTGTATTCATATAAGTATGTTTGTGTGAGATTTAGTTTTTGCCCTTTTGAAAGACCTTGATGGTTTGGCCTTCGGCATCTGCTGTCAATTCGCGACGAACGAGAGGGCGCTGCAAATAGAATCAACCCTTTTATACAGAAAGATGAGAGTAAAAGAAAGTGGGAGTTGATGGCGAGAGTGTGTGTTTTTATCTGAATGTAGAAAAGGGTGTTGTTGAGGGAGATAGATAGGCAATGGATGAATGTCTATTGTGGAGATGATCTGCTTTTTTTCTTGCTCCTTTCTACATGTTTTTCCTTCCAGTCGGTTGATTTTTCATTTACATTTTTCCAGCTGATGGATATACTGCGGGGAAGAGCATCAAGCAACAACTGCCCTTCGAAAAAAAAAGCGACCGAGACCTGGCCAGCCAAGGGGGAACCATCAGCTCGAAACAACTCAAAGTCCCATCACCACCACCACTATCACCCTCATCACTTATGAACCCATCAAAAAATAAAATCAGTCTCGACTGAATTGATAAAGCCTATTCTTTTTTCTTTTCTATGACGAGATTTTCGCCTTTTTGAAAAAAAGTATTACAAACGACTCAATTGAATTGAATACAGTCATAGAATGTGCCATATTCGAGATAACCCACTCACTGTTCATTGCTTTGCAAACATAAAAAACCAACTCGTAGTCGTCGTTGCCAGCCAATGAAAATCGATTCTTTCTGAACAATGGGTAAACAGATGTCCATATCTCTCTCACTCACTTGTTATCCTTGTGCCTGTGAACAAGAACGCAGTGCTGTGGGTCCACGGCCGGCGAGAGAATAAAAAATGGCACTTTTGATTTTCCGCGCAGACAGATATACTTTCCCTTATTTATTTTTTATCGCTCACGACTTCGCTTCTTCCTTTCATCACTTTTCTTCTTCTTCTCTTCGACTTTTACTCCTCTCTCTCTTCTCTCTCTTTCTTCTTTTCTTCACTTTCATCCTTTCATCTTTTCATCTTTTCATCTTTCACACTCCTCCCTCATCATTCATATCATCTCTTCTACACTCTTCTCAACAACTCCAACCCGCTCCAACTTGCTCCAACTTGCTCCAACTCGCTCCAATACAACTCACTCACTCACACCTCGTTCCTCGATCCCCGCCGGCTATTTGTCAACCATATCTCACCAATAGGCAACCTGCGACAAAAAAGAACACTTCTTTTCAACACTCAATCCCTCACACGACTATTTTTTTCACTTCTTTCCCTTTTTCTTTTGTCTCTTTTTTTTCATAACTCGGTACCTGGATCATCCTTTACCGTTCTTCTCCTTCTCTCTTCTCCTATTCTCCACCCTGGATTAACACTTCCCTTGCATGTATCCAGTCATCCTCTACATCTTCCGCACTCCATCACCACTACCCGCCAAACTGGATCCAGCCATAGCTCCACTCCCAGCTCACCCATAAAGGCGCCCCATCCCTTTTGTTACCCTTCCTCTTCCTTTTGCTTCTTTGCCAAGAACAATCCTCCCTACTCTTTCCTTCTTTGTTAATAATACGCCCACTTTTCTTTGTCCCACCCTTCTTCCCTTTCTGACGCCCTGACCCCCTTTCCCGCAACCATCCCAATTCTCCCCCACTCAACCACACACATACCCATAACAATGTTGACTACTTGTCCTGTCCAGATCCTCCCTTCTACCTCCCCTGCCTCCCCGGTCCCTAAGAGAACAATCGCTGTCTCTCCCTTGGTCCGGTCAACCCCGTCCCTGGAAGAGGAGGGAAACTGCGATATGCCTCTTACATCTGATCAATCAACACAGCAACAGTCTCGGCACACCCCTCATGTCCTCCATCATGTCACGTCCCGTCTTGTTGTTGCTGCCCAATTCTCTCAGGATCCTCTTGACGACGAGAACGCTGATGTCTCGAGCCTTGGAGACGATTCGGAGGCGGATCGGTCTACTTTGGCGGATGAATCTCCTCGTAGTGCACTTGCCCCCGTGAGACAGGGGTCTTCGGGGTCTTCGTATTCTATGATGTTGCATCCCTTCCAAATGGAAAACTCTCCGTCGACTTTCTATCAGCAAAACACTCAGTCGCACGTTTCCTCTCACCAAGGTTCACATCACCACTTGACGAGGACCAACACCGATACCACAGATGTCCTGCTCTCGATGCCTGCCTCGATCGAGGCTTCAAGACACAACTCGGACGATGAGGATGATAGTCACTCGCCTTACCCTCGTCATCATCGTCATGGGCATGGTCATCACCACAGCCACCTCCACCCACATGCTCCTCATCATTATCTGGACCAACAACAGCATCACCACACCTCGTCGATTCAGGACTGGACTCAGCGTCGTCAGTCTTCGATCTCCAATTCCGCTCAGCAGAATTTCTACCTCCAGGTACCACCCAAGCAACAGCCAAAGGCGGAGGAGAAAGTCGAAGTCAAGCAGGAGTCCGCCATCGAGGCCCCATTGGTTCGGGAGATCACTTCTGCATTAGAGGCAACACAATTGTGCAACGAGCCCGATCATGAACAGGAACAGGAACAGGATGACCTGCGCGATGACGCCACATCGGTCGCCGTCTCGTCCGTCGAGGAGTCCGTCGCCACCGACACCGTCGCCCGCCCCATGCCCATCCCCAAATCCAAGGTCCCTCACACCTACCTCCCCGCCTCGCCCGTCTCCCCTAAGAAGTCTTCTTCCTTCTTCTCCAAGCGTCGCGATTCAAAGCTCTACCGCAAGAAGTCTGCCCGTGAAACCTCCCATGGCATCTTCCATGACCTCAAGCGGTTCTTGAAGGTCCACTCCAATTCTCCCCTCCTCTCGCCTTCTTCCCCACCTGCTAGTCCTGCTGATGCGTCGTCGCCCCCCAAGATGAAGAAGTCTTCGTCGAGCAGCAGCCTCCACAGCGAGTCAAAGCACCATCACCAGGGCCCCCACGGCAACGCGATCGAGACCAACCTCCGCAAGAAGTACGGCAAGATGGGCAGAGTCATTGGCTCTGGCGCTGGAGGCACCGTCCGTCTCATCACCCGCGAATCCGACCACAAGACTTTTGCGATCAAACAGTTCCGGAAACGCAAGGCCACCGAGTCTGAACGCACCTACGTCAAGAAGATCACCTCCGAATACTGTCTTGGCTCGACCCTCCACCACCCCAACATCATCGAGACCCTCGACATCATTCAGGAGGGTGACAGCTTTTACGAGATCATGGAGTTTGCGAAGCACGAGTTGTTCTCGTCGGTCATGTCGGGCGCCATGGTGCGGGACGAGATCGCTTGCTGCTTCAGGGGTATTGTTGACGGTGTTGCCTATCTGCATGAGATGGGTGTGGCACATAGGGATTTGAAGTTGGATAACTGTGTCATGAATGAGCGTGGCATTGTCAAGATTATTGATTTTGGATGCTCCATGGTCTACCAGTTGCCCTTTGAGAAGCAGATCCAAATGGCCAAAGGTAAACAAAAAAAAACCAGTTTTTTGCTCTTTTATTTCGATGCATTATTACTCTCTCGTGTGATGCTCACCGTTGAAAAAAATAGATTACTAACCTTTCCTCTCAATTCTCAATACCACCAACTAAATAGGCGTATCTGGCTCAGACCCATACATCGCCCCAGAAGTCTTCACAACCGAAGAACACGACCCCCGCCTGGCCGACGTCTGGTCGCTCGGCATCATCTTTGTCTGCATGACCCTCTGCCGGTTCCCCTGGAAACTCGCCAAGACCGGCCCCGACGCCGACCCCTCCTTCGAAGCCTACGCCAACGGCTCGGGGGCCGGAAAGGCCCGTCTCCTCAAACTCATGCCCCGCGAATCCCGTCCCATTCTCGGTCGCATGCTCGAAGTCGACCCTGCTAAACGTGTCCTGATGAAGGAGGTGCTCGAGGACGAGTGGGTCAAAGGGATTGAGGTGTGTACTTTGCAGTCAATGTGCTTGTATCACCCTCATCATCTGGGCGAGGACCCAAACTGCATCTCGAACCCCAACCCCAAGCCCCGGTTCCATCAGCAGTCGGCCTATGTCAAGGATGAAGATGTGAGAGGTGTGGAAGTCGAGTCGTCGGAGGATGAAGAGGCTATTAGTGTGACGACGGCTTCTTTTACCAGTATCCAGATGGCTGTTGCTCCCGTCCACTAAGAGTGCCCTTTCAACCCTCCTTTTTCTTTTTTTTCCACCTTGTATTTTTACTTTTCCATATCCCTCGCATGTAACAACACCCCTCCTCCTACTCTTAGATAACATACACCGCAATCTGTACCAATTTATATACTAAAAACAACCGCATCCATCACGCTTGATACCTGCTGTGCTTTGTTTGTTTGCTATGCTTTACGATTATGCTTGATGACATGAGACAGGACAGCAGGTTTTGCCTTGGGTAACTGGAGTATGAGTCTCGTGATGGCAGTGAGAAGAATGACGTCTTATCCATTATTGTGCATGCAATCACCAAGACTAAAAAAAGCCACGCTGACAAAATCATACTGAAGTTTAGCCTTGAACACGTTTTTTTTATATCTTTCGATCATGCTCTCACATACTTACACCATGGTCCCCACCCAATGCGCTCACCACCACCACTTGTTTTGAAATACCAACACTATCATAGCCTAAAAATACAATTGACTTTTATTACTCTCACTTCTGCCTCTGGCCCATCTGAACAGGCACCGACACAGTCGCCGTGGGATTCGAGAAGGAAGGATGATAAGCATGATCCATCAACATGGTTACAATCCCCGTCCAGGGAACATTCACAAACGTCATACAACACCGCAGACTCTGAGGTGCCTTAACAAGCGCCTCAATCTCCTGTCGCGTCCCGACGCCGTTACTATTGATCATCTCCTGTCGCGAAGACATCGAGGACCCCTTCCCGTCAGATTGTTTCTCTGATCCACGCTGTTGTTGTGAAGAGGAGGGAGAGTGTGGAGGTGAGACTGAGGAGCCGAAGCTTGGTGTGGACTGGTTGAGGTTCTGGGTCAATGAATGCACAGCCGAACTCGTAGGTGTCGTCACACCGCCACTACCACTACCACCGCCAGCTCCATTTTCATATCCTCCACCTCCTCCGTTAGCGCTATTGCTACTGTGATCGTTGTAACTGCTACGCTGCTGAAGCTGCTGAGGAGTCTGTCCAGTCGCCTGCGCAAGCGTCGCCAACGAGATCCGACGGAGCGATTGGAAGAACGATCCTGACGAGAACGACTTTGCAGTCGATGAGACGCTTGCTCCTGTTGGTGAAGGCGACGTACTCGATATGGGTCCTGCGTTTTGGTTGTAAGAGGATGGCGAATTTTCGATTCTGGAGGATGGGTGATGTTGTTGCTGTTGACCATTGACGTTCCCGTATCCTTCTGCAAATGATGTCCTTTGGCCATTGCTATCGCCATTGCCATCGCGATGATGGCTGTCGTACTGACCGTTCGGTATGGGTGGGAGCCCCTTTTCAGAGTTGGATCGAGGTGAAGTAGGCGATCCTGATGTGGTATCATCTAGTGTTGCCAGGTCATCCCCAATACTCGACGCCGTAATTGCCACCTGTCGAATAAATATGTATTCCAAAGTTAAATCTCTGTGTTTCTCCAAAATAACAATAGGGGGTGAGATATATGCATCTATAAATTACCTGAGCATGACCACGCGCACCTGGCCCTCGCATCATGACAAATTCGGTGGGGACAGTATGAGGTCCCAACTTGAACCGCCTGCCAACCTTGGAGGCCGCCTTTTGTTGGTAGATCCCAAGAAGACTCTGGAATCCCGCAGCACCCTGGAACAATGTGATCTTGCTCCCACCACGGGTCGAGGTGCTAGGAAATGGACGCCCAGGTTGAAGCCCATCTCCTGTAGGTGATTGTGGGTTGTTTGAATCCTGGGCGGTTGCTTTGGTCCGACCATGATGCGAGGTGTTCAGAGTGAGAGGTCCCGACACTACTGAAGATTGTGGTCCTGATGGTTGGTGATGGGTAGTAACGGTAGAAGTTGGGTATCCTGTCCTCGCAGTCGGCACCGTCACAGCAAGTTCGACACACAAGTATTCATTGTCGCGGACCATAAGCTGCTCAAACGAGTCCTCAAAGTCGTCAATCACATAGTAGATCAAGGGCCAGGAGCACTCGACCGACTCTTCCTTGACATCCATGCGCGATTTTGTCGGTGAAGCGTAAACATGTTTGGATACATGTTTCCGTGTACATATCATACTCGTCTTTGTCGTTCCTGTCACTGGGTTCGTCTCTGACACACGCGAACACACCGCCACCGTCAGCTTGCACTGGAGCTATCAATGCAATAGTAATATGTACAAGAGGCGTTAGTCCCAGTGGCTCTGCTAAAAAGAAACAACCACAAGCGAGAAAGGAAAAGACAGTAAACAGTACCTGGACAATGACGTTCAAGAAGAAGGTATCCTTCCAGAGAACAACATCTTCCTGTTCCGGTGTCAAGATCCCCCGTCCATTGGTGCCCTTGACCTTACGTTTGACAAACACCGGATCAACACCCAGTCCGCCGTTCTCGGCTTCGTCCGATACCCGTTGAACAAAGAAGAGCAAATCATCGTTCCTGTCATCCGATTGATCCGATACGAACAGTTCGTGGAACAACTGTCTCCATCTATTTCGTTTTCGTCGATAACGAAGCAACCAGAACAAGATGATAAGAAACTCGAAAAAGTAAGTATGCTGTAGCAAAATTCCTGCAAGGGATGATGAACAAAGACAGCCTACAAGGGGCAAGGGAGGAGTCTCCTAAGCAATCTAAGCTGAAAAAAGGGTGCACAGTACGGGAAAAAAGTACCTTGGATCATGCGCGTCAAGATCGATGTCATGGCGCTGCGATTCCCGAAAGTCACGATATGGGTCAGCATGTGCTCCCCTGGCATGTCCTAGTGTCTGCGCTTGTTGCGCCTGTCGTATCGCATGGTTCTTGACAGTATCCTGCTGTGTCCCAGGGTCAATGGGGCCGTGGAGGTTCTCTTGGACCAGTCTGTCCAGTATAGCTCGCAAATTAGACATTTTGTGTTGGCCTTCTGTTAAGTGTTGTAGAAAAAGAACGGGCTGGAGAAGGAGGCTGTAAGGTGTGAACAAGGAGGGGAAAAAAAAGATGCAGCGAGAGTGTGTATTACGTATGGGTATGAAAGAAGTGTGGTTGCCTTATGGTGTTATTACGAAGAATAAAGCGTAAAGTATTGGTACAATAGAAAATGAAGAAGGAATGCAGAGTGGTGCTTTCACGAAGGTGTGTCCATGGAATGTGTTTGCATGAGCGAAAGTGGGAAAAGAGAAGAGCAGTATGAGAGGCGGAGTTGGTGTATGATGGAGCTGGAGGTGGTGGTCAGGAGACTGAAATGGGGAGAAAGTTAGAGAAAGGCAGTTAGGGTGTATGAATGAGGAGAGGACAATGAGAGAAGGAGGGCAATGACAGAAGATGGTGACGAAAGGGAGAAGAAAAGATGAAAGGAAAAAGAGGAGGCGAATGAACAGGCGACGACAAGAAAAAGGGAGCCACAAACGAGAGCAACAAAAAAAAGTCTTCACTAAAAAGGTTAAGCAGAAGAGCGTTCAGTAGACACAAAGAATAGAAGAGGAAAAACAGGGGCGACAGAAGAGGGGAGGAAGGAGACATACACGACAGACATTCTCGCCTCTCACCGACAATGATTCAGTAAGTAAGCACACCTCCGTCAGGACCACAGCTGGATGAATACGGTCATGGCCACGCTGCATTCAAATAAGCTACATCTCTTGCTGATAGTTTCCATCGCGTCAGGTACGCGTCCCAGTCAATCAATTGATCTGTTGCAAAGCCTACAACTAACTAAGCCCCCGGCTAACTACTCTTCACCATCAATCAGTCCAAAAACAGAGTGTCGCTTCTTGTCGAACCCTCGCCCCAAGATCCCATGCCTCGTTCCAAGTCATCACCCTTGCTTCCTACGGTCCATGTCCAACTCCTTCAGCAACCCTTGTTAGCTCGACAGTCCACTCGTTACCTTCAGTTTCCACCATTTCTCAACCAACCACGCCAGCCCATCGCTCAGCAATTCTGAGAAAAAAAAGTGACTTAGTCGAAGAGGCAATGATAAATGGAGCTGTGGAAAGTATGAGGAGAAAGGAAGAAACTACCGGTTTTGAACAGCGTGAAAGATATAAAAAGTTCGCTGATCGCTCCTGAATTTTTTTTGGCGCAAGTGCATCCCTACTTTACCAGCCGTAATTGAACCAAACGAGGGTGCAGAAGCAATCAAGGAGAAAGAAAGAACGCGCCTTTATCTTGATGTTCGTTCAGGCGCCAATATACTCTGCACCATTCATAAGTGTCCGTCCAGGGCTACCAGCAACGCGTCGTGTAGGCGCATTTTTCTTTGAATTGATGATTGAGGAAGAAAAGTAGGTTCGTGGTAGCGAATGATCGCAAATGCTGCAAATCGCTTGTCTATGCCGGCTGCTCAAAAAAGATAAAGGCAGTACTTCGTTTAGGTTCTCTTTTCTGCTCTTCACACTTTTCCTCTCCTCCCCACACTTCGTCGCCATGGTAACCTACCGCACTCATCTCGACAGTGAACATTCGAATCAGTACGCCGCTCAAAGGAAAACAACAGCATCAACTCAAGACTCACTCTCTCATCCTCATCACGTTTCTTCTGTCTAGGCCAACTCATCACAAAAAAAGATTGCTCATGAGAACACAAAGACCCTTCTCTCCCTCCGCAAAGGGTTCATTTGGGTCAACGTAAGTCTTCGTCTTCCTCTCTTTGCTCTGTCATTCACCTTTCCTCGTCATTCAATTGATACTAACCCTCCTTCTTCCCTTATCCAACAAAATAGGCGTTCTATATCTTCTACAGGATCGTCTACCACTGGAGCTCATTTGGATTCAAACTCGCAGCGGGATACACCATCACCGCTGGATTGACCTTCTTCCTCTACAGCCAGATTAACGCCATGTCCCAGCCTCGCTACAACAACAGGGGCGAACTTGCCGATGCCGGCCAGGATCTCTCCCAGGAGGGTCTCGTCCAGTAAGTTTCCTTGGCGCTCGTCTTGTTGCGATCGGCTGAAATTGAGGATTTTATCTCTTTGTGTGCTCTGACTGTCGAACTGAATTGGATGCAGCCCAATCATTGGACAAGACGAGGATAAAGTTTGTTTTTTCTCTTTCCTTCTCGTTCTTTCGTTTCCCTTGGCTTCGACGGAGTACAACCGCATTCACCACCCCATAAAATTATTGCAAATACCATTTGTCATGGGAAATGAAGAGCACCCGCTACGTTATCTTTCTCATTGTGAGTGCTTGGCATACTGACATGCGACCCTTCACGCTCTTGTGTCATTGTGCAACGAATAGGTACGCATTTGATATTATTTACGTTACTTGGTTCGTCCATGTCGTCTCTGCCTTCTGGTCCAAAGCCTGGTGGTTCTACCTCGCCGTAAGTTTCCTATTACATTCTCATTGACACATATCGTCACTTTCGAGTGACAGCAAACAGCTTACAGGACCATGGATCATGAACACAGGAAAGCGAACGACCAAAAACTAAACGTGGATCATCCTTCACCTTTGTCTCTTATACAACATACACATTAGATCCCTGCATATGCTGGATACAAGGCATGGCACTTGGCCATCAAGCCCATGTTGGGTCGCGGTGGATTGGGTGGTGGCTTGGCTGGTATTGGAGGAGATGCTTCTGCAGCCTCGGGAAGTGGTGCCCCCGCCGATGGTACAAAGTCCAAGAGACGTGAAAAGATGGAGAAGCGTGCCGAGAAGGGACCCACTATGAAGTACCGCTAAACGTCGTTCAATTTCTTGTATTGCTGGAAAACGGGATCTATCAGGATCTGGGAGTTCTTCAGGAGATATAGCCGACAGACAGGAAGAGGGCATCGTAGAGTCCTTTTTCTTCGAATACATTGTAACATACTTTTTTGACAGATCATGTAGGGAGCATGTTTTACAGGAAGAAAGATATGTTTTTAATGGTGGTCTATGGAAACAAGAGGGATATTTTACAATGGATTGGTTTTGAGGAATGTTACAAGGCGGGATGAATAGTGAGGAGAGGGTAAAACTCTCGACGAAAAACGCTGGTAGTTGTCGTCGTCATGTTGTTCTTGGAAGATTGAAAAGGCTGGTTTTTGCTCGACTAGAACTTGATGACAGGAGGTGTGTGGCTGTTGCTATGATTTCTTCCGACGAATTGCTCCAAGAAGAATGGCTGATCCAAAGCCTGCTCGATCGTCATTGTCCAAAGCTCGTCCGGTCTTGGTTCTTGGACTGAACTGCGGGGGGACAAGACTGGAGATGTTGCTGTGGAGCTTGAGGCTGAGTGTGTTTTGTTGGTGTTCTTCCTTGTCGAGATCTTGAACAGCGTCATTGTTTGTTGATAAAGGGGGGTAGGGAGGAGTTGGTGTCTTTGTATAGCTGTTTGGTTTGTGTGTGTTGGGTTGTCGATGGTTTTTTTTTTGTTGAAGATGACGGAGGGAAATGCTAGACCTTTTATACTTGGGTAAAAGCAAGTGTCCTCTTTGCCCAATGGCCTGTATGACGATGACTCCATTTGTTGACCATTCTAGTTAACGGCAAAGAAAGAAAAAAAAAAAAAAAACGGAAACTCCGCCGTTCAATGATGTAGAATGTTGTTCGATGTTCGTTGCTTCATACAACTTTGAGGCTTCTTTTTTTGTTGACATTTCCCTCGCTTGCACTAAAACGGACGACCCATGATGTCATAGTGAATAGACAAACCACACGACATGACCCTTCTTTATTTCTGGTCTGGGCTCAGCAGGCAAGGAAGAGTAGGACCATGCCAAAGGAAAAAAAATCTTTGGTTTTGTTCCAAGGGTGCATCCAGATCTCTTCGATCACTTCGGGGATTAAAGGTAGGGTACGGGCGCCACGAAAAATGACATCATGAGATGGACTGAGAATCGATCAGTGAGTGAGGTTAACGGTCTCAGGTAAACACACACACTCTCTGGCGCTACCATAAAAGTCTTTCCAACATCCTGCTCCAGCGGTTCTGAACCATACTCTCACCGCTCTCAGTTTCATCCTTTCTGCCTCGGCTTTTACGGCGCGTGGATCGCCCTGGCCAAGCAGGCACAATTGCAAAAGGATCAAGTCATTAGTGGTACAAACGAAAGTGACCCTCCTCCCGTCAGTCCGCTTTTTTTTTATTGTTATCAAGTAATAGAGTTCCTACCAAGTCGACGGAACCATAGCGCAAGCTGACACTTTGAGAACTGACAACTCTCCATCATCAACTCATCCATCGTTATCTCCTCTTCTCCCCTTCTCCTCTTAATCTCCTTCTCCACCTCCTCCACCGTATCTCCGTCACCGTCCATCTTCTTCTGCGCCTCCTTCTCCCGCTTGCGCCTCTCGCTTCTCATCCAGTACTTGATTCTTTCAAGTAACCTAAACCCCGAATCGGGTCCACAAACCGACAGTGCCACATCCATCGCTTGTGTCCAGGACTTTTGTCGGATCTCTTGGTTTGTTTGGAGGGGGATTTCCTGGGGGAAAAGTTGTGATAGCCTATGCGTTTTGCTGGTTCAAATGTCTTTGTCCTTGTCGTTGTTGTGGTGGGAGAGAGGGCGTGGGAGGATGACGAGGAAGAGGTAAAGAATTGAAGGATTCATGGCTTGGAAGATAGTAAGTGCTTGGTTGATTAACAACGGGGGAAAAAAAAAAAAAGTGCATAGCAAAAAGAAAAGGAAAAGGGGGGGGGGGGGGGGGGGTCGTGCTAAGCATGGCAAAGTCAAATCCTCATTTTTTTTTTTTTATTTATCTCTATATTTTTTTTCCCGCGCTTCTTCACACACCGTTCCTTCCCCACTCCCTCGTAGAAGTAAAAGAAAGAAACGGAACCATCTCTCCCCCCCACCCCAGTAGAATCTTCCTCTACTGACCCTCCTCACCAACCTCATCCTCACCCGCAGGAACAACCCTCACAAACAACACCGTCAAGCCCGTCCTGTAACTCCCATGATCTCTCATCTGTACAAAAACCGTCGGTTCCTCCTTCTCGACCACAAGCACTTGGGGGAGCTGGAAAATAAATGCTTCTGAGGGGTTGATCTCTTCCTTGTTGGTTGCCGTGGTGCGGGCGAGGAAGTTATGAGTGGTGGAGGGTGTGTATGTTATAGTGCTTTTTTCAACGTTGTGCCATTCCGGGACCTATTGAGAGAAAAGCCGTAGAAAAGAGAGAGAGAGTGGATGGTCAATGTCAATTCGAGTCTGATGAATAGGTGACATTCAAGAAAGGAAAAAAAAAAAAAAAAAAAAAAAGAAAAGGGGAAAAAAAAAAAGTTACCTCGTCGCGAGAAAATGTAGTAACTCGGAACTGAACCCCAGAAGTACAAGACGTATCATCCAACGCCAGACCCCACTGGACACGATACCGCCCCGGTCCAACACCAAAAATGACCGCGCTCACATCCAACCACCACAGTCCTGATTCCAGTTTCGCGACCAGTCCGTAGGGGCTCCTGTTATCACTAACAAACCCCCAGAAATCGTCTCGGTGGCAGATGTACATCTCCTTTGGCGGTACCGCTGTCCTCGCTACAATTGAAAGAGAAAGGGAGTCCCAAAAAAAAATTAACTGTCAATTTCTCTCATTGGAGAGGTAAAAAAAAAAAAAAAACTAAACATTGGCACATTCCTCTCTCTCTCCTTTCAACAAAGGGGCACTTACAATACATCCAATACCACTCAACAATCTTCTCCTTCGCCACCACGCTCGTATCCTTCACCTCCCCAGCCTCCTTATTAACCAACTGCCTCGTCAGGTAGTCCCTTGGATTCAACAAATAAAGCAACAAGCCCCTCCCCAGCCATAACACAAACCGCTGATGCCACACCCATCGCGTGTCCAGGTTATAATAGACATATTGACAGGTCTGGAGGAGGGACGCGAAGGTTGAGCAGGGGAGGAGGAGTGCGATTTGCATTAGGATATCGAGCGGGATTTCCTGGAGTTGGTTTTTTGGAGGCGCAGGTTTGGGTTTATAAGGTGGGATTTCGAGTGAGGCTGCGAAGGAGGGGGAGGAGGATGTGATGGTAGTGGTGGAAGGTTGCTGGTTGACGTTGATGTTGTTGTCTACTGGTTGGACTAGTGGGTGGTGACGAGTGAGTTTCGAGTCCAGGCAAGCACGTCCTCCTCCTGCTGGTAGTGCTCCTCCTCCTCCTCCTCCTACTGGTGGTAGTGCTCCTACTCCTGCTGTTGCTCCTGTTGCTGACGTTACGTGTTGCATATTTCCTTGCAGCGTTTGTGTCCTGGTAGTAATTGGAAAAAAGTGAATAAGGAAAATGCAGTAACAAAAAGAAAAAGAAGAGAAAAAGAAAAAGATGAAAAGAGGAAGAAGATAACGAAGCAGATTTCACGCAACCTTCCAATGCGCCATGCGTCACTTTGGATTTTTTGTTTTCCGCTATTTTTGGGCTGACCTGAACGATGGGCCTCGATGCTCTGTTTATTCAAGAAAAGGCGGGTACAATATCGAAGGTAAACACCCTCTGACGCCTCCACAACACAATTCACATTCACCTTCACTCGTCCTCCTCCTCGTCCAGTTCTTCGTCTTCCTCCCCAAAATCCTCCTCCTCGGCACCATTCGCATTTCCGGCCTCCTGCCAGTTCGGGCCCCAGAGAAAGTTCCCCCACTGGGAAGGAGCAAGCCACGCAGGTGTTTCTCCCGTACCTCCGGTCACCCACTGAGCAACCGTATTATATACACCCCCACCACCAGCTTGTTGTGGATCAAACTCCCTCCCGGCCTGAACATCATCATTTGCCGCTTGCTCCCTCTCTTCCCATTGAGGATCCACTGGCAGGGGTATAAACGCCTTTGTAGGGTCATCAACGCTGACCAGACGAATATAATCGACCATTATTCCAGATTTGGCTTGATAATCATCATGGTTCTTGAACTGCACAAAGACTGTGGGGTGTTCGGGTCCTACTTCGAGTTGATCGGGGAGTTGGAGGAGGATGCGACCTGGTTGGAACTTGTCCCTGGTGGTTGAGTTTGTTGCCTTGACAAAGGATGATTCTCTGGTGGGCATGAAGCCGATTGTGTCTGGGCGTGCATTATCCCACGCTGGAATCTGTCATCATCCAAAAAACAAAAGTACACATTAGAAAAAAAAATCATGCATAAAAAAAGACCAAAGAAGGAGCGACATACATTAACTAAAAACCAAAAAAGAAGAGACTCACCTCATGACCAGGAAGGGCGACGGCCCGAAAGAGCGTGTCCTTGACGCCGGTGAAAGAGTTGACAGTCAAATTCCACTGGACATAGTACCGTCCGGGAAGGACGCCATGAAAGACCGCACTGACGTCGAGCCAGTTGACATAACTCAGTCGGGCCACCTCACCAAACTGGCTCGCCGTGTCTTCCACCATGGACCAGTTTCTGTTGTTCATATGGATGATGACCATGTCCCTTGCTGGGATCGTAGTCCTGGCTACAGTAGAGAATGGGGATAGAAGATCATAGTAACGTCATTAGCATGATAGATCGTAGGTGCAGTCTCTCGTTGGCCTAGTAAAGTAACCCAGAAACATGGGAACAAGAGGAGAAACGTACCATATTGCCGATACCAGTCCATCAATTGCTGCTTGGTCGCAGAGCTTGTCAAGCTCAGGTTACTTTTAGGCGCTTCATCCGGGATTTCACCATCCACAGTCTTAGGCGTAGGTTCAACCTTCAAGGACGAAGCAGTGGCATCCTCCTGAACCTGTTTGAGCTTGGCGGCCAAGAGGGCTTGTCCCAGGCGGATCACGAACCGCTGGTGCCAGACCCAATGGGTATCGAGGGTTTGATGAATGTATCGGTTTGTCTGTAGGAGCCGTCCAAATTCGCGACAGGGTAAGGCGAGGGCAATGTCGATGAGCACGTCCACTGGGAGGCTGCAGAGTGTTGGTGGTGGTAAGGACGTGGACATCTTTGTTGTGGTGAATGAGAGAGTATGTGTGTGATGAGGAGGAAGAGTGAATGAATGAATGAATGACAAGAAGAAGAAGAAAAGAAGAATGGAAGGATGGATGCACAAGAAAGTGTTCACTCTTATACCAGTTGGTCGCAGCTCAAGTCTTGGCATGGCACAGTAGTAACACGCTCAAAGAGACAATTTTTTTCGCCACCAAATTCAATTGGTCATGCAAAATGAGTGTATTAGAAAACCGATATAGTGAAAAGTGGTGGTGAGGAACAGGCTGGTTACTCGCCCATCTGGAGACCAAAAGAGAGGGCCACTCTCGCGGCCAGTTCCCGCCTCTCATGCTCCGGCAAATTCTTCCCTTGCTCTATCAATCACAAAAAAGAATTCAAATGACTTTTGATGAGAAATTGCACACAGCACAGCACGACAATTATACATCAATGCGATCTGGGCTGGAGGGAGCAAATCTAATGTTTACCTCGAAGGCCTTGGATGGTAGCAATGGTCTGCGCCATGCCATCATTATCATCAATATTCGAGAACAAAGCCTTATGCATCGACTTAATCGATTCCTGGTTGGGTGTCGACATCCCGTCCACTATCATCATTTGACACATAACCAATTATTAGTAACTTATGTCAAAACCATACACGATATGAAGTTGTTTAAACCCCAATTGACATACCTGAATAATGAAACTCAAAGTCATCGAGGGCATCTGCACCGGGCTGGGCGCTGACAAAGTTACCAAACTCAAAATCGTTGGATCCATCCAGCTCGAACGACGCATCTCTATCCGACGAAAACTCATACGACGACTCTTTGCCACCACCGGTGCCAATTGACGAATTGGTGATATTACCACCATCTGCAGGCTGACCCAAAAACTGCCGGAACTGTCTCTCCAAAGCCTGCTCGATAGGATTCTGACTGCCCAGAATAGAAGATGTTGAAAATGAATCCTGACTTGACCAGAACTCCAAATCATCGCCATCCAGCTCCTTCATCGACTGACTGCCTCCAGTCGATCCAAACTCGTCGTCAAATCCTTCCTCGGTCATATTGCCACCGTCCGTCGTGGTCGTTCCAACGCTAGTATCGGCGGTTTGTTGAGATAATGATCCGTTTCCTGGTGCTGATGGAGAAGATGACCGGTTCCGCAAATTGAGTTCTGCCAGTGCCTTGTAAAACGCTCGGTCATCATCTTCGTCGTCTTCATCGTCATCGTCATAATCCTCATCATCGTGCAGTTGACTGAGGTCACCCATATCCTGGTCATTGAGGCCCATCCTTGCTCCTTGGTCTCTCCAAGGCCCATCGCCAAGCATGTCTGCGTCGTCGTCCTGGAACGACATCATCATACTCCGCTCGTGGAGATCGCGTTTCTTGCTGCTCTTTCTCTTCAGGCCATCCCACATGTGCGCCGCCAATGCTTCCAAGATCCTATCAAGCCCAACATGTTCGTCTAATATGTGTAATTGGTAGCCAACATAAAGTTAGCAACCGTTGCTGGCCATACAATGGGGCGTACATGCAGTAAGTCAGAGCTCGTCTGCCTACCGAGATTCGAGTTCAAGGGCTGGTCCTGGAGATCGATGAATTCAAACCCATTGGCCAAGCACCAGTCATCAAAATCCTCAACAACATCGCTCTCCAGTCTGCTTTCCTGAGCATTCTCCTGATCCATGGGTGCATCCGTCGCCACACACAGAGTGATAGAAGGCTCGTGTCTCTCCACAAATGCCAGCCAGGGCTTGATGTCGTGAAACGTTGAAGGCTATTGCAACAACACAAAGAGCAGCCAGCGTTAGTAATCAATTCCTGCGAAATTGGGCTGGCAACATGGCTATTCATTTGAAACATCCAAGAGTCAGTCCTATTGTTTGTTGTACCTGGTTCTTGGAGAAACAAAAGACGACAGCCTCAACAACAGCACCCATCTCATCCAGATCACCACTCTCAATCATCCTCTCCAGCTCAGTACCTCCATGGGCCTCGGTCTCGTCGATCCAAAAGTCGACCTCGACCGAGTAGTACTTTGTATCGATGGTCCAGGGGATAGTGACTCCAGAGTGGTCGAGCTTGGGCCTCGTTGTCATGGTGGTGTTCATCTGTGCCTCGTCCATCGTCTCTTCTTCTTCTTCTTGTCCTTGGCCTCCTTGATGACTGTTTTGCGAATGCACCGATCTGGTCTGCGCAGGAGAGGCGAAGAGCGATTGTTGTTGGTGTGTAGATGAAACGGGTGAGAATGGCGAGGAGTGATGACTACTATGACCGCCGTTATGGTTACTGGTATGGTCAGGTTGTGCGGTATTTGGTGGCGTCGTGGGCGACGAAACCGTCAATCCTTGCAGTTGAAGTTGCTGAGGGTCATCCAGAATCGTCTCCTCAATCGTCGGTACAGGAATCGCCGGTAAAATAAGTGGTGAAGAAGGTCGAGACTTTGATGCAGAAGTCGTCGGCACGAACCTCGATCCCAAGATGGCTAAAACAAAAACCATGCGCACAATTGTATAATCCTCCGATGTTAGTTATTGTTTTAAAACGCATTCTTTTTTTTCCACGGCGTATTAGTGATTCGAGAAAGAAGAGACGGTACCCTGGACGAGGGAGAGTTTTCCAACACCTCTCCTGCCGACGACGAGGATCTTGTTGCGAGGCAGGTTCTCGGATGCAAGCATGGTCAAGTGTGAGTGGGTGTATGGAAATGTATGTATATAGTGTGGTGGGTATGAGGAGGAAGGACGAAGGAAGGAAATGAAAGAAAAGGGGGGGGGGAAGTGCGAGAGAATCAGAGAAGGTTCGAAGTGGTGACAAATTCGTGCTCACTCACGCCTTTAAAAGCACTAATGCCGCTGGAAAAAGTCACCTCATTCGCTCTCTCTTTCTCTCGAGAGTGTCAACTCAAGCTGTCTGTTGTCACACTTGGTTGTGGGCTCCATTACAACAAACAACAGCTGTGAACAAAGTAAGAAAGAACTCCTCGCAGCTCTATCCAATGGACTTTTTTCATGGCCATGACACTGCACAACAGTCTATACAACTGCGGAGAAATGAACACATTCCCGCCAATTCTCTTTTTTCATCAGGTCAATGCTGAGGGGGAATCTATTAGTGATAGTTGTTTGCCTATGTGCTCAATCTACATCTAAAACCTTTTCTCTTCTTTTTGCTCCCGTTCTGAGTCTCTATGCGCTGGATGCATCAATAATATATCTAAAAAGCAATTGACATGAATTAACGAACATATGTTAGCGAAAACGTGTCTTCTTCATACATCAATTCATGCCAAAAAGTGATAAAGGAACAACGGTATCAGATAACGCACCCCTTCTTGGCGACAAGGCCTCTGCTGGAAATAAAGGCCGAGTACTTGAGGACAAAGTTAGGAGTCAAAGACGCAGCAGCGCCAGGGAGATTGGGCTGCAACAAGGCAGCAAATGTGTTCTTGGGCAAAATCTCAACAGCGTCTCCGTGTGTCAACAGCTCGATTCCTTGCTCCTTGGCATAGTTGATCAAATCCCGAGGAAGCACACAGCAGTCCTGCAAGTTGACCTGGTTGACCTCCGGTGCGACCGCATTCACATCCTCGGCCGTGGCCAATGTCTTCAAAATCTCGAGCTGCTGCTTCGAGAACTCGGCAACTCCCAAACGACCGATCCGTCCTGACTGACGCAACTCTGACAACTTCTTCCAGAGGGGCAGGACCGAGGTCTTGATCTCGGTGGTGAATGCCTCGACCTCGGACTCGTCCAATCCGTTCTCGTCAAAGCTCTGGTGAGGCAAGGAGAGAATAAAGTGATCAATCTTGATGTCGGGGATTCCCATTGCGGTCTCCAGATCGGCAAATGCAATGGTCAATAGCTCAACTGAGAGGGGTGTTCCTTCCGTTGCTGAGAGGTAGAACATCTTGACTATTGTATGAAATGATGGACATACATTTGACGTTAGTATTTCACTCTGTGGTTGTTGCCTCTAGACTAGCCAACATTAATTAGTCAAAGTGAGTAGGCAAGAGGCTTACCTGTGACTTCATAGAGGGAACGATCGCCAGCCAATGGTCCCAAGCTCGTCTCGTCCGTGATGGTGATGGATGAGCCCTTGACACGGGCAGTGTCGACCGAGTAGAGCAATGTGTCCTGAACAGCCGAAACCAACTAATACGAAGACAAGAAACAAAAGGTTAGATATCGATGTTTCAAGAAGTATCTGACGAGAAGGATCCCTCCTGGTTGCCATAACGGCTATCGTAACCCGCAACCAAGTTCGGGTTGTCGGTTCTTTCACTCCGGAGTGTCAAAAATATAGCCGGAGTCATAACAACTTCCAAAAGGTAAAAGATCCAACCATTCGCATTTGTTTTGTTTCTTGTCCAACTGTTTTGTTTGTCAAGAGATAACAGTGCACGACCCCTTTCACTGCTTCCTTCTCATCTTTCCTTGCATATGAATCCTCTTTGTTTACCCTTGCAAAATTCTGGTGCTGTTGTTACCCGGTGGATCGGTGAACGTGGTGCTGGCGATGCTGTCGAGAGACGGCTGTTTAATGCACTCTTTTTTTCCCCAAAGCGTGCCAGGTCTCTTCTCCCCTTGCACTGTCTGTTTATCAGCCTGTCAGTTTTCTCCACCAAAGAAGAGAATTGGATCCGTCGTTCTTACCTCTTGGTTCGACTTCTTGAGCGAGGTGTTCAATTGGCCAGTGGTCCCCGTACGCATGGTGTTTCCGGTATAGAGGGTGAGGTGTGAGAAGGCATTGTTGGCGAATGCGCTTGTGCCACTAACTTCTGTTGTCGACTGGCTGTGGTTGTTGTTGTTGTGCTCGGCTGATCCGTTTGTGTATCCGTTGGTGGCTCCGTTGTGAGCTTCTGAAGAGAGTGCGGTCATGGTTTGATATATGTATATGTTGTCCTTGAGGGGGAGGTGTGGTCTGCTTGATGTCGAGTTGGTGGAATGAGTGGAGAGGGATGAAAGATGAGAAGGAGAAGAGATGAATGGAACACAAAAAAGTGAGAAAGAAAAACTTTTTTTTTAACAGAATAAAGTTTTGAGTGCGGGTGATAAAAGTGAAGGAAGAGAGAAAGGGGAGAAAGTGTGTGATCAGATCGCTTTTTCTTTTTTTATTCTTTCTCGGTGTGAATGAACTTTTTTTTTTCTGTTGTGTTATGGTTGGTTGTGATGAGAAGAAGTGGACGAAAACGTGCAGGCGAAGAAGAGTGAGGAAGGTCGGTGGAGAGAGAAGAAGATAACAGAAAGAAGAAGGTAAAATAGCCGTGAGAAGAAGAAGGTAAGAGACACGATCGGGGCAAAATAGGACTCTTGGATGGATACGCAACGATTATTAATGCTTCGCGGCGGAATGAAAATAAAAACCATGAAAAATTTGATTTGTCAGAGAGGAAAAACAAGAAAACGCCTGCAACTTACTATTGCTCGGGGAGTACTCAATGGTCAGGGGGGAGAGAGGGAGGGAGGAGAAAGCAAAGCGAGGCTTTTTATGGATGGCATTGTTGTTGCTATCCCCACCCAACAACCAGATGTGAGCACAGAGTGATCCAGGGGGGATGGCGAGACATGACGAGAGATGTCAGACCAGACTCAACAAAACAAACGAGGCAGTGAAATGAAAAAAGGGCAGGGGGACAGAGTCAAAGGATAAGGAGGTAAACAACTCTACGTACTTTCCAACAAAACAAAAGAAGGCACAACCAATGGAAAATGAGAGTCCACTATATCCACAGTGTCCTCCTTGCCAGATGGGTTGATATGGCACCATTCCACCTCATCACTCCCATCCCTACGCAGATCTCTTCTCTTCGGCCGCGAGAAGGGTTGATTCGCATTCTTCTCAGAGACATGTCCAGCCGACCTCAGCTCAATTGATTGCCACGTTTAGATCCTGCCCTTCTGTCCATCAATTCCCACAGGATCCAATATTTACGTTATGCATTATTTTTGTTTTATTCGAAAAGACATCTCAATGCTCTTCAATGCCTATCGTTGGTCCTACTCGCACACATCTAAATGGTCTTGGTGCGTGTTGGGTCGGTGTTCGCGGGGAATCTTATTTTTCCTAGTCGGAGGATCGGATATTCCTGAGCACATCATTCTCGTTATCGTCCTCATCATCAGAGATGACAAGCTCGCGCTCGAACAATGCAATATCGACATCCACATCTCCCTCCTCCATGAACGTAGCATCCGACTTGGCCAAGCTGTGATCGCGCTCGAACAGTTGACGACCTACGCGCGCCGCGTGCATGAAAAATAATGTTTTTTTTGTCGAATGGTTAGAAAATTTGCGCAGATCATACCAGAATAGAAAGACAACTTATATAGCAATAGTCATGACTAAGTTTTTTTCGGAGTGGTGGGAGTAATTCCTTACCGCTAGGCTTCAGCAACTTGGGATCATCCTTCTTCAGACCCTTCTCGATCCGCTCCTTCTCGGCCATCTCTGAATCGAAAGCAGTCTTCCATCTTGTGAAGAGCTCTACCGTCACCCTTGTTCCCTCCTTGCGCTTCTCCTCCTCCTAGTAGACGTAGAGTGAAGAGCGAAATGGGTCAGTCCTCGCAAACCGACATTTTCTTACCATTGCTGCATTATAGATCACAGCGTGTTTCTAGTCGACAAATCAATCGTTGCCGCACGTGTGCTATTTCATCCCGTTGAGTTTGTTTCGCCTTACCTCGAGCTCGCGCTGGGCTTCCTCCTCTTCTTCACGCTCCCTCCTCTCCTTGTTGTTGACAATGATTTCCGAAAGAGTATCCTTAGCGATCGAGGCCATTGAAAATACCATGCCCATTCCTATTGCCTCCTCAGCCTATCAATCACAGTTCGGAAAATAAACAAAAACAAGATATCGGTTTCGTTAGTTGGCGCCGTCTTTTTGGGACACAAAGGCTTTGCAGTGCAAATTGCGGCATGAACCCGCGACGCCGCCATTTTCACGCAAAGCGGCGTGTCGTCCAATACTCCAGTTTTTTTCCCAGTACGTGTCCAGACAGACGAACGGACGGCGCACTTACAGCTTCGGTGACTTTTGTCATGATGGTATCAAAGTCCTCCTCGTCCAGCTCGCCATCTTCCATGTCGATCGAGAACTCTGGTAATGTGTCGGGGTATGTTTCTGTGTACTTGACGTGCAACTTCATCGCATCTATTCATGTTCAGCATAGCAAAGTGAAGGGTAAGTTATCAATTGAATTGGGTCTGACATGTAAGGAAGGAGTCGATCGACTAAGCCATAGTAATGCCAATAGGAATAGGAGGAACTTACAGGTGTCGTCGCCGTCCTCCTCGTCGGGGACAATGAGGATAGTAAACTCGACAGGGTCGGCCGAGATCTCTTCGTATTCATCAGGGTAGATGGACTGAAGTGCCTCCAGCTCATTCGCCTGTTCCTCCTTGTAATCTATTGTCGTCCATTTGACAAAAGGAACCGTTCAGCCATGCGTAACGTTTTTCAATCAGGCACAGGCTCACATCCTTTGCAGCTTTTTGTTTTTTGTCGTTTTATTGCATGGATCCATGTCCTCCTGTTCCTTTACAGTGTCTGCCGAGTCCATGATTCATTCGTCCCTGTGTCGGTACCTGTCATTGTCCGTCGTCGTTCTGTTGGGGTTCGAAAGGGGGGGATGATTCAAAAGTGCCACCACTTCTCTCACAACCACCTTTTTTTTCTACTACCGCCCAGTCGCCCAGTCAAAGCAAAAAGAAGTGTTCAAAAGGCTGGCTCCAATGAGATCCAATGGCCAAGCCACACACTTTTCGAACAAAAAAAATCGCACCCTTCTAGTCCCTCGACAACCCTATCTCGCGTTCACGTCGCGAAACGCCTGATATGCCCTTCTTTGCAACCCACGAGCTCTTTTCACCTACACACCTACATAATCGGACAAAAGTCAATCGAATCTTGCATTCAGTCCTTCAAGGGTATCATGTCTGTTTTATTTCTGCGTATTCCCTAATGGCTCCATATCGGAGTGTTCCAACATTGCAGATACCCCCTGGATATGCCACACCAGCTCCTGCGGCAGCCTTTCCAACCCCAATAGATCCTTCACATCCGCCACAGTCATCGCATACGGAGAGTTCTGCTTATTGACCAAAACCAACAATGGAAGTAAGGTCAAGTCTTCGACTTCTTCTCGTAGCACAGTGGACAGTCGTTCGGCCGCCAGTTCCATCGATAAGGGGATCATGGTCCGCCGAGTCCCTCGAGGGCACTGTCGAAAGTTGGCCCGCCAAGTCTCGTAGTGTCTGAGAGCACGACTATCTCGATCAGTGATATCCCAGAGATTAAGGACTCGCTTGTCACGTTTGTCCTTGTAATCGAATTTGATGGTCTCAAGGTTCTCGGAAAGAGAGGGAGTGAAGTTGACGTACAGATCCATGTAGAGGCAGTAGAGGGTCGCGGTCTTGCCGGCGTCCGAGAGTTCCATCATGATGTAGTATGGTAGACTGTCTGTGACGTAGTGCTGTTGATGAGAGACCGGGGTTTGGGAGTGAGGTCGCTGCGCCCATCTTTTGCACCAAAATGTAATAAAAGTATAGAGTGTGTGGGGGTAAGGAATTGAGCTTATTGTATGCAGCAGTTGCACCGCGGCAAATATCGGGCAACCTCTCCTTGTTACGCTGGACAAAGTTCTCAATCTCTTGCATTCTATTTGACGCCAATTCTCATACTCTTATTACACTCTTATTAACCTCTTATTTAATCTAGTTGACACCAATTCTCCCCTCTCTCTCTCTCTTTCTCTCTCTCTCTCTCTCACACACTCTCTCCATCACTCTTGCTCACTCCATCTACCCTCCATAACATCCCATCCAAACATGTCCCACTCGCAGGCCCCAGAGAACAACCTCGTGTTGTGTCGGCATCGATGACGCCAGTTCCTGCAACGACGCAGCTGTTGCTCTGCCCTGTCTGCAGTCGAGCCTTTAAGCCAAGTAAGAACCAGAACACTAACTTGCGCCGTCATATCAAGAACATCCACAACATGTCACCAACGATGCACCCCCGCAAGTGCAAATGGGACTCGATACCTGACGGCCGCATCAAGGACGACAAGGACCGCAAGGAGCGCACTCGCAAGAGCAAACGTCTTTGGGCTCGCAAGTCCCGTCTCCGTCGCAAGGCCGAGGAGGCAGCCTTAGGGTTGTGCATGCTCAGTCAGGCGGTCTAAGACAAAAGGCTGCCCCCCCCCCCCCCCCCCCCCTCCACCGCCACTAATATTTACCCCCACGCCACAGCCCTCCCCCCCCACCCCCGAGTTGGTGTCAGAAAAATTGATGCTGATTGCATTCCTTGTGTCGGTCAGCAAAAATACTATGTCCATGTGCCCCAATCATCAGAATAGCGAAAAGGGAGGTCCGGTTCTCACAGACTGTGACAGCAGCGAGAATGCAGAGCGGTAGAGTGCAAGGCTGGCCGTCGCCAAAAAAAAAAAAAAAAAAAAAAAAAAAAAAAAGTGCAAAAAGTGCAAACGCGGCCGACCGTCACCAAAAAAACCCACCAAAATCCAAAATCGCGCTCGGCTCTTAAGGTTACGCCAGAAGCGGCCACAATGAGCCACCAAGTAAACCGGGAGAGGGTGGCCCATTTCGATGTTTAAAAGTATAAGAAAAAGAAAGTCAACACGATCATTAAAATAAATTAATTAACACAAAGATGTCAACAAGTTTGCTTTAGACGAACTTTTATCTAGGGGACTTGGACTGGCATAGGGAGGCAAAAATCATATCAAAGGCATCTGCTCAAACAAGGAAAAAAGATGGTTGGTGAGCAGGCGGCAAAAGTGACAGCTAAGCCACAAAACTTTCAATAATTGCCAAGGAGTGAGAACATCATCTCTCCTCCACTCAATTAAATCGACCTTTGCTAACATTCTTTCTTCACCAATGCAGGACAAGCGAATCATCGTCTTGGTGTCTCTGGCCTTATTAGTTGCTAGCACTTTAGCAGATGTGACGTCTCGGGAGAAATGGGACCGATGGTTACGATGGGGAATAGAGGAATGTAATGGCGATCCTTACTGCCTGAACGAACTTGTCTCGTATGATGATGCGGAGACGTTTTGTGAAAACGATCTCAGCCCTATAATTATTATTTTCAGAGACCAACCTTACGAGGACAGCTTCTGCGAGTTCATCCCAAAATCACCCCGCATTTCAGAGTGCGTACAGACTGATCAAGGACCAGCGGCATACACATAAAGAAGCACCACAATCAACCTCCGATCTATGAGCAATAACTCTTGGACTTCTATCATATCCGACATTTTAAAATGACACTCTTTTGCAATAAGGATATCCGTCTTTGTTTCGCTCCTTACCTTTAAAAATATATTTCTTTTTAACCTCGATGAACAAGCAGAGATAATGGGATGTATGTTTGTTTTTTATTTGTTTTATTGGAGAGATAGAAGGAAGAAAGAACAGAGTGAGTTAGAAAGGAGAGAACAGAAAGGAGCAGAGGGTGAGATGATCGGTTGGGGTCTGAGGAACAAGAACAGTGGAACAGAGGGGGTCTTCTCATATTCTCTACCTCGCATAGAACTTGCTCGAGATAAACAAGAAGAACTTCAAGTGTAAATAACACTGTGGGCAAATTACGACAGGCATTAAGTTGAAGTACCTGCGAGAGAAAGATAGAGCCTTTGGAATTGTTGCTCTCACAGCGCCTTTGCTCTCACAACGCCTTTGTCTCTTTTCACCGAGGACTTGTCCGGCGGTTCGTGAAAATTGTACGAGATGGGAAGCCCACTTCATGTCCCGCCCTTCCCATCCCCTAGTGTAGCTTTTCTTGCCTCGCGATGTTCTTACACGGATGGTGAGACTCTACGTACTGCACTTTTTTTCTTTTGTCTTTGGATTTGCTGAGAAAATAAGGTAGTGACGTTAGACATGCTCTCACAACGCCTTTGCTCATGCTCCCATGAAATCGAAAAAGCTGAGACTGATTGTTCTCACATTCACTTTGCATTTGATCTTCCTTTTGCCTCATGTGTTTGCATCAGTTTTTAGGCTTAAGATTTCGGGCTGATGTCTCACCTTCGCCTTTGCTCTAATAGCGCGAACGAAAAGCAGAAATAAATAGCCCTTCCGAGGAACAATGGGGCAAATCCTGCGCAAAGATCTTACCATTAGTTTTCTCACGAAGATTAGTTTTCTCACGAGCAAGAAGGGCACCGCACAAGAACACAAACACTGGAACGGTCGAGGACTGGAAGAACGTGATGTTCTCTGATGAGTGTGCATCTTCAGTCGCATTGGGTCCCTTCGGCAAGAAAGTACGATTACCACAGACGCCAACAACAACAACAACAACAATACCTACCTCACCAAGTTCGACCGAAAAACAACAGGGCGGTGGAAGGGAAATATTGGACTGGGGGGGGGGGATTGCATTGGATATCCTGGCATTGGAGGCCTTTGCTGGGTCGAGGGCAAACAAGGATTCGGATGCCTATCTGGACGTTTTCCCAAACTCGTGTTCCTTCCAGTCCCGCGGTTGGCTGCTAGGCATGGACAAAAAAAGAAATTCATGTTCCCAGGAGGGACAATTGCTCGCCCCACACACACACACTGCACTCAAGTCCATGCACTTTTTTTGCGAGGGCACAGGATCAAGGTTCTTGAGTGGCCATACTAATTCACCCCGACATCAACCTTATCGAGAACGTTTGGTCGTACATCAAAACAGGAGCCGGACCGGCAACCAGAGGCGGCTGAGGACCTGGACAGGGCTGTGGGAGACGTGTGGAGGCGATCTGGAGGGGAGATTCCTACAGAGTACCTTCACAACCTGTACGAGAGCATGCCCGACTGCTTGGCGATGGTGATTCAGAATAAATGACGCAACACCAGGGTACCGATGACCGCGGCAGATGAAGGGCATGCAACAGATTCAGCCAATTAGAAAAACTGATTCAATGAAGTTTGTTTTCTTGAAAGTAGTGTTGAACACTATTCTATTTAAGTAATTTAGCTGGGGGTATCAAGTGAACAATGAAAAAGGGAGAGTGTAGCGACAGAGTGGGTTTAGAGAGTAGAGGGTCGGGATGAGAATGAGAAAAAGTTGATGCATGTCGAAAATTGGGATTCATTGAATCAATATTTCTAATGACTGTACCTTCTCCCTTTCCCCTTCTCATGTTATGTTGTTGATCACCATTTCCCACTCTGTCGACTGCCCATTCCAGAACATAATCAATGGGCTCCAGGTGCTGTACTGCAAGAAAAGCAGGCACATGCAAGATCGTATCCTGATCTGCTTTTTTCCTGCCCACTAGGTCGACAGTGCAGATGAACACACCAAAAGACGCAATAATCGACCAGCGTTCTCAGCGATGTTGCATTTTGACCATTAAATGTCGGTAGGTTTATTTTACAAACGAGATAAGTGGAGAATCAGGCTGCTTCCATCCTTCTTCTTCTTCGTCTTCGCATTCTCCTCCTCCTCATCGACAGCGTTGGAAGATGTGGCAAGTCAAGCAGCCAGCAGCTGCTCCGCCGCCTGCTTGTATGCGTTCATCGCGACCCGGAAAAGGCCTGGACCGACCGAGATACGGGCGACGCCCAACTCGCGCAACTCGGGTACAGTCAGGTAACCCTCGCCTAATCGTAGAATGACATTCAAACGTCCGTTCAATCCGGTGACCAACTGCTTGACCTCCTCGCGCGATACACCACGACCACTGGGTCCACCCCAGACAAAGACCGTGTTGGCGCCGGCCTCCAAAAACGCCTTGCCACGCGCAATCGCGTCTTCGACCGTGCCACCATGACCCAAGACATCCGTGCGTGCGTTGACGGCAAACTCGGGTAGACCCGCAGCCTTGGCGGCCTCGACCGCAATCTTGACGCGGGACACAGCGTCGTCAAAGGAGCGCAGCTTGCGTTGCTTGGAATCCACATCCTCTAAGTTACAGCCGACGACACCCAAAGCGATGACTTGCTTGATCGTGTCCGCCAGATCATCGTAGCCGTCCTGCAAGTCTGCCGTCAGTGGGATGCCCTTGGGGACGACTACCTTGGCAATCTTACTGATCGCGGTCATGTTTTGTTCCTTGGTCATATCGTCGTCATAAACGCCCTCGATGGCAGCAATGGCATACGAGCCTGTGGCGACGGCCTTGCAGGTGGGTAGGGAGGAGACAATGTCCGCGGTGGCGGCGTCGTGGACGTTGGTCACCACAAGAGGGTTACCGGGCTGGTGCAGGGCGCGGAAGGCGGCAGCGGTGGCGTTCTGGTTGGTGAGCGACATGATTTAGTTCTGAGTGCTCTGTGTGGGTGAGTGTTGGTTGTGTTGTTCGGTGTTGATGTTATTGTCGAGGCGTGTCAAGTAAAGATGGGTTGGATAGAGAGGGAAAAAAAGACGATGATTGTGGGAAAATCTTGAGGTATTTATGCATTTGCATTTTGGGTGTTTCTCAACGCATTGACGACAACTATACGACGAGCTGTCAGACAAAATGCGGATGTTGACAAATGCCCAAAATATGGAACTCTCGATTGAAGACAGGCGCCACCGAACGAGAACATAAAGTACAGAAACATCAATACTAAAAATACGCTAACCAACCGCTTTATCTGTCGATGCGCCCGAGCTGTATCAGCAACCCCCCAGTCCAGGCCACAAGGAGAAGAAGCTGCTGGAATCTGCGATGCGAAGACGAAGGTCATTTTCTCAAGTACGTTGAATGATGATGTTTAAAAGGAGACCAACGGCGAAAAAACTCCAGTCAACTGAAAAGTGACGGTCATCACAAGGAGGAGGGACGAGACGCCGTAAGGCGAGAAGAGGTGGTCGTGGGCAGAGGGACAGAAACAAAAAATGGTCTCCAGGGGAGCAGGCACTAAGAGAGCATGGAAGCCCTTTTTTCGAACAACTGCGGAACTCTGACAGGGGAAAGGACACACGAGTACGCCGCGTTTTGAACAAAGAAAATTTCAAGGGAACTGAGGAAATATTCGAGGGTACAGTAGCCGCATGCAAACGTTGCTTGAAGTCAGGGGTCTTAACGCCGGCCGTCATGTCTGTGAAAAACATGTCAAATCAAACGAGCACTTGACCTCGTCAAACGAACTGTCAGCAACTCATGTAATAGCTTTTCCATATTTAAAAGAAGAGTCACACACATATGTCCATGGCACCTATGACAACGCGAATAGTCCGTCCTTTGTAGGACATTCGTTGATCAAAAATGTCCCTAAAATCTTTCTCATCAAGGGAGGGATAGTCAGTTTCCTCGTTCACCCCATTTTCTTTATTAAAAGACAATATGCTCTCGTATTTCGTTCCTCATGCCACCCCTCGTTAGTGCTCGTCCACCCGCTTCTTCACCCGTTCCTTCTCTCTCTCTCTCTCTCTCTTCCTTTGTTCCAAACTCGTTGCAAGTAGTGACGTGGGTTGGTCATCATTGTGGGCGATGGTTAGTTGGCGAAGAAGCCTTGTTCCATTACGACTCGAGTGTTGGATATGTGGGTGGGAGTGGGAGAGACCTTGACTCGCACGGAGGTCGAGGCGAGGGAAGGTTGTTCCTCGTCCGATGGTTGAGTGCCTTCATTTCTACTTGACTTCCTGGTACCAAAGAGCAAACTGACGGATGCATGACATATCGTCGCTCCTCTTTTCTTTTTATTCAAGATACAAGGATCTCTCTGTCATGTTCAAATACTCAGGAATCATCATCCTCAATGATAATTAGACGCGACTTTTGGGGGGAAAAAAATAATAATAAACGGTTCACAATTGATCAGTTGAGAGGATTGCAAACGTTCCCCCCTTACAGCCAGCTCCCGGCACTTTAACACGCGGCACTCCGTTCCAAAAAAAAAAAAAAAAAAAAAAAAAAAAAAAAACTCCCTGTAAAAGTACTCTCCCACCAGCCCAGCACTCTCCTTCAACAAACCTCTTTCCTTTCACGCTAAAGATGCACACGAGGCGTTCCGTCAAGATCCTACCACACCTTCACCTCCGCACACTCTTGCCACCACTTCTTCTATCCCCCTCTTCTGCTCCGATTTGGCCCCTACTCAGCTCGTGGGGGACACTAATGCCTCACGTCGCCGTAGTAGAGAAAATATTTTCCCTCAGTTACCAATAATACCTCACAAAAGAAAGAAGAAATAAAAGCAAGGAACAAAAAAAAAGAAGCAACAGAAAAAAGAAGCAACAAAAAAAAGGAACAAAGAACAAAGAACAAAAAAAAAAAGCAAGCCCTCAGTTGCCTACAATGCCTCATAATTCCATAAAAAAAAGGAAGTTCGCATTGAACAGAGCGCTTCAGACTTTGTATAAGTCATCACAGGCATAGTGTCTCAGACTATATGCAAGTCATCATAGGCATAGAGCCTCAGACTGTGTGCAAGTGTCATCATAGACATAACGCCTTAGACTTTGTGCAAATGTCATCATAGACGTAGCGCCTCAGGTTTTGTGCAAGTGTCATCATAGACATAACGCCTTAGACTTTGTGCAAATGTCATCATAGACGTAGCGCCTCAGGTTTTGTGCAAGTGTCATCATAAGCATAGCGCCTCAGACTGTGTGCAAGTAATCATAGGCATAGAGCCTCAGACTTTGTGCAAGTGTCATCATAGGCGTAGAGCCTCAGACTGTATGCAAGTGTCATCACAGGCGTAGAGCCTCAGACTTGTGCAAGTCATCATGGGCATAGAGCCTCAGACTGTGTGCAAGTCATCATAGGCATAGAGCCTCAGACTGTGTGCAAGTCATCAGAGGCATAGAGCCTCAGACTGTATGCAAGTCATCACAGGCATAGAGCCTCAGACTGTATACAAGTCATCACAGGCATAGAGCCTCAGACTGTATGCAAGTCATTATAGGCGTAGAGCCTCAGACTGTATGCAAGTCATTATAGGCGTAGAGCCTCAGACTGTATGCAAGTCATCATAGGCATAGAGCCTCAGACTGTGTGCAAGTCAACATAGGCATAGAGCGACTCCCATCCTAAAAAAAAGAAGACATGCAACATAACATAGATTAGCACCCCCATTACGTCTTCCTCCAACAGCATTTACCAGTGCTGGGAGGACCAGACGCCCCCTGAGGGGGACAGGGGGGGGGGGTAGTGACTCCTTTCGACCCCTTCCTGATACCCTCTTGTCACTAAAGTGATACGATGATAAAGAAGCTTTCTGATTAGTAAAACGTTCGGGCTACGAAAATTATGTGTAGAGAAAAAACTAACTACACCCACGCGCGCACCCACTTTCTTTTCCTGTTGCTTGAAGGGAAGGGACGAGAAGGGAAGGGAAGGGGGGTATTTATCTTACTAGGCGTCGGTCCAGACGGTGGAGGCGGGTGTAACGAGGAGCAACGCTCGACTCTTGTTACACCCTATCTTGGCAGGGGCGGGTATAAGGAGGAGCCAGCTCAACTCTACTTACACCCGCCTATCTAGGCAGGGGAGGAGAAAAAAACCCTTTGGAGGGAGGCAGGCGGGTGTAATGAGGAGCCAGCTCAACTCTACTTACACCCGCCTATCTAGGCAGGGGAGGAGGAGCAAGCTCGACTCTACTCAACCCTGTGAGGGGAGGCGGCTGGGTGTAAGAAGAGGAGCCAGCTCAACTCTACTTACACCTGCATATCTAGGGGAGGAGGAGCAAGCTCGACTCTACTCAACCCACTAAGGGGGGGACGGCTGGGTGTAAGAAGAGGAGCCAGCTCAACTCTGCTTACACCTGCATATCAGGGGAGGAGGAGCAAGCTCGACTCTACTCAACCCTTCTCTCTTGGTAGACCTGGGGCTTGAGGGTGAGGAGGGCATCACTTCCTCCTTGCACCCTAACTTGCCACTAAAGCGATATGGATGACAGTAATTAAATCTCTGATGATTAGTACATAGTATACTCGTAACCATGATGAGACAATCACTCAAGAACAAAAGCGCAGGAGAGCGTGGGAACTGGGAACCCTGGAGTTGTGTAAAGAACGCAAGGAAGGAAGCAAGAGAGCGTGGGACCTGGGAAACGAAGAGCGTGGGACCTGGGAAACGAAGAGTGTGTAAAGAAGGGGAAGAAAGAGTAAAAAAAAGTAGCGCAAACGTAAACGCTCACCCCCACAGAAAAAGACGAGGAGGGGGCAAAAAGAAAGCAAGTCAGACGCGCAACCCATACACGACAACTCAAAAGAAAAGGATTCCGGAGAGCGTGGGAGCTGGAAAACGACGTGGAGTTTAAGAACGAACAAAACAAGCAGGGCAAACACAAACGCTCACCCCCACAGAAAAAGAAGAAGAAGGAACAAAAAGAAGGCAAGGCGTGTGCTCTTGCACAAAAACACGAAGAAGGAAGAAAGAAACTAGGACAAAACAACGCACACGCGCACCCAACAACGAGAAACAACGAGATAAGGAAAGTAGAACGGGAAAGAAAGTGTGGGAGAGGATATACAACGCGAAAAACAGACACACCCTCTTTCGTTTTCTGTTCCTGAGAAAGGGAGGAAAGGAAAGGAAGGAAAGGGAAGGGAGGAAAGGAAAGGAAATGGAAGAGAAGGAAGGTGGTTTTCTTACCAGGTCAGCGGCGGTTTCCAGAAGAGGAGTGAAGAAGAAAGAGAAGAAAAGAAAACAACTGTTTTGGCCAGGGAGATTGCCTTTTATACCACGTGGCACGTGCAAGCAAATATTACTGCGTCATCTTGGGTGGCAAAGAGCAAGGGCGAGTGCGTGTGTAACTAGAGGGGTGGTTGACAGGGCTCTCAAAAAGGAAGTATACGAAAAGGTTTCCCATGCAATATGGGATATTCCCATCTCTCTAAACGCAGGACCTTCTCCATTGACCATGAACCAACCTTTGTCTGACTCTTGTTTCATTCGTCATCCATGGCCTCTCTCCGCACCTCTTATTTCCCTTTCTTAATGCCTCTTCTGTCCTTCTCCAAGTAAAGGATGGTTGCATGGTCAATGGGTCCATGATAGAAGGTCCTGCGTTTAGAGAGATGGGAATATCCCATATTGCATGGGAAACCTTTTCGTATACTTCCTTTTTGAGAGCCCTGTCAACCACCCCTCTAGTTACACACGCACTCGCCCTTGCTCTTTGCCACCCAAGATGACGCAGTAATATTTGCTTGCACGTGCCACGTGGTATAAAAGGCAATCTCCCTGGCCAAAACAGTTGTTTTCTTTTCTTCTCTTTCTTCTTCACTCCTCTTCTGGAAACCGCCGCTGACCTGGTAAGAAAACCACCTTCCTTCTCTTCCATTTCCTTTCCTTTCCTCCCTTCCCTTTCCTTCCTTTCCTTTCCTCCCTTTCTCAGGAACAGAAAACGAAAGAGGGTGTGTCTGTTTTTCGCGTTGTATATCCTCTCCCACACTTTCTTTCCCGTTCTACTTTCCTTATCTCGTTGTTTCTCGTTGTTGGGTGCGCGTGTGCGTTGTTTTGTCCTAGTTTCTTTCTTCCTTCTTCGTGTTTTTGTGCAAGAGCACACGCCTTGCCTTCTTTTTGTTCCTTCTTCTTCTTTTTCTGTGGGGGTGAGCGTTTGTGTTTGCCCTGCTTGTTTTGTTCGTTCTTAAACTCCACGTCGTTTTCCAGCTCCCACGCTCTCCGGAATCCTTTTCTTTTGAGTTGTCGTGTATGGGTTGCGCGTCTGACTTGCTTTCTTTTTGCCCCCTCCTCGTCTTTTTCTGTGGGGGTGAGCGTTTACGTTTGCGCTACTTTTTTTTACTCTTTCTTCCCCTTCTTTACACACTCTTCGTTTCCCAGGTCCCACGCTCTTCGTTTCCCAGGTCCCACGCTCTCTTGCTTCCTTCCTTGCGTTCTTTACACAACTCCAGGGTTCCCAGTTCCCACGCTCTCCTGCGCTTTTGTTCTTGAGTGATTGTCTCATCATGGTTACGAGTATACTATGTACTAATCATCAGAGATTTAATTACTGTCATCCATATCGCTTTAGTGGCAAGTTAGGGTGCAAGGAGGAAGTGATGCCCTCCTCACCCTCAAGCCCCAGGTCTACCAAGAGAGAAGGGTTGAGTAGAGTCGAGCTTGCTCCTCCTCCCCTGATATGCAGGTGTAAGCAGAGTTGAGCTGGCTCCTCTTCTTACACCCAGCCGTCCCCCCCTTAGTGGGTTGAGTAGAGTCGAGCTTGCTCCTCCTCCCCTAGATATGCAGGTGTAAGTAGAGTTGAGCTGGCTCCTCTTCTTACACCCAGCCGCCTCCCCTCACAGGGTTGAGTAGAGTCGAGCTTGCTCCTCCTCCCCTGCCTAGATAGGCGGGTGTAAGTAGAGTTGAGCTGGCTCCTCATTACACCCGCCTGCCTCCCTCCAAAGGGTTTTTTTCTCCTCCCCTGCCTAGATAGGCGGGTGTAAGTAGAGTTGAGCTGGCTCCTCCTTATACCCGCCCCTGCCAAGATAGGGTGTAACAAGAGTCGAGCGTTGCTCCTCGTTACACCCGCCTCCACCGTCTGGACCGACGCCTAGTAAGATAAATACCCCCCTTCCCTTCCCTTCTCGTCCCTTCCCTTCAAGCAACAGGAAAAGAAAGTGGGTGCGCGCGTGGGTGTAGTTAGTTTTTTCTCTACACATAATTTTCGTAGCCCGAACGTTTTACTAATCAGAAAGCTTCTTTATCATCGTATCACTTTAGTGACAAGAGGGTATCAGGAAGGGGTCGAAAGGAGTCACTACCCCCCCCCCCTGTCCCCCTCAGGGGGCGTCTGGTCCTCCCAGCACTGGTAAATGCTGTTGGAGGAAGACGTAATGGGGGTGCTAATCTATGTTATGTTGCATGTCTTCTTTTTTTTAGGATGGGAGTCGCTCTATGCCTATGTTGACTTGCACACAGTCTGAGGCTCTATGCCTATGATGACTTGCATACAGTCTGAGGCTCTACGCCTATAATGACTTGCATACAGTCTGAGGCTCTACGCCTATGATGACTTGCATACAGTCTGAGGCTCTATGCCTCTGATGACTTGCACACAGTCTGAGGCTCTATGCCTATGATGACTTGCACACAGTCTGAGGCTCTATGCCCATGATGACTTGCACAAGTCTGAGGCTCTACGCCTGTGATGACACTTGCATACAGTCTGAGGCTCTACGCCTATGATGACACTTGCACAAAGTCTGAGGCTCTATGCCTATGATTACTTGCACACAGTCTGAGGCGCTATGCTTATGATGACACTTGCACAAAACCTGAGGCGCTACGTCTATGATGACATTTGCACAAAGTCTAAGGCGTTATGTCTATGATGACACTTGCACACAGTCTGAGGCTCTATGCCTATGATGACTTGCATATAGTCTGAGACACTATGCCTGTGATGACTTATACAAAGTCTGAAGCGCTCTGTTCAATGCGAACTTCCTTTTTTTTATGGAATTATGAGGCATTGTAGGCAACTGAGGGCTTGCTTTTTTTTTTTGTTCTTTGTTCTTTGTTCCTTTTTTTTGTTGCTTCTTTTTTCTGTTGCTTCTTTTTTTTTGTTCCTTGCTTTTATTTCTTCTTTCTTTTGTGAGGTATTATTGGTAACTGAGGGAAAATATTTTCTCTACTACGGCGACGTGAGGCATTAGTGTCCCCCACGAGCTGAGTAGGGGCCAAATCGGAGCAGAAGAGGGGGATAGAAGAAGTGGTGGCAAGAGTGTGCGGAGGTGAAGGTGTGGTAGGATCTTGACGGAACGCCTCGTGTGCATCTTTAGCGTGAAAGGAAAGAGGTTTGTTGAAGGAGAGTGCTGGGCTGGTGGGAGAGTACTTTTACAGGGAGTTTTTTTTTTTTTTTTTTTTTTTTTTTTTGGAACGGAGTGCCGCGTGTTAAAGTGCCGGGAGCTGGCTGTAAGGGGGAAATGTTTGCAATCCTCTCAACTGATCAATTGTGAACCGTTTATTATTATTTTTCTCCCCCAAAAGTCGCGTCTAATTATCATTGAGGATGATGATTCCTGAGTATTTGAACATGACAGAGAGATCCTTGTATCTTGAATAAAAAGAAAAGAGGAGCGACGATATGTCATACATCCGTCAGTTTGCTCTTTGGTACCAGGAAGTCAAGTAGAAATGAAGGCACTCAACCATCGGACGAGGAACAACCTTCCCTCGCCTCGACCTCCGTGCGAGTCAAGGTCCCTCCCACTCCCACCCACATATCCAACACTCGAGTCGTAATGGAACAAGGCTTCTTCGCCAACTAACCATCGCCCACAATGATGACCAACCCACGTCACTACTTGCAACGAGTTTGGAACAAAGGAAGAGAGAGAGAGAGAAGGAACGGGTGAAGAAGCGGGTGGACGAGCACTAACAAGGGATGGCATGAGGAACGAAATACAAGAGCATATTGTCTTTTAATAAAGAAAATGGGACTATGGACGAGGAAACTGACTATCCCCCCCCCGATGAGATCAACGAATGTCCTACAAAGGACGGACTATTCGCATTGTCTACGGTGCCACATCCATATGTGTGTGACTCTTCTTTTAAATCGCATATTTAACAGTGCTTATTGGAAGGCGGATCATTGAATACATTGGATGGCGAAAGTTCTCGACGCGTCGCGTTTTTTTTTTCTTTTTCTTTCTTTCTCTTTTGTTCCCCCTTTCCGCCAAACACACAAGGAACTTCATCCATCAGCTCTCTTCCTTTCCATCACGTCCTCCTGGAACATGACCCCTCCCGCTATTCAACGACACATTTACTCATAAAAAAACTCACTATCATCTCCATTTCCATCGCCGTGATTTGTGAGGTGCCTGCCACAAGGCTTCCACCACAGGAAGCCAAGTTCACAATGAGTATACTCCACAGCGCAACCAATGTCTTCATCCACAGGAGGAAAAAAAAACTGTGGTACCTAGAACACACAAACTCCGGGGGAGGTACGGGCTATATCAACCCAGGATCCGTTCACCGCTTCTCCTTGTGGGAATGATGTGACAACTCTATGTTTAACGACATCCCATCCTCGCCGTCACCTTCGTCTGTCTGTCGGGGACGGTTAATAATGATATAGGATATGGACTGGTTATGAGTAGGATGTGTCTGGTTGCTCTTTCTGGATGGATAGCTCCCTGGAGTTCTTTTTGGTACTACAGTGTTTTCCTCTTTCCTTTGGAATGCTAAGAGGGTATTAGTGCTACGAGGATTATTAGTTGTGATTGCACGGACGAGTTATTGCCGCGTCGCAACAAACTGACTTCTTTTTTTTCATCCCGAAACAAGAATCACCAAAGCGGGCTTAAGTGGGGGTAATTTTTTTTTTTGAAAGGGTACAATAGTTTTATTACAATGTTTTTGGGATGGTATACAACTGCTCAAACGGAAAATCGTTTTAGTCAGTCTTGTCATAGGCTGAATCGTGAACCTTCTGGGCACGACCGGAAGGATCAGCAGGGCAACCCCAGTCACCACGGGGGATCCAGCGGACAACAGACTCTGTACAAGCCTCCTGGGGGAAGGCCAGCTCAAAGACCTCACGGTACCAATATGCCTCCTTTGTCTGGGGGGTATCCTGAGGCCAGCGTTCGGCAGCCTTGGCAAACTCTTCGTCCGAGACCTTGGCCAAAGCCGTATCCTTCAAAGAATCGATCCAGCCGTATCCAACACCGTCTGAGAACTGCTCCTTCTGACGCCAGAGGATCGAGTCGGGCAAGTAGGGCTGAGCGGTAGGGTCGGCGGAGGTGTCGAAGGCCTTGCGGAGGATATGCTTCTCCATCTTGCCCTTGAAGGACATCTTCTCCTTGGGGTCGACGTTCATGGCGACCTCGAGGAAGGCCTTGTCCAAGAAGGGGACACGGGCCTCGACTCCCCAGGCCATGGTCGACTTGTTGGCACGGAGGCAGTCGGCGTAGTGGAGGTTCTTGACGCGGGAGACGGTCTCGGTGTGGAGGTCGTCGGCGGAGGGGGCGGCGTGGAAGTAGAGGTAGCCGCCAAAGATCTCGTCGGCGCCCTCACCGGAGAGGACCATCTTGACGCCCATGGCCTTGATCTTTCTGCTGAGGAGGTACATAGGTGTTGAAGCGCGGATGGTGGTGACGTCGTAGGTCTCGAGGTGGTAGACGACGTCGGCGATGGCGTCCAGACCGTCCTGGACGGTGAAGGTGTATTCGTGGTGGACGGTTTTTAAGTAGTCGGCGGCGACGCGGGCGGCGGCCAAATCGGGGGAGCCTTCAAGACCGATCGAGAAGGAGTGGAGTCTAGGCCATGAGGCGACCGCAGACTCGTCGACATCGTCACCATCCTTGTTGAGGGGGACGGTTCCATCAATCATCTTTTGCGTCTCCCGTGCGGCGATCGAAGCAATCAAGGAAGAGTCCAACCCACCACTAAGGAGAACACCATAGGGAACCTCCGACATCAATCTCTTCCGGACCGCCTTCTCCAGAGATTCCCGGATAAGCTTATAGTCGACTGGGTTGGCAGGGATCTTTTCACCATCCCACCAAGTGGGCTGGAAATACCGGGTCGTCTCGCCAGTCTCCGAGTCAAAAATGTGTCCAGGGGGGAAGGCAATGATTCGATCGCACTCTTCGTTAAGGGCCTTGAGTTCCGAGGCGAAGTAGAGGGTTCCGGGTTGTTTGCTGTTCCATCCTTGGTAGAGAGTTGTGATGCCGATGGGGTCGCGGGCGGCGAGGATACGGTTCTTTTTGGTGTCGAGGAGGACCCATGAGAACATTCCGTCCAAGTGTTTCACGACCTCTGCGCCCATATGCTTGTACTATTTTGTTGCATCAAAAGAGAACCAAATGAGAACGTTAGACTTCATTTCTCCTATTTGTGAAGATGGCAGACGTGTGGTCCTGACAAGAAGAGAGAGAAAGGACACTTACAAGGTGGAGGATGACCTCGCAGTCGGACTGGGTCTTGAAGTGGGTCCCCTCAGGGCACAACTTGCGGAGGGCCTTGTGGTTATAGATCTCGCCGTTGACGGAAAGGATAAGAGATTCGTCGTCGTTGGTCAAGGGCTGGGCTCCCGATTCTAATCATTCCCAATCCGATCGATACGCAGAGATGCAACAGACATGCGAGTTAATTTTCCTTTCTGACTCAGTCGATTTGTGTTTGTGTTCCCTCCCTCCCTGTCTCCACATGCTTATGCAGCAAAGCAGAAGTAGATCGAGCATCTAGTCTATATCTATATTATCGCTATGTCCGATCTGTAGAAAGGAGAAAGATAGGACTTACCAACACCGACGATGGCAAGACGCTCGTGGCAGAGGATGTGGTTGCCGGCAACAGTGCATCCGCTCCAGTCAGGTCCACGATGTCTAAGCCTAATGGGTATAGGTGAATATATAAAGGAGATTAGATACGAAGACGAAAAAAAAAAGAGGCGCGAATACGGTAGAAGAAAAAAAAAGGGAGGGAGAGGCATACTTCTTGGAGAGGAAGAGGGCGCGTTGGCGGAAGGCGTTGGCATCGCCAGGGAGGTTGAAAACACCAAAGATACCACACATGTCTGGTTATATATTATATGTGAGTGCGAGTGAGGGTGAGGGGGGAGATGTGTTTGCGAGAGGAGTGAATAGTTCGTAGTCGTAGAGAACGAAGAGTGTGTATGAAGAGGGAAGAGAAGAAAAGAGAAGAGAAGGTTAATGAGGATCAAAAAGGCAGGGGAAGATGGACCCTTTTATACCCTTCCGGAGGGATAACAAAAAAGAGTCTGTGACTCCATCGAAAACAAAAAAGTGTGTGAGTCGTTCAAAGTTGAGGTTTTGGTTTGACAAGCATGTGTGTTGTGTGTTGTGTGTTGTGTGTTGTGTGCACATCATACACTTCGCCCACATCTCCCTCGCTCGACTGCTGCTGGAAGGGAAGAGCAGGGCAACGAAGGAGATAAGGGGGACATGGACGTTCGGAATTAATTCCGACCAATCATTGCTCCCTTTCTTGTTCTTGTTTTATTTGTCTGAATCACAGAAAAAATAGGGCTCATATCTTTACTGCCATTCCATTAGACCATTCAAACCATGCCAACACCATGTACCCATTCTCCATTTCCTATCCATCTCTCTTTCGCATCTGAACTTCTGAACCCTCACAGATCTATCTCACTGTCCTACCCTACCCTACCCAACAGACCCCTCGTGTGAGTGCGAGGGTGTTTGCGTAAAGTGTGTGTGAGTGCCTACGCGTGAGATGCAGCCTTCTATTGCTTTCTGTTCTTACCCCGTATGAAAAGAAAAAAAAAACGCTGTGATTCACGACTTTTTTTTGGAAAAAAAGCATCGAGTCAGAGACTTTTTGCTCGACCAAGCACCTTAATGATTTTTTTTTCTTTCTTTTTTTTTTACTTTTGACAAAGAGAACAGCAAAACAGGAAAATCAGACTTGGGATTCAGGAGGCGTCAATCTCCGACACTTCAAGTACCTGGTTTTGTCTTCTCAACTCATGCTCCGGGTACAAGGTGGAGAAAGGGACGATCACATATTTTTGCACAGCTCGTTTACCACATTCCGTCTCCATCCTTTTTTTTTTTGCTTGCTTGAACCGGATTATTTATTTAGACAGTTGCGCACAATTAAAAAAGATATGAAAGGGGGAATATCACAATAAGAAACAGGCAATGTAACTACCACTTCTCTGACCAGACGCCACCCTCAATGCCATCGGTCCAATTCTCTTTCATCTGCTCCAGGAAGGCGTCCTTCTCGACGTACTTTTGAACAACCCACTCGTTCAGCTTCTCCTCGTCCGCTGGCAGATCAGCAATCATGTAACGCTTCACATGCACGTGGAACTTGTACTCGGGGCTCAACTGGGCAGTGTGAACACGAACCAGATCTGGGGGCACACCGAAACCCTTGGTCTTGTGGTAGTAGGCAAAGGTGAAATCTGGTATCGTGTGCATGTAGAAGGGGTCAACGTTAGTATACTTTCTCCAGTGGCTGGCTGCCTGAAATGAAAAAGGGTCGTCAAAACGGCGCTTCTTGGACCGGTGGCTTATTCCTTCTTTTTCTAGGTCCTAGGAAGCTCTCTTCTCCGTTCCTTTTTTTTTTTTTTTTGCTAGATTCACGGAAAGGTCTCCATAGGTTGGATGCCACCACCCTTGTTGAAACAGGCAGTTGAAGATCCAATTCTTACCATAGACACATTTGACGTGGCTTCCACGGAACTTGTTAACGGTGGTGATGAACCCCTTGGTTCGGGGCATAAGAACGTTCGACAACAGAGGAAGACCGCGTCCAGCCATGAACTTTTGAGAGGCAGCAAGCTTGCTCGGTGTCAAACGAGAGCCCTCCAAGAAACTTGCGACCCATACAGGTGCCTCAATGTCCAATATCCGTGCAAACATTTTGTTGATCTTGATCTGATCCTGCGCCCAGTTGCGGTTGATGAAGAGCATACCCATAATCCACATGCCCCATCCATAGAAAGGGATCTAGTAGGGTTATAAAAAAAGGGAGTTGTGCAATGGTGGATGAGTACGCGGTTGTGACAAAAGTAACGTTGTGGGTGCGAATGACGATGCAAAGTCCATGGCGCTTACATATTTAAGAGAGTCCTTGGCAAAGTACTGTCGGAATGGAAAGGAAGGGGCGAAACCAACATGTTAGGCTTAGGATATCTATACACACATTCATGAATCATTCGGCATAAAGATATTCAACAAACCTTCATGTAGTTGAGCATGCCACGTCGTGCGGCGACGGAGTGGAACATGTAAAAGTCGACAAAGGAGCGGTGGTTGCCAAAGACGACGGCGCTCTCGTGGTGGGGCACCTTGTCTCCCGAGAAGGTGATCACAGCCTTGTGTCTCTTCTACAAGTATTAAAGTATCGGCTCCGTCAGTGTCCGGTTCGATTTGATTCGATTCGATTCGGCACACAAAGTAAACATTTTTCTCCTCGTCTGATTCCACGGACGAACTGAATTTAGATCCGATGATGGTCGATAGTCACGCAACCCCAAAAACAAATGGGCATCGTCGCCGTCGTCGGCCTCTCCTTTGTTGTCTCTTCCTTTTACCCCACTGTTCCCTTTCTCTTCTTCCTCCCCACGTTCCACAAGTTCTGAGCACGAGCACGAGGGAGTGTTTTCGCCCGCCCGTTTTCTGCTTTGCGGGTGGCTGCCTTTTTTGTGCAGTAGGGGTTTGTTCCGGTGTCAAGGGACTTTGTCCTGTTCCTGTCTGTGCTGTCTGGTATTGCCCCTATCCTGATGAAACCAGTTGCCATGCCTCGTTTTCTTACCTCCATGATGAGCTAGTTGACATAAAGAACAAAAGAGGAAAAAGGGTTAAGATAGCTCAATTACAATTGAAAACTGACGAGAACGACAATCATAGTTGCATTCTCCAAGGGTTCCTTACCTGCATAACCTTCCACATCGAACCGGCCACACGGGCGTTCACCTCGAAGAAGAGACGCTTCGAGAAGGGCTCCAGGAGCAAAGAGAACACCTGGACGACATTGAGCAGAGAGCAGAAACTATATCACCCCATGAAAGAATAAAAAAAAAAAAAAAAAAAAAAAAGGTTGTTGATCAGTTTCTGGTTCCGTTTAGTTTTGTTCATTCCGTCTCTTGTCTTGTCTTGATCGTTGTTGTCCTTTGTGTTCTTTCGTAAGTGTAGGCGTTTGACATTGTTCTTTGCAAGAAGTGTTTGATGGCACAGCACAGAGTGGGTCGGTTGTCGCATAAGGTGATAACTGTGTAGTAACGGAAGGACTGTTTCTTCCTTGGTTGTTCCAAGCGTTGTTGATTCGGGAATGAGAGAAGGGGGCAGCTGTTGAGCGAGATTGAAAAGAGTGAGAGGAGAGTGAGTGTACCTGAAGAGGGCTGTTCCGTAGACGAGTGCCTTTGCGGGGCGGGTGACAGCGTCGAGCATGGTCGGTGAGAGTGAAGGAGTGAGAGAATGAATGAAGGTATGGAGGTGAAGTGTGGGTTGGTGGTCCCTGAGAGAAAAAAAGAAGAAAAAGAGTCTTCCGCCTCAGAAGGGAATATTCTTGCTTGCTCTTGCTGCTTTGTCACTTCACAGTTTCCTTATCCGATTAATTTAAGGGGTACGATCTACCTTAATTCTCTGTGTCTCTCGATCATACAAAAAAAATCGATCATACAGAGGATTGATTGCTACTGTTGCTGCATCTTTATACCTTGTGCATGGTCAACACATACAGCAAACGTATTACATTCAACTTAGGCTTAACAGCCACAAGGACAACCAATCCAATCGACCTGCAGTGTTTATTGTATCTAATGTGTTCAATGCTTCGTCCAATGGTCCAAAGTCCCCTCCTTCAAGTGACAGATCTACTTTCTCTTCCTACATCGTTTGGACGCGCATTAACAAGTAACCTTTATCTGTATGCAATGAGCTTTGAAGCAAAGTGGGAGGCTTGTTACAGCACAAGCACATTGAGTGTTTGAGAAGGAAAAAAAGAAACGCGGAGGGATGGATGGACATCTCCTAAAACGTTATGCGACATGGACGAGATTGCTCCCAAATAGTTCGTTCGTCGTTCTGTGATACACACACTCTCTCTCACACACACAATGGGGTGATCAGGTAGTTTCCTCACCCCACAGACCAGACGCAAAGGCACGCGCCTCTTTGCACAACAGCAACACACTGAATCGTTATGATTGGGCTGACAGATATTTACCGCGTCCGCATTGGCTGGTGAACAAGTGGGCACGGAAGAGAAGCAAAGAAAAATTGTGAAAAAGTTTCATTACGATTATGACGAAGGTGTGTCCATGTGCTATTTCGGAGGATAGGTTGACCATTTGAGCAACTGTAACAAAAAGTCATTGAGGTGTGTGTTTGTTGGAAGGAAGGAAGCGATGTTACAGTTCCCTTCCCCCTCCGCTGGGAATAACGATTAATGCAATGCGATTAGAAAGTAATGAATATAACCGTTGGGAGTTGAGCTGTGGGTGTGGAAAGCAAGCAGAGAGTTAGGTTGAACAAAGCCAAAAGGCAAAAGGCACGAGAGAGAGAGCGCGCGAAAATGTATATTTCTCCTCCGTTCTTTCTTCCGTCCATTCCTCCTGTGTCGTGTGTTGTTGATTACGACACCCGCCGGGTTGTTGATACATCCTTCATGGTGTATTCAATCAGTTAATCAATCATTCTGCCCATCAGAAACAGACTGATACCGCCTTCGCCTATGGCTTCTACTTTTTCCCTTTTCTTCGTTCCTCTTCCTTCTCTCTTCTCTTCTCTTCTCTTCACGCATCACTCTTCACTCCTCATTCAAGTTCTTCATTCATTCATCCATCCATTCACCCACTCACTCACCCACAACCCATTCGCCCTCCAGGGTCTTACTCTTCTCTAATCACCCCTACAGAAACACACACAGTCGTACAAAGACAGGGCTTGACCTTGTGTCCCTCTCCCACTCTACCGTGAATAGAGTTCACCCACCCATCACAGTCCATACCTTGTCACCCTTCCTTCGTTGCAACCATGGACAACTCCCAGCACCACCACCATCACCAGCAGGATGACCCTATCCACCTCGCCAACCTCGTCTCCACAGAGCAAGGAATCAACCCTACCACCACCACCAACAACAACAACAACAACAACAACAACAGCAACAACAAGATCCAGGCTATCGATTCATATTCCAGCGAAAAAAACCTCGACCTCAACAACGACAGACAGGTCCTCCAACCACAACCTCAACAACAGCAGCAACAGGAACAGCGACAACAGCGCCCTATCCAACCCTCTCTCGAAACCACCAACTCCAGCCATGATGCTCTCGACATGACCATGAACGAAAAGGATCCCCATTTAACTACTATCCAGCCCCCTGCTGTAGTCGCTGCTCCAAGGATGAAACTCGCCAATTTTGTTGACAAGGTCCGTGTGCACCAGATCCTGCAAAAGTCACAGCCTGAACCTTTGGCATCTGGAGGAGAAGGAAGAGGTGGCAATGCCAACACGCTCAGCCCACTGTCGACTAATACTCTTGACTCTCCCGAATCAGGACACGGTAAATACTCTCCCTTTAAATATCGCATTTGACAAGGGTTTATGTACATTTGGATGATTCTTCTCTTTCGAATGAGATTTAAAAGAGTGTTATGCGAAAATGAAAAGGCATGGCCAATGGCAACCTAATACATGGGGACAGCAAGTACTTATCCCGGAGACTAAGAACGGGGGAACGAGGGGGTATGGTGGCTCAGAGACCACGATGGAGACTGACTGGCAGACTGACATAGTGAGAGCGTGAGCTGAAAAGGAGGAGGTTGCTAACTATACATTTCATGTCCAACCAGCCAACATAAAAGGACGCGGACTGGGTGATTTCAATCTCGACTGACTGAACTGACCGTTGAATTGTAATGTTGTGCACCTTGTCCACTATAGGCTCAGCGCTGGAGGCCGATGGCGTCTCGACGACTCGAAGACCTTCCTCGGTCATCCACAGTGTCATCGATAGCCCAGAGACACACGATCACGATAGCCACCGCCACCACCACCACTCCAGGCAGTTGCATGACGCAGGAGAGGAAGGTGAAGGTAGTCATCGCATGCAGCACCACTTCCCCAAGATCTTCAGCAAGGAAGGCATCAAGAGTGCCCTCTTCATGAACAGCGCTGCTACGGCCTTCCATAAGAACCGCAAAAAGGAGGTGAATGCTATGTATTTGCCTGTAGCTGCCCTGGCAATTACTGGTTCGGCTATTCCTGCACTTTGGATGCGGAGGGACGACAAGGGGCGTCGACCGGTAAGCTTATTTTTTCGTTGTATGCATTTAATTCTTTTCTTTTCTTAGCTCATCAGAGCTGCCTTTTTTTTCGCATTGCTTTCTTGCCTCCTCATTTTTGTGGATGCATTGCTCCTTTTCTCAATGTTTGGAGCAAATAACTGGAGTTTGGATTTCTTGTGTTTTATGAGAGCTTTGTTGTTGTTGTTGTTGTTGTGTTGTTCTGGTCATCTGGACCATTCGTCCTACTGGCGTTGTCCGCTTTAGGGTCCTGGTCTCATGTGGACGACAAAGGCTTCTCTTTCGATTGGTCAATCAATACGCGTCAAGGCACAAGGAAACAAACTGACCACCTCTTGATTGCATTACACCTCACACAGCCTGCGGTCCTCTTCCAGATGCTCAGTGTAAGAAGCATAGCAAATCCATGCGCTATGGCTATTGTTACCGGGATTGTCTCACGATAATGCGCCTGTAATCATAAAGATCGTTGCCGATATACGCCTTTTTTTAAAGAAAAACTCCCTTGTAATCTAACAGCCTGCCTTTTTTCATTTCTTTCGTCCTTTTAACAAAATAGATTACCGTGACGGATTCGGAGATTGATCTTGGTGTGAGCAAGCAAATCATCTTCCGCCTGGAGATGCAGTACGGCGATGTGAAGTGGGTCATTCGCAGGACCCTGTACGAGTTCTACAAGCTGCACCTCATCCTCTCCGCCAAGCGCTTCGACAACCTTCCAAAGTTCCCCAGTCAGGTATGTGTCTATTCTATCTTGCTCCATCGCACCAATGCCATGGTGATGTATCCATGAGAAGCCAGGTGCTTACGCCAACTTCACTGACATGACCATACTGCCTGCCATACCATACAATAGGTCTCCTATGCATTCTCGATGGCGAAAGCAAGTCTGGGAATGAGAGCAGAGGAAAAGGTCAACTTCGTCCGGCAAAGTAACTTGGCTCGTCGTCAGGCTCTTCAGGATTATATCATCCTGGTCCTGCAATCACTGAACTGGACTACTGCTTACGACCTCTACGAGTTTTTGGAGATCTCGGCTCTGTCACTGACCAAGGACATGGGGTGGAAGGGCAAGGAGTCCTATGTCGACACCAAGGTCACCGACAACATCCATGGCATGTGTGGCTTTGGCTGCATCAAGCGTTGGAACAAAAACTGGGCTCTCATCCGCGACTCCTACCTTGCCTTCTGCCCAACCGTTGGATCGGAGGAGCCGTCGGACGTGTTCATTTTCGACCAGACCTTCTATGTTCAGCACAAGGAGCATCACCTTAGTTTGAACATGCACCACATCGAGATCGGAAACAGTCACCGGAAGATCGAGATCAAGGGCGACAACAACCGCGAGATGCTTGAGTGGATGGACAACTTTACCAAGATGAAGCAATCTAGCCCCTGGGTGAACTCTCATCGCTTCGGAAGCTTTGCTCCTCAGCGAAGCGACGCCAAGGTCCGGTATTATGTCGATGGCAAGGACTATTTCCACGCCGTGTCCGATGCCATCCTCGCTGCCAAGACCGAGATTTATATTTGCGACTGGTGGCTCTCACCCGAGCTGGTATGTCTAATTGGAGTTCTACTGCATGGTGCTTGGGGTTGACTATGTTGCTGATAACATTGCTCTGACTGGACATTTCCATTTTTTTTTGATCAATGTAATAGTACCTCCGTCGTCCCCCAGAGAAGAACGAAGAGTTCCGTTTGGACCGACTTCTCAAGAAGAAGGCCATGGAGGGTGTCATGATCTACATTGTCGTCTACAAGGAGATCTCCCTCGCTCTCACCCTCGACTCTGCCCACACTAAGATCTGGCTCCAGGATCTCCATCCTAACATCCAAGGTAAACCCCCAGGTTCGGGTCTACGTAGCTCATCAAGCAGATATGTAATACCATTTTGGTGCTAACATTCTACTTCTTTGGTCTTTTTCCGCTTCATCGTAGTCCAACGCCACCCAGATCACATTAGTGTCACCGCCACCCAGTTCTGGGCTCACCACGAGGTATGTCTTCCCTTCATAGGTACCATCATATGCACATTCATATAAGCGAATGCTCCACTATTAACACCATCCCCGCTTCACGTCTTGTCTATACTAGAAAATCTGCGTGGTTGATTGTCGATTGGCGTTTATCGGAGGACTGGATCTGTGCTTTGGACGCTATGACAGCAGAACACATCAATTGGCTGATTACCATCCCTCAGGACGCGGCACCGTCTGGCCCGGTCAGGACTACTCCAACCCTCGCATCAAGGACTTTGCCAATGGTAGGAAACTGATCTCGTTATGCATTGGTCATAATAGACAATATTTTAAACTACACTTGGTTAACCAAACTCATTCTTTCGTTTTCTAGTGCGCGATTACAACAACAACCTGATTGAGCGCAAGTTGTTGGCTCGCATGCCTTGGCACGATGTCTCTGTCGGAGTCGCAGGACAGCCAGCTCGTGACATTGCTCGTCACTTTGTGCAGCGATGGAACTTTGTCAAGCTCGAGAAGGGCATGAAGAAGAGCCACATGAAGTTCTTGATGCCCAAGGGAGAGTTTGTGAGCACGCGCAATGAGTCGGGCTGGACTGGTACTCAAAATGTTCAGATTTTGCGAAGCAGTACCCTCTGGTCGCAGGGTGTCGATTTGGAGCGATCCATCCAGGATGCCTACTTGGGTGCCATCCAGAGTGCTGAGCATTTCATTTATATTGAGAACCAGTTCTTTGGTAGGTGTCCCTGTGACGGAAACTGCCTGCAACTCAATTTCATGAGCAAGGACAGTTCGCGCTAACATTCATTTGTTACCTTTCCATTTTTCCAGTGACACTGGCGGCAGAGAACGGACATCCTGACCTCAAGAACAAGATTGGTATTGCCCTCGTCGAGCGTATCACCAGAGCACACGCAGATGGCAAGAAATTCCGTGTCATTGTTGTGATGCCCTTGATGCCTGCATTTGAGGCCGATATCATGTCGAGCGAGGCCGGTACACTTCGGAAGGTCATGCACTTCCAGTACGTCTCGATCTCCCGTGGGGGAAACTCAGTGCTGGAGCGGCTCATCGCCAACGGCATTGACCCCGACCAGTACATTGGATTCTATGGTCTTCGTAGTTTTGACCGTATTAAGCACGGAAAGTTCGATGCCATTGTTGAGGCTGTTCGTGAGGCTGAGGAGCGCCGAAAGGGCAGCCCATCCAGTAGTCAATCCCAAGCGTCCATGTCTCAGGAGCGACTCTCTGAGACCGACCTCAATCAGCCTCAGGAAAAGGCCCAGGCCCCCCGGAAGACTGGTGGAAACAAGGTCAAGTCTCTGGCTTCGATGTTTTTACTGGAGCCTATTCCCCGTGGTGAAGAAGCTGCTAGGATTGAGGCCATTGCAAACGAGCGCAAAGAGTTGGATATGAAGACGACCTGGGACGACAGTATTACCAAGCGCGCTATGAACCCCGCTGTGCGCGAACATGGGTACATTCCAGCTGCCACCGAGAACTCTTTGGCTGATGCTCAGATCAATGCGGCCATCCAAAGAGATATACACGAGGCCGAGATGGCGGCTAACACGAACGTCAACTCCGGAAACACCAACCCACAGATCTTGGAAGAATTCGGCACTATGGTGCGAAACACAGTGGAGAAAGTGAAGGGTACAAAGGATGAGGGAAACCTGCCGCCCAGACACCACAAGATCACAAGGAATTCTCACCTTCGTCGCCACCGGCATCGACACGACGACGATGAGGACTCTGTTGACATAGAGGAGAGACAGGGACGCGGGTCGATGTTGAGTCCAAAGTGGGGAGGCGACAAGGATAGGCAATCACAAATGGACGATAGGCAATCACAAATGGACGATGCCGAGTCGATTGTCGAGCCTTCGCCGGGTGGTTCCCGACCTGATCAACGAGAGGAAGACGGACCTGAGGCTGGAGAGGAGACTGAACAGGAGCCTGACCGCCCCATTGTCGATAACGAAGTTGAGGACTTTGTGACCGAACAGCTGTACATTCACAGCAAGTTGATGATCGTGGACGACCGCATCGTCATCTGTGGTTCAGGTACGATATTTTTTTGTTTCGTGAATGGTACAATGTGAAATGATAGATAGTAAGTATGTGTGTTTAACACTAGTCGTGCTCTTTCGAACCCCTCAACAGCCAACATCAACGACCGCTCGCAGGTCGGATTCCGTGACTCTGAGATTGCCATCATTATCGAGGATACCGACATGGTTGCCTCTCGCATGAACGGCGAGCCTGTAAGTTTCCACTGCTTATCAGCTATGTCATGTCACAATGCAAAAAGTTTTTAGGTACTCATATACATATTCATACATTGTGCGACTGTGGAATAGTATCAAGCAGGAAAGTTGGCTCATGCCCTTCGAACGGACCTGTTCAAGGAGCACTTGGGATTGCTGCATCACGTTGACCACGATGTGGTGACCAAGGCTAGTGTCTTGCCCGTCGACTTGGATGCACCCCACAAGGATCCCGAGCAAGAGCGTCTTGAATTGATCCGCAAGGCCAACGAACAGGAACAGCAGCAACAACAACAGGGGTCCGATGGAATCCTGCAAGTCCCTGCTGTCAGCAGCGGACAGGTCTCCAATAAGAACCCACATCCGCTTCAGCAGCACCACGGCGGTATGGGATATGTGCAGACGTACACTCCCAACGTGGATGAGACCAAGGCGATGGAGGAGTGGCTTGCACCCAACCCTGATGACGCCCAAGGAGACGCCAAGAAGGCTACCGCCAAGGACCCCGAAGCCGCCAACCAGATTGTCATGGACCCACTTCACGATAGTTTCTATGAGGGATGGTGGAGACCTGTAGCCAAGACCAACACAGAGATCTTCCGAGAGGTGTTCCGCTGTGTGCCCGACGATTCTGTCGAGACCTGGGATGATTACCGCGCGTTCGTACCGAACCCCAAGAAGGTCCTTCAGGGACACGTAGCGATGGAGGGAGCCACGGTCGAGCTGGTGACGGAGCGCTTGCAGAGGGTGACGGGTCACTTGGTCGAGTTCCCGACACGGTTCTTGAGCAAGGAGAACCTGATGGGTGGAGCTGTAGAAGGAGCCGTTGTTCCTATGGAGATCTTTACGTAATTTGGTCGGCCATGCGTGGAGGGAGGTGGAAGAGGAGGAGAAGGAGAAAGAGAGGAAGATGAAAGAGAGAGCTCCCACTGTACATGTATACTTTATCGTTTTTTTACCACATATCTCATTCAAATAATAACAATTGTTTGCACCGAGATCAAGGTCCTCTTTCTCGCCTGAAGAGCGATGCGCGTACAGTACCACAGTTTGCTAATTTCATTGCAACCCTCCAGCCAATCCCAGCGGGCTTCGTCGTCAAGACAGTCACCTCAAAGACAATCCCAGAGTTCAAACCGCTCCAACAACGAAGTCGTCCATCTCGTTCATCCTTTTCAACTTCACACCTCTCTCCACACACACATATTCAAGGTACAAGTAAGGCTCAACTCTGCGCGCTTCCAAGACGCTATACGCTATCTTCGGGACAACCTTTCAACCCTGAGCAAAGAACACCTGTTACTACACAAACACCTCACTATGACACACTTGGTCATCTAACTCTTGGCCTCGCGTTACTTTTCTTCTCTTGTTGAGAGTAGATGATCGACGACAACCAACTAACATTCTTTGCCAACGGCGTCTGCTGCCTGGCCATGGTCCTCATCGTCGGATACCACTTTGTCTCTGTCAACAGCAAGACCGCATAAAGTGATGCGCACACACACATACACACACATACACACGCGGGAAAAACGGGACAAAGGAACTTTTCAGGAATCAATTCCACCTTAACACGATGGTCATGAAGAAGGCGACAAGAACTGTAAATGCAGGGCATCCCGCTCGAAGTCGTCCTTTTCATCAATCCCATCCAGTCCCAGCCCAACTCAACCCAACCCAACCCCACCCAACTCAACCGCACATGAACTTTTTTCCAAACCACTCACCATCCCCCAACCAACGAATTCAGCTCCCTTTCTGCCTTCTGGACGCGAGAGCGCCCTTTCTTTTGAGACATTCACACACAGACAATAAAGCCGCGGCGCGCGTCGAAATCATACCCATGAGAAGAAAAAAAAAATGCAAGCTGACAAGAAGGACACTGACGGACGATGCAGGTTATGATGTGAGGACCCCAACGGGAAAAGAAGTGGCTTGGCGCCTTAACTGCTGAGCAGAAGTCAAGTACAGTCGGGTTGTTCTTTGTTATTTCGCCCCCTTTCTTTCTTCTTTCGCCACCTATCCACACCCCCCCCCTCCCACTGACCATGGACACCGCTGTAGCTCAAGTTTTCGACATCCCCGAGCTGGCTAACGCACTTGCATCTCACTTGGAGAAGAACGCTCTGGCGACACTCGTCCTCACCTGTCGACAATTCAAGATCATATTCGAGCCGTGGCTCTATCGGGACTTGACGTTGTCCTCGGGCATTGTAAATGGCGGGTTGCTACTACACTCAACTCGTTCGTTGCGCGCCCTTTCGAGGAACATCCAACATATCCGCAGCCTGACATGTGGTCCAGAAGAGATTGGCTATCTGTTCAACTGTCTCCTTCGCTACCACGTCCAGACCGCCACCGGCGCTACCACAGACAACGCCTTCACCATCACCTCTGTTGGATCTTTATCTTCATCCTTGCCGCTCTCTCGACGACCACGCTGGGTCCCGCTTCCGGATGTGCCTCCGCGCACCTGCCATGTGATCCCGCTTGCGCCTATGCAACGCTTGGTCTCCCTCAAGATAGACCTCATGTCTTCACGACCCAACGTCAAGATCCGATATCGTATGCCGACTAGCACGGACGCAGATATCACCGTCCGACAGATCTGCTGGATCATACAGCAGTCCCCTCAACTCACAAGCCTTGACATTGTCCGACTGTCTGTCAAGAGTCACACGGAGATGCAGCTATTGGCGGCTACGATCGGGGGTCTTTCTTACCTGCAAAAGATCCGACTTTCCATTCGCACAATGGAGGAGGTGTGGCAGAGAGGGTTTTCCAAAATGTTCTTTACGCTGCCACGTTCCGTCAAGACATGTGAGCTGTTTAGTGTGGAACTGTCTCGTCGAATGTTCTTCCGTCATCGAGGCAACTTTTATCCTGATCCTGACCAGGAGGATGATGCCGAAAGCGAGCTGGATCCGAAGGACAAGGAATGGATAGAGCTGGCCAAAAAGGGTTATGAGAGGAGGAACCATTCGGAGCTGGACCACGAGGAGGATCAGGACGACATCCAAGAGGTCCGTTGCCGAACCGAAACGCTATCTCTGCTCAACAAGTTTGTCCCTTGGAAGATGAACGGTGCTTCTAGCGACGACATCCTGGCTGTCTTTGACCACTGTCCTAACATTGAGCATTTGGATGTTCCCTGCGTTTCGCAAGTCGGGAACGAGCTAGAGTCCCTCGTGAGGTCGATCAAGGAAAGATGTCCACGCATTCGCACGCTCTCCTCCAAAAGAGGCAACGATTGTCGCCACCTTTTCTCTTTCATGGAGACGTTACCACACCAGCAGCTCCAGGAGGTCAAAATGACCAACTGGAATCACACCTTCGACAACGCCATCACAAGACGAGCATTCGAGTCCCATTCTACAACACTGCGCAAGGTGGACATCCACCACGCGTTCGGAATCGGGAGTAAAGGCGTTCTGGCGATCCTGGAACTCTGTGGATCATTGGAAGTGTTGATAACGCACCCAGGTCAATGCGAGAGCCGCAACGTCCTCACCTTATCGGATGCCATCTCAGTTCCTTGGTCCTGCAAGACGATTCGCCACCTCGAGATTACAATCGGTCTTCCTGAGGTCTCCCAAGCTCCTTACTACGCACGAGCGGCGCCAGTGGTTCTGTCGGAGGAGGAGAGACAACAGTTCGCGGACCTGGAGAGATTCTATCGACAAATCGGCAGTCTCACCACGTTGGAGTACTTGGACATGCGCGCAGTTAGCGTGGATATCGAAGGAAATGCAACAGAATCGACAGAGATGAACTCTTGCAAATGCACCTTCCCTGCCATGCTAAATCTCCCCGACTGTGCGACAGGCTGGCCTGGATACCTTAACCTGCTGGCGGGGTGGGTCAATCTGAAGGAGCTTCGAGGTTCGGTCCATGTTACGACTGACGAGACCAAAGTCACAGTCGGCGTTCAGGAGATTGAGTGGATCGCGACTCATTGGCCGTCTCTTGAGTGTGTGGCGTTCTTTACGTGGGATAGTGACGTCAAGGATCAACGCTTCATGCGGCTTCGGGATGAGCTCCGGCCTGGCCTTTCTTTGTGGCAGTACTAAACTGGTGGACACCAGAGCATCTGTTGCAGCTAGAGGTTGGTGTGCTTTGTTGGACTAGAGCTTCGAATTGACTGGATCAGTTGGACACTTTGCTTGTTACCTTGTACGCGCGTTTTCTTCGTCAAGAAAGCAAATAATAAACATTTGGGCCTCTCCTTTGCTCAGAAGATCAGAGCATGAAAAAAAAAAAAAAAAAAAAAAAAAAAAAGACCATTGTCACATGCGGTCTCCACCTTCCAAGAGAATAAGCAGTCATTTCCACCCAGCCGCAGTCTCCGCATGATTTCTTCCCTTTTCTCCCCTCAACCATTCACCTCCACCACCACCCACCTCCTCTTCCTCCGTCTCCAGTCCCCCCCTTTCGCCCAAAAATAACAACATCCATGGAAGCAGCATCGATACGATACTTCAACATCCCAGAACTGGCCGACGCTCTCGGTCAACGACTAGATAAGCGCACCATATCCTCTCTCGTCGCCACATCCCACCACTTCAAGACCCTTTTCGAACCATGGCTCTATCACGAACTCACCCTGTCGTATCTAGACAACAACGGCAAACTCCTCAAGTCTACAGACTCTATTCGAGCCCTATCACGGAATGTGCAGCATGTGCGGTGGTTGATGTGTGATCAGGAGGAGATCGGGTTCTTGTTCAATTGCTTACTTGCCGGTCAAGAGGAGGAGGAGGAGGAGGTTGCTGCTTCAGAGACGACTGCTGGTGATTTGGCTGCCGCAGTAGACGGAGCTGATATGGGAGCATCGTCTTTGTCGAGGACGACGACGACGACGACACCTCGACCAAGTTGGATCCCTGAACTCGAGACGTCACCATCTGACACGGTGATCGTCCCACTCCCACCCATGCACTGTCTGGCATACCTGGAACTAAACCTGATGCCCCTCGGATCCCTCCACTGGCCCAGCTACCGTCTCCCAGCAAGCGCCTCCTCCGCTCGCACCACCCTCCGCCAAACCTGCTGGATCATCCAACAATGTCCCAACCTCGTCGCTCTCGAACTAGTTCATGTCCCCGTTCAGGATTCAAAGGATATGCGATTGCTTTCGGCGACGATTCAAGGAGTTGTTGGATTACAGAGTTTACATTTGTTTGTGAGGGCAGAGGAGAGGGTTTGGAGGGAGGGGACTCCTGGGCTGTTTTTTGGGTTGGGGAAATGTGTCAAGGCTTGCAAGTTGTTTTCAAGTGATGCGATGAATCCAGAGTGTTATTGGGATTTGATGGATGCTGGTCGGCCTGCGGACGAGATTGAAGAAGACCTGGATCTTCCCGAGATACGGCGGCGCGAGGGACCTCTGATCAACTTGACAAAGTTTGTCGCCTGGGGGATGGAACGTTCAACAACCTCGGACGAGATCCTGGCGGTCTTTAGGCACTGCCCCAACATCCGGACCCTTAAAGTCCCCAGCATCTCCCTCGGACAAAAGGAACTGACTCGGCTCGCGACGGGGATCGCTGCATGCTGTCCACACATCCGGACACTGTCAGTTCTGGATACCACCGATGGATACCTCCTGACGCGGTTGATGGAAGTGATGGCCGCCCACACCTTGGAAAAAGTCAAGCTCACCAATTTCGAGTACCAGGTGGACCCTATGACGACGCGACTGATTTTCGCGAACCATGCCCGGTCCCTGAGGACGATCGATCTTCGCTACACGGTGGATATGTCCAGCAAAAACATGGCCACCATCCTAGAACTGTGCGAGGTCCTGGAGGAGTTCAAGAAGCACGCGGATTCGAGTTCGGGGGACGATTTCATTACGCTCCAGGATGCGGTTTCGGTCAATTGGGCGTGTAGGAGGATTCGTCATCTGGAGTTAACGATCGGGATCCCTGAGGATTTGGCACCTGTGCCGTACTATGCACGACTAGAGGAGGAGGAGGAGGAGGAGGAGAGACCCCTAGTCCTCTCGGACGAAGAACAAAAACAGTTTACGAAACTGGAAAAACTCTACACTCAGCTCGGAAGTCTCATAGACCTCGAATACCTCGACCTCCGCGCAATCGAGTACGTCGACCCCAACAACGACCAAGTCCAAACCACCGAATCACCACCCGCGCCATTCGACAACCACTCCTCAGACGACGGAACCCACTACAACACCTTCCCGGCAATGCTATCTCTCCCCAATCCCGAAACAGGGAAACCCGGTTACTTGGATCTACTGCGCGGCTGGACAAAGCTAAAGGACTTGCGGGGCTCGGTGTCTGTCGAGACCGATGAAGCTAGTGTGACGGTTGGAGACAAGGAAGTCGATTGGTTTTTGGACCATTGGCCCATGTTGGAGAGAGTGAATTTCTTTTCGGGCTTGGTGGTTATGGACAAGTTTAGTAGGCTTGAGGACGCCCGGCCGGACCTTAATTTGTGCCGCTGAGCGTTTCTCTTTTTTTTTTTTTTTTTTTTGACTAGTTTTTGATTTCCCCTCCATCCCCCTCCCTCCTCTTCATAATAGACATTTGAGGTCTTATGCATGCAAATTCAATGTGGAAAAGTGAAAAGGTGTTGTTAATTATTACATTTTAATAAGGGGAGATAACAAAGAATGAAATTGAACCAAAAGTGCGGTCAGGGAAGTCGTTAACCCCCATAATCAGTGGTGGTGGTGGTGGGTGCAGTGATGTAAAGTGGTATGAAAAGAAACTGAAAGGACATAAAAAGGGGATAAACTAGCACCAACTACTACCAAAGGGGGGGGCAACTTTGTGAATGGGAGGGGACGATTTGCTTTTCTCCAACAAACAAACAAAAAAAAAAAAAAAAAAAATCCTAGTTCTGTCGAGCAGCACCAGCTTCCTGAGGGTATCCGTTCCGACTAACAGAGGTAGCAGAACCAGCTGTGTGGGGTGGTGGTGATGCTCCTCCCGTGGTCGATGTGGCTGCTGCTGCTGCTGCTGCTGCTCCGGCTCCTGTGGATGTGGGTGGGGTCTGGTAGGCAGCTTGATACTGCATGTATTGCTGGAATTGGTCGTGGGAGACGGCTTGGTAAAACTGGGGATCAATCGCCTATTATATTTTGCAATGCGGAGGTAATACACATCCAGTAAGTTAGCCAATTGACGTAAGTTGCGGGTTAAGGAATTGAGAATGTCAAGTTCCCGACAATGCCTTACATGAGGATATCCTGGCAATCCTCCGGCTGGCTGCTGGTAGTACTGTGCATAGGGCTGCTGCTGTTGGTCGTCATACGCCTCGGCCTATTATATCGCACCCAAAAACAAGAAAAGATCTGTCAGTGCTCCAAGGTCTTGTCGAACGGCAGTTAACGCATCATAGCCAATTCCTCAACAACAACGCTCAATTTGCTCCCAGGCAGACCCGTTCCTGTAGTTCTTACCTCGGGTGCAACATCCTCGCGGGTAGACGACTTTTTGTGGGAGGGCTTGGGTGGCTCCTCGCGGGGCACAATATCGATCAAGAAATCGAACTGGTCCGACCGAGAGACGGCATTGGCCACATCGCTCCTTTGCAGGGTTCTCCGTTTGTTCTCTTCCGCATGCAGCCATGCCCGTCGAGTGATCTCGCAAATGAAAATTTCACAACTAGAAAAACGTTGAAAAAGAGAGAGATACAGTACGAGTCTTTAGTGCGAGTGAGTTAAGGCAATTGGACAGGGTCAGCTCTGAGGGTATTTGTAACCGAAGGCTCAAGAGACGGGCAAGGGAGAGAAGAAGCAAGAATGAGATGCCGAAGGTGGAGTAAAACGTACGCTTTGGAGAATAGGATGGGGGCCTCTGCAGAAATCATCTATTTGTGATATCGTTATTGTAATTGGCCAATGGTGGAAGGATAAAGTAATCAACAAGGTTAGAAGGCAATTGGCTATTTTTTCATGTTGTCCATGTGCATGAAAGAAAAGAAGATTGTCCATTTCATATTAAGAGCAGCAAGCAAAACAAGAATCCTGCATGAAAAATACATATGTGAGGAGTCCATGCATTATCTGTCTCTCCTATCTCTCTGTCTGGGAAACAGCTTCTGTACCTTAACCTCTGGATCCGACTTCATGACCTTCTTGATACGAGCCAACGGGAGTGGATGGTTCTTAAAGTCGGAATCGTATTGCTCAGCAGCAACAATCTGCTCCTCCCAGAAGTCCTGGGCGAACTGTTGTTGCTGTCTGTGGAGAGTTGTGTTGGCTGCTCCTGTTGTTGCCGCTGCTGTTGCTGGGACACTGTCGGCTGTGTCTGCGGCTTCGTTGTTAAGATTTGACCGGGAGGAACTGGAGGCCTGGGCGGCGGCAGCTTGCTGGTGGTAAGTGTCGTACATTGCAGCTCTCTGTGCTGTGTGTTGTACGTAAGTGATGTTGTTGTTGTTGCTGTTGCTGATTTGATTGGTGTGATTAGGGATGACTACAGTAGCGCTAAAGAAGCGAGTCTGTGGTTGTCGTTGTTTATTCCGTTTGGTAAGTGCGACTTGTCCTGATGAGTGTGTGCGGTGTAAGAGAGTAAAAAGATGGAGGAGCAGAGGAGGGGGTTGGGAGAGGGAAAGTGCTTATGTGAGTGTGCCTGAGAATAAGAAAACCTCTCAGCCTAAAAAGGGACGGTTTTTCTTTCTGCTACATCCGCAAATCGATTGGTTGATTAGAAACGTGTTCGAAGCAGCAGAGAACAGCAGCCAATTCACTGGCTGACTATGTGGTCGGACTTTTCACTCTCAATTAGATGTTGACGCCTTGGGCCTCTTAACCTGCCCCTTAACTATGTAATATAGAAACAAATGCTGCATGCATTTATGGATATGTGCGAACGCGCCACTAGGCCCTCAAAAAATGACGAGATGATGATCATAGTATCACCTAAGCACCTAAGACGTGTCCTCATCCAAGCTGGGGAATAAAAAGACATATCGTCATTTTCGCGCATTTGCCTCAAAGAGAGGATAACTTTCTGTCTCATCATGTCTTCATGCCCAATGGCCAACACCAGCGCGAAAGAAAAAAAAAAGAAGTCAGAAAAAAATCACATATAAAAGTAAGCCAAGGAGTGGTTGATACAACCACACTTTCTTCAACAATCCACCCTTCCCCAACACACCAACAACACTCACAAAAAAAATGTCCGGAAAAATCGCAAACACCGTCAAATCCGCCCTCGGAGGCGCCAAGAAGACTGTCGGCTCCGTACTGGGCAACGAAACCATGCAGGCCTCAGGCAAGATCCAACAAGCCGAAGCCCATGCCGCCAACTTGACCGCCCGCGCCGAGCAACAAGCCAAGGGCGTCGCACACAGCGCCAAAGGGGCTGCTGAAAAGACTGTCGGTGCCGCTACTGGCAACAAATCCATGGAGGCTGAGGGGCATGTTAACTCTGCTCGTGGGGCAGCTGAGCGCAAAGCTTAGACAACAGATGGAGAGAACATTAGAGTAATCCTCCCCCACATCTTTTCTTTTATCTTTGACCCATTCACTTGTACATAAACGACCATGTTCATATCACGAAGAAGAAAGACCTGTTGATCGAGAATGCGGGCGTTTATTGCTGGGGTATATTCTCTTTTGTCAAGGTATTTTGGATAGTGGTGTAACAATTAACTGTAGAAGAAGAAAAGAAAACCGGCCTCGAAGCAAGAAAGAGAGCATCAACGGACGCATTCACAAGAACAAAGAACAAAGAACAAAGAAAGTGATAATAATGCCTTTGGGTATCAAAGTTATACGTTTGTATGTTGTGTTGAAGTGAGAAGTATGTGCGCGTTGTTTTAGTGGCCCAAGACATTAGTGCTCCTCTCTGTTCTGGTAGATAATGGATTTTGTTGTATTGACGATTGTTGGACAGCAATTAAAGAGAGGAGGATGAAAACTAGGCGTCGAAAGCAGGCAAGACGTTATTAAGGTTGCCGATGTTATCGTACTCGGTTGGGAACTCGTCTGAGCACCTCCATTGACCATCCACGATGAACTTGAACAACTATCAGATCAGAAAAAAGAGAAAACTGGTCAAAAGGAGTGTTCTCGTTGGATCGGGTGGATCATAGCGCATGGAAAGGAAAAGTGCTTACATTCTTTTGAGAACGATCGAGATCGATAGCGACCTTAGACTGGTCCGGGTTGCCCTGGACCTTCTTCAAGACGATCGATTCTGTGAATGACAACGAGGAGGAGTTGGAAAAAAAAAAGGATGGTTAGCATGAACAAGGTTTTTCTTGACTTTTCAGATGGCGATTGTTTATCTTTTGCTACCCATCCCATTGTTCGGAAATAATAGGTCGAAGGGCATGAACAGCCAAAGGAAGAAAAAAAGGAATGGGGAAGATTGGAGTTCGACGTGTAGCCTTCTCATCCGCCTTATATTGCAAAGGACAGGGACGTAAAAATAGAAAGAGAAAATCCTAATCCTTCCTTAGCTGCCTTCGATTCGAAACCACAGCGATTCTGAATTATCCCCATACACACGAGCACCAACCCTCGGGTCAAAATAAACAAGGGCAAACGTAGACAGAGAGAGAGAGGAAGGGATGGCTAACGCGTTCGTTGCAGGATCGACAAGACAATGTTCTTGTTTCGCCATTTGTTGATTCCTTACCTCCCCAGTTGTCAAATGTGCCGGTGATCTTGACGACATCACCACCGTTCTTCCATAGGAACTAGTTAAAGGATACAACGAAAACAAGCAAAAACACAAAGTAAGTTATGCGTAGTTGACAAGGTGAGGCAATTGGGTCGCGCAACGCCTTTCCCTCTCTACTTCACACCCATAGACAATCCTCGATCGGTAGTTTTCGAAATCTAGGAGAGGGTAGGAATGGAGGGGAATAAGTAAACAAACAAACAGGATGAGCTTACAGTGTGAGCAACGAGAGCGCGTTTTGGGTGCTGAGGAAGAGTAACGGGCGTGGGTTCTGCGAGGATGTTTCTGGCAATGGGAGAGGCGTCCTTGGCAGGGGTCTTTTCCTCGGAAAGACCCAATGATTCGACGGTAGGAGTGATTGAACTCGATGCCTCTTGCTGCTGCTTGACATTGGCGACAGGGGTGGAGGGGACAGGTTCGGTGGCAGCAGCAACGGGAGCAGAAGGGCTAGTGGCAGCAGATGCAGCAGCCTTGGCAGCCTTGGACTTTTTCTTCTTTTGGTTCTTTGAGAGAGGAGTCGAATGGGCCTCGGCAGGAGTGCTCATGCCAGCAGATGAAGGGGAGGGTCTGGCGACAGAGCCAGCAGGTGAAGCTGCAGGGGTGACGGTGGCGATCTTTTGTCCGTTACCAATGGCGGCGGCTTTAGGGGTGGTGGGCATGTCGATATCTGCGAGTGAAAAGATCGATGAAGTAGGCGATGGGGGTCCGATTGCTTCTGAAGTCTTTGTTGATGCTGTTGCTATTGTCGTGCTGATGAAGGCGGGAGTGAGCTGTTGAGGTCTTTTTTCCGGGATGTGGGAGAAGAAAGAAGTGGGAGGAAGAGTGGAGAGAGGAGTAGAGGAAGGTTGTTGGGTGGAGGAGAGGAGGTGAAAGAAGCGGATGGAGTGACAAGCCAGCATTCGTGATAATGATGTAGTAGACTGGTGAAACCTTTTTTCTTCCTTGCGCGAATGAATGGGACTGTGGTTCAAAGACAAAGACAATGAAGCCAGACAAGATAGTGAGAGATAAGAAATGAAGAGAGCCGAAGGTGTAAGGTTGAACCAAATGGAGAACTATACGCGATAGCAAGACTGAAAAAAAGAAGCCGGTGGCGAATAGGAAACCTGCGAGGTTAAGTTGGTAGTTTGGGTGCTCTTGATAGATAGATAGAGATATTGAAGGCGTAGCAACCAAAAAGTGTTAAAGTCGCGTATTTGAAGGAGGAATTATGAACGCTGGTTCCTTGACAGAGGTGGGGAAGACGAGAGGGTGAAAGTGAAAGTGAAGAAGACGACGAAAAGCAGAAAGAAAAATATATAAAAAAAGATGTAAGAAGGACAATAATGAGAAATATATCGAAGGAAAAGAGGGGATAGTAAGGAGCAATTGACGGGTGGGGATGGGCATCAGGAAAAACAAGAAGGGTGTGGATGACGGGCATTATCTGATACGACAAGCGAGAGATGAAAAGGGAGGGGTAGGAAAGAGAGTGAGGGAGAGAGGGAGAGAGGAAGTGGTCTCTATTCAAGCCAAGAAGAATGGGGAAAGGGGGGAAACATCATCATGGTCATCGACCGACCCTTGGTCACGCTCATCCTGGGAGGAAGGGAATACTCTCTTTCAATCCATTACAACATACACATATATCATAACAAACAACGACTGGAGAAGGGGAGAATGGGGACGAGAGAGAAGGATGGGGGATTGAGAAAGACGACAAGACGATTACTGCGAAGACACGTAATTGACAATGAATAGAAAGAAAAAAGGATCAAGTGGTTATTCCAAGTGTGTGACATATTGATGGTGGGATGCAATGTTTTATTCTGCATTTTGCGTTTCTCCCTTAGGCCCTTTGATGTAGCGTATTCGCTTGCTTCGGTTCACTGTCGGTGTGGATGACATACTGACAATCGACGACTCTCTTTTTTTGTGCTTTGGTGGACAATGGAAGCCGACAACATTGGTGGTTTCCTCTTCTTGACACGACGCTGAGTAGCCCCTGTGTTCCCCTGTGTATTCAAATTGGTTCAGCACTGTCGAAAAGGAAACAGATAGAGCTGCGGCTGACATCAATGGCTTGATGTTGAGAAGACACTTTTCTTGCTTTCGGCAATTTCCGTTAGGCGAGAATGCATCGTTACTTTTTATTCCAAGAGAAGTCGCCTCCCCACACTCACTCGCCCATACACAAAACATATCGATATTATCCATGCATGCATGCAATAAAGCAAGTAGAGTTCCAAATGCAATATTGCATTCGCAACACGCACGCCACATGTCCCACGTTACCAAAGAAATAAACACGGCATATAAGAAGGAACATCGTTCGCTGAAGCAAAGAAAAGGGCGGTCTATCCTAATCCGGGTCAGATTGAGGTACCGACAGGGAGAGGCGCCCAATGCTCATTCCTACCCTTCTTTTCATTGCTATTGTCTTTTGTGAGTGAGTGAGTGTGCATGTTTGTGTTCTGTGTTTCCCTGAGTTTGGATTATGATTCGATGGCATTGCCATTTGAGTACACCCGCCTATCCAGGGTCAAGTGCGATCTGTACTTGCCTTGTCCTAGTACCCATAGCCAGCAGTTCGGTCGAATAAGTATTCTTCTCTTGGTCTTCTGTGAGGGTTTGCATTTGTTTCGAAACCCGAGGGTCTAGGTTTGGAGTTGTTGGAGAGGAAGTGGGAGAGAGAGAAAGAGTTGAAGGTCTTAGCAGGATTGGACCGTGTGAGTTTTTGATGATCCGCCACATGCAAGACTGTGCCCCTGGTTGTTGTTGTCGATCTGCTCTTTATGAAAGAAGGTGCTCTTTGGGAGTCGAGAGGGAGGTTGAAGGGAACATTTTACTTCTTATGAATGATGGAGCCAGGCTGGTAGCTTACTAGCTGGCCGTTTGAGGGGAACTGAAGATGAGACTCGCATCTGGTTCCTTGTTAGGTATGTTCACCTCTTTTCTCCGTCTGGGGTTGTTAAATGAAAATGAAGTAGAAGAGAACTCAGTCCAGGGTGCTGTCAGGAGAGTCGAGTCCGAGGAGGGTGCGAAGTTGCGAAGGTGTGTTTGAAATCCTGTTCGTAAGAAAATAAAAAAGAAGAGGGTTCGAGTGTGTTGAGCGTGGGAGCGAGTGGTGTTTTGAAGAAAGTTGTATGCGCCAGAGAGAGAGAAGATGCAAAGGAATGGAAATAGAAAAACGCCAACAAGCATAAGGAGGAGGAGGAAGAAAGAAGACGAGGAAAGTGTGCATGTTGAGTGCATACAAATCCTCACCGTCAGTCGTGTCCCGTCATCGTCATGTTTTGTGTTCTGAGAGAGAGAGAGACTAGTGATATTTGATGCTGGAGAGAGTAGTGATATCTGATGATGGGAGAGAGAAGTGATATCTGATGATGAGAGAGAGAAGTGATATCTGATGATGGGAGAGAGTAGTGATATCTGATGGATAATTATGGCATCCTCTTTCCCATTCATCGCCACCATTTCAAATTTGTTTGTGTGAACACTTCTTATTTGCGCATATCATGCCCCCTCTTGTTCCACCCCCAGCCCCTGACTTTTTCATCTCTTTTCGTTTTCTGTCTTTATTTTCTGTTTGAACTACTTACAGCAGCCAGAAAGAAGAAGAGCGAAAAAAGGCTTTGCAGACTCGTCAGACGAGCTGCTACTTTAACTGGTTCCGTAGAGTACATACGGTGGCACTGTCTTGCAAGGATGAACAGCCGACTCCCGCCCTGTCTGTCTGTCTGTCAATCTGTTTCCAAAGCCCAAGGAAATAACAATAAACAACGCCAATATAACAGCACAACAACACAACCGATTGACTCTGGCTCGATTGACTCTTCATTCTCACCTGTGCTCTCACATACACTCAAACACTCCGTCTTTGTCTCTCTTTCTTCCTTCCTTTCTTCCTCTTTGTCTTCCTCCCTTCTCTTCACTCCCCCTCCCCCTTCACTCTCCCTTCTCTCCTCCTCCTCCTCCTCCTCCCCTTCAGCCTCTAATCAACAAGCCTCCTCCTCCTCTGACTCTCTTCATTCCCTTCACTCTCCACTCTTCGCATCCTCACTCTCGCACCTCAATCACCCTTCTCCACCCGTCTTGATCCGACTCTCGTCTCATTCTTTACGCCACCTCTTCACTCTCTCTCTTTTGTTCTCCCAATCAGAAAATTCCTACCTCGACTATCAAGTCTGCTGCGGTGTCTACGTGGACCTTGATGGCAGTGAACATGGTAAACAACAACAACACTTGGACACACTCACTCAGGAAGCAACCACACTTTCAACACTTCTTCAAACGTCGCACTCTCGGTCAAGGAACACCTTCAGCTAATCGGCCTCTTCCTCCTACTTCTTTGTCGTTTGCTGCTCTCAACTTGTCAATCACACCCTTCTTAGCCGGACAGCTGCGGGTCACCTACTGAAGTCGACTCCCTCCTTACTCATTTCGCACCTTCTCCCCAATTCGATGTAAGTTGGGACAAACATACTTTACCTTTCAGCCTGCCTCCGACGCCGATCACACACCGCCCTGTGATCTTTCTCTTTTCTGTCCGTTCGTTGTTTTTTCACTCGTGACCCCGTCGCCTTTTGTTGTTGTTATTTTTCGTTGTCGCTGTTACTTGTTTCTGGTGCTTCTGGTGTTGTTTACAACGGCCGTTTAGAAAAAGAGACTTCAGTGGACTCAACATCGCAGACCCTTCTCTGCCTCTTGTCGTCGTCGTCTCTTTTTTTTTGAGCGCCCTTTGCTCAAAACCAACTCCTTTATCCATGCGACCGTTTCTTTGTCCCCTTTGACGCCTAGACTGGTGAATCTCAATAACGTCGCATCATTTTTATCGTTTTACAGCCTGCTGACCCTTCTCTATCTTTCCACTCTTTTAATGTAGTTTACCTTCCTGTCGACACACGATGGAAAGGACCACCATGTAAGCAATTACTATCCAAGAATGCAAATACAGGAAAGAATTTGGCAAGGATATCGTCAGGATGGATATACGTGATGGAAAGCCCCATCTTGTACCCAGGTTTACCAGGAATGAATATGCAGGAAGAAAAGTAGACTCGTATGGACATGGGCAGGACGAGTTCATGCAGGCAGCACTACCTCGTCCACCTCTATCACTCGTCAACTTGATTGTTCAAGGAACAAAAACAATGACTCGATATATTTGACCACTGCCATCAACCTACGCGTTCACGGAACAAAAGAACCTTCGAAGTTACTCTCGCCAACCTACATACTCAAGAAACAATGAAAAAAAAAAGACTTGAGATTGTCGACTACTGTCACTCATCGCCCTGCTTGTCTATGGAACAGTAGATAAATCGTCTACAGTCACTTACCAAGCTTTTGTTACTCGATAGGTGCCAGCCGCCATTTTTACTGCTGCCTTTTCTGACAACATGCCCTCACTCGGACTCACCGGCGATGCAAACATGGACGAGCTCTTGGGAACGGGAGATCAGCTGACGCCTAGAAAGAGAGATCGCGGCGAACGGATTGTCTGGACACCCGAAGAAGACGAGTTTTTGCGCGCCGCCGTCCAGACATACGGAGACAAGACCGAAAAGTGGGCCAAAATCGCCGCCTGTGTGCCGGGCAGGACTAACAAAAACTGTCGAAAACGCTGGTTCCATTCGCTCGACCCCAGTCTGAAAAAGGGCCCATGGACAGAGGAGGAGGATCACTTGCTCAGGACAGGCGTTCAAAAGTTCAAGGGTCAATGGAGTAAAATCGCAGAGCGTATCCAGGGACGAACGGACGATCAGTGCGCAAAGCGGTGGCGCGAAGGTCTGGATCCCCACATCGACCGAGCCGCATGGACACCCGAGGACGACGTTATTCTGCTGCAAAAGTTTGAAGAGTTTGGGAGCCAGTGGCAAAAGATCGCGCTCTCCTTCCCAGGACGACCAGGACTGCACTGTCGGAACCGGTGGCGTAAAATCCAGAGGGGCCTCAACCATATGAAGCGCACACACAAACGGCGGCGGAATCAATCAACTTCGCGACAAGACACAACCGAAACCCAACGACTGGAGGCACTCATGGATGCTGATGACGATGACTACCAATACACAAAGCGAGCAGGGAAGCAACGACATTCCTCTGACGACCGTCTCCACGACGGCCAGTTCGATGAAGATGATCGCGGTCTTGACGACAGCAACGATTCGGGGCACTCTGACCAGGACGACGACAGAGACGACACTGGCCCAGACGAGGATAAGCCCTACGGCTGTGCCATCCCCGACTGCACATTTTCCAGCTCGTCTCCATCGCTTCTGTTTTACCACTTCAAGGCCTCCCATCACGGAACAACAGTCTTGAAGCCCTTCAGATGCACCATGCCCGGTTGCGAGGAGCGGAAGCGATACAAAAACATCAACGGTCTTCAGTACCACGTCACCCACGCCAAGAACACTCCAGGACATTCAGGGCATGGTTCAGTAGGTCCTTATGATGGGCACCATTCAACATCCACGACTGACGCAATTACGGCAACAACCACGGCGACAAATTCACCATCCACATCCTCAGGTGTCCAGGTGCAGGCGCCTTCAGCGGACATCTTGACGCCTCAAGTGGAACTCCAAAACTTTTCCTTTATTCAACCGCAGCCTTCTTCCCTACCGACTCCACCCACTAATGCGGAGATGCAAACCATCGCTCCGCCACTCCTGAAGCAACAGCCGATTGTGTCCCTCCAGGCATTCAACATTCCACATACCCCGGAGTCACTGGAAGACTCTGTCATGTCCTCAGCTCCTCTGGATGGGTCATTGACACAAACCCAAACCCAGGCCCATCTCCAACAACAGCTTCAACAGCTTCAACCCTCACTGCAACATCAGCTCCAATCACACCATCGACCTCAACTCCACCCACAGCTTCAGCCTCAGCCTCAGCCTCAGCTCCAACTCCAGCAACGACAACAACAACAACAACAACAACAACATCATCAACAACAACAACAACAACAACAACAACAACAGCAGCAGCAGCAACACCAAGTTCAACTGCAACCTCAACTTCAGCCGCAGTTGCAAACGCACCTGCAACCTCAATCTCAGCTGCTTATGCAACATCAACCTCATCCACACAGTCAACAGCTGCAGCCTCATCATACGACAACACCCCTGCAATGTCCAGAACTTGGATGTGGACAGTACTTTCACAGCATTGGAAGTCTGAATACTCACATGGCGACTCAACATGGTCACCGGTCCATGACCATGGCCATGACCGCCGAAAGCACTGACAGCTTTGCAGTCGACTCGATCGCCATCCCGGAGAACGACTTTGACGACATGGAAATCGACCTTGCCTACCTCGCGTCAGACAGCGCATCACCCATGGAACCTGGCCTGCTGATGCTGGAGGACCCTCACCTGCAGAAGCAGCTCGATAGCCTTACTCGGGATCATGGAGCATTAAGCCTGGACCCCACGACCCCGGACACTGAGCAGGATCTCAACATGTTGACGATGAGTGAGATGCTCTTTGCCAGCCATGTATCCAACTCTCAGAGCAGTGTCGGCGCCTTTGACAACCGGATCCATTTCGGGTCGCACATCAATGTCGGCTCGGATGATCCTTGGACCCTTCCTTCGACCCCTGTTACCTCGGCCAACGTCAGTCCTCGGATGACCGCGATGCATGTCTCAGCGGTACCCGTCGTCTCTGGAGCTGCCATTGCTACGGCTATCGCCGCTGCCACCACTACTATTGGTGGCACTAAGCAAGTTGTACTGAAGAAGTTTCCGTGCATGTTCATGGATTGCCCGAAGTCGTACGGAAGTAACTCGGCTCTCAAGGTGCACATGCGCAACGATCATTCGGGAATAGGCGGTACCAAAGCTGTGAAGGGCGCTGTTCCAGGAACGGGCGTTGGTGTTGGAGCAGGATTGGCACCTTTGGACTACCAACTGACCATGAACCCTCAGATGGTTCCTTCGATGGGTTCGTCTCAATTCCAAGCTAGATTGGGATCGGTGCAGGCGCAGGTGCAAGTTCAGCATGTGGACCCCAAGGTCGTCAGCCAGTCCAAGGCAAAGCCAGCCAAAAAGTCGGACGAACCCTCCAACAAGCCCTACAAATGTCTTGTCCCCGGATGTGGCAAAGGCTATACCAACATCAACGGTTTGAAGAACCATCTCTTGCAGGCTCACGGCTCCACCCCCAGCAAGAATGCCTGATCTCTTGGATTGCCTCATCTCTCTTTTTTTTTCTTTTACGTCCCTCGCGCTCGCCCATCAGACGCCTTCCTCCTTTTTGGCGTCAACCGTTTTTTCTTTTTCGCCTCTTTTTCCTCGCCTGTTTTTGGTCGAACTATGATCCTCTAATTCGCAAAACTTGTCAGGGAACAAGAATAAAACGATCCAAGCATGTTGCAGAGTCGAATGAGAGGGTCCGTGTCGATTGCATTAAGTAGATGACATGGTATCTGTCGGTATGAAAAGTGACAAATACAGTTTTTTTGCTGGCAAAATGCCTCCCTCAAATTCGTTTTGATCACTCCCATAATGCAAGCTCGAGGAAGTGGGCTGTATTACCGATCCTTCATTGCAGTGTTTGCGTGAGCAGCAGGTGGTCCCTGTCACAAGTTCTGACTTCAACTGTGGGTGGCCAACAAGGGCCATGCTTGCGCTTCTTTCACTTCAGTTGTAGCATGGACACATGGCCCGCCTACAGCCAAAAATGTCGATGCATAAAAAAAATTAGCATTAATTCCACTGTATTCCCACATTAACCACAAAGGATCGTATCAACTCAATGACTGCCTCGACAAAGACGAAAAAAACACGCCTTTGTTTTTGTCGGGCCTGGGTCCGTTTTCCCACAAATCCTTATTCTATGCCTGTAGACCTCCCCTTCACTTTCTTTTGGATCCTTTTGACTCCCTAGACGTTCATATCTGCCCGCAAGTTCCTTATTCATATAGCAGCCTCACTAGGCTTTTCTCTCTCTCTTCTTTTTGCTTTCCCTTTACTGTTATTCTTCTTTCATTCCCTCAACCCTCACCGACAATTTCCTCCGCCTCACCCACCTACAACACTTCATTGCTTCATTCACTTTCCTTCTTTCCGCTCCTTCTTTGCCTTCTATCTTTACTCCTTCTTTACTCTTCCTCAGCTTTCTTCTTAGCTTCCCCCTTTTTTGCTCTCCTTACTCCTCACCCAATTGACCTGGATTGAACCACAAACCTACTCAACCTACACATCCACTACACAGGTAACCTCTCCTTTGTTCACCCTCGCCTTTCTAGGAAAACACTACTTTTGCTCATTCGTTTCTTGCCTTTCACGACACGTCCACTTTTCTATACCGCGGACAGCACTACGCGCTTTTCATCGTTCAATACGCGTACTTACTCATAAATCACAGCTCGTTACACATTTTTGAAGCAGCAGTATTTTTGCTCACTATGCCGACTAACCCTGGCCCGACCAACGACTCTGACGCGTCGACACCGCGCCGATTGCCTGGCGAAACTTTTGCTTCAACTCTTGGCCAAGGTACTCACCTTTTCTTCCTTTGCAGTGGGGTTAACAGTGATTTTATAACATGGTTCTAGTAAAAAAAAAACGATAAGCGGTCGATAGATACGCGAAAATGATTGGATGAATAGAACACTCTAGTTTTGATATTTGATTTTAATAACCACGCTATTTTTCTTCCTTCTTTCTTCATTTTCTTCTTTGTTGTTTTGAAGGCTTACTTGCTGAACTCGACTCTAGAACGCAGCTCCCCAAGCAGGAAGCAGAGGAAACTCACCCAGCTACCTCGGATACCTCTGAAGTCCTAGTCCAAGTTGGCAGCGACCAGGGTTGGGATCTTACCTTCCTTGATCACGAGAGGCTCAATAATAACGCCGGCTTCCAGGTCGATCCAATGTTGACTACCACCACTCGCAACGACAACAACAACAAGGCCACTGACTATTCCCCGCGAGCTGGAGTTACGGAAGACTACCCCTGCATGGCTAGGAACGAACGTATCCTGTCATACCCCATGCTCGACCTGACCCAGTCGCGCCACAAGCAGCAAATACTCCAAGACCCGTCCACTGCGCCGTTAGTCTCGCCACCGTTGGCACGGGCTACGGTCAAGCTTGTCCCACTTTCGTCCTCAAGCTCGCACTTGCTGGCCCGTCGCCGAGGTGCTGCCGTTGCCGCCACGACTGAGGCGTCACATGGTTCTGGCAACCCGCCAGCGGCTTTGTTTGAGCTAGCGAGTTCAGGAGCCTTGCCTCGACCGGGAATTCCCTTCTCGATCGCTGGTACTGCGTCTCCCCTTGGTGCCAATGCTGCGCATGAGTCTGACTCGTACTTCCCAATGGGTCCTGTTAGAGCATCGCTCGGTCTCGCCGGTACTGGCGATCTCAATACCGCCGCTCCAGCTCCGCTGCCGATGCTTACTCGTTACCCTCGTCCCCCATCCTGGTATTTGAACTTGCCGCTCCGCCTTGCTCAGTTGTTGAGGCCTGATTTTTTCCCTCAGCGGGCGTATTGGTCGGACTATGCCTATCGCCGTAGGAGAGCGAGTCTCCTCTCTTGTGTGCTCTTTGCTGAAGAGGAGGAGGAGGATCAGGGGCAAGTTTCGCCATCTTCTTCGGACGAGGTGACGGAAGAGGATGGCTCCGAGTTTGAGATGGATTCGGAAGCAAGTGTTATCGATGACCAGTCGTTGACACTGTTTCCTGTGCTTTCGTACTTGGAGGCGGATGATGTCGCGTCGTCTCGCTGTGCTGTCGAGAAGTTGGATTTGTCAAACGGCAACGAGCCTTTGGATGTTGTTGACTCCATGGACGGACCTGGCTCTGCTGTCTCGCTTACAGATGTGGCACAGGGTTCTATCAAAGATAACTCGTCCAACGGCACTCCGGCTTCTCATTCCATACCTGAAAAGTGGCCGCCCACAGAAATGAGGAACTTGACTGTCAACTTTCTCTTTGACATCCAACCCGCCTCGCCCCTCACAGACGCATTCCCGCCTCTGAACCCTCAAGCGGATGGATTTCCGACGGCCGTGAATGATGGTCTTGAACCCGAGACAGCAGCAGCGCCACTTGACCAGAACCTGCAGGCCTTGCTTGACTTTCTCAACACCCCTGCCCGACCACCACTGTATTCGTCTCTCGTTATTCAAGAGGTTGAGAATACCATGACATCGATCGATGCAACATTGCCTGCGCACGAGTCCGAATGCCACCAGTCCAACTTGACCGAACTTGAAGGTAAGGAAGGAAAGGAAGGAAAGGAAGAGCGTGGCTCCCAGTCAGTTTGGCCATGGATGAAACACAAGACCATCCGCGCGGACCTTGATCTCCTCAAGTTCACGGCGGACTATAGCGTCGCCGTCAAAGTCAGGGATGATTTTGTGGAGACCTCTAGTCGCCTTCGAGAACAACAGCTACGCCACCTTATCTACATGCATCAGGCCATTGACGGGGATGTGAGGAAAGAGGAGAAGCAGGATAAGGAGGAGAAGGAGGAGAAGCTGGAGAAGGAGGAGGAAGGGGAGTGTCCAGTGGGCGACTGTGAGGATCTGTTGGAGGATCTCACTGTGAGCTCATTGGCCCAGTCGTGGCTTGATGACGATTCTGAGACGGTGACGCCGGGTTCTAGGATAGGGGGGTCTGGAAGTTCTACTCCGGTTGTCACGGCGGGAGAGGAGATGAGGATGAAGAAGAAGGAAGAGAGGGATGAGTTTACGGCGAAGTTGGATGTGGTGTTTTCGCAGCTCGGGGGACTCTTGGCGCCGCCGCCACGTCTGGCTAGGAAGGAGGGGCTCCTGCAGGGTGACTTTGCGCACGAGGATTCGCATGAACGCGTCCCTGAAGGGGCCGGCAAGAGCAGTCTTATTGTCGAGAACCTCGCTTTTGTGGTCGATGACGAAATGGGAGATTCTCATGAGAGCCTCGTTCTCGGCAGCAAGAGTGCGTACGACTCTGACGATGGTGAGGACGAGGATGCCTTTGTCGACGCCTCGGAGGAAGACTACTCACAACACCCAAACGTGGTCCACAGACTGTTCCACAGTCACCCACACCTCCGAGACCTCTACCCACCCGAGATCCCTCAAACCGTCAACCTCCCCAAGAGGCCTTCTTACATCTTGGACGAGCAAGGTCAAATACAGATCCTCGCCCCCGACGCGCCTCTTCCAGACCTGTCGACCTGGACATTCCAACCCGGACCTCATCACACCCCCGTAGTCAACAATAAGGTTGTAGTGACCTGCGAGAACTGCCTTGGTCAGTTTGGGATATCTCCCGACAACCTCGACGTCCTAGAGCGACACCAGGCCGAATCCTGCCGAACGCCCTTACAGCAAAGGTGGCAGCGGTTCTTGTTAGTCGCCGAGAAGATGACTAGTCGCGGGAAGGTTTGGGACACTGTTAGGAGACGAAGTCGGAGAGGAGTGTATCGGTTATCAAGTCAGACAATCAATTGGATGATGGACGCGTTGCTGGGGCAACTGCAGTTGGTTCAGGCGTTCGTTGATGAGGATGCCTTTGACGCGGACGCTGGTCGTCTTGTCGAAAAGGAGGAGGAGGAGATTGTGAGAGAGGTGGTCCAGGGATCCGGGTACTAGTGGCCTGCGTTGCCGACAGATGGTGGCTCTCGGGAGTGAGAGGTTGAGTCGGAGGGAGGAAGAGGAAGAGGATAGCGGGGCTGAGCCCTTTCGGCGGCTCCGAGCAACTGTACTACTGAACAATAATCATTCAATACATACCACACATACTTCCGAGTTGCCGTAGATGTTTCTTTTTCGTTTAGTCGTCAAGACAAAATATGGAACCATGGCTCTTGTTTCATTGAGAACACCTCGCACACTATAGACGCCTTTATCATTCAAGAGGGAATCCACGAGGAACAAAAAGTGGTGATCAAACACATCTCTACTTCCAGGCCCTTGACACGTTACCAGAACTGATCCATTGATCTAATCTCGCAGATGGCAAAGCCACCGCCACTTTTTCACAACTTTATTCCGCAAAGAGTGTGCCCCCACCTCCCACTCCTTTTCTTTTCTCTTCTTTCATTACATCACCCAACATCGACAACCCCCCTACTCGACCGTCAAGAATGTCATTGCCGCAAAAGTTGGTCGCGGCTGCGATCCCGGATGATCAGGACCTGGCCACTGCCGTCCAGGCAATCGTCAAGACCCACCCAGACATCACCGCGACCATCACGCGACTCCTCACTTATGTCCAATCCAAACAGAACACTTCCTCATCAAGCGCGTCAAGTGACACCAAGCGTGCGAAACCGGCGCAAGGAATCGCACAGTTCTTCAACAGCCCCGCCGCCACCACTACTACCACAGCAGGACCAGGACTAGGAGCGGCGGTGGACGCACCTATCGGACCAGCCATCTATTCAACAAACCCCCTCTCATTCTTGCACCCGGTCCGCAAGAAGTTCGTCCTCTCCCTCCACAAGTCCCATATCGCCCTCGTCTCCGCCACCAGTGCTACCGACATTGCCTTCAAAGCACCCTACGAGTCCCTATACCGTGTCGTGGCAGTCCCCTTCCTGGAACGTGCGACCAAACACACAGCCTTGATTCTTTTCTTTCGACACTCGGCGTTTGCTACAGGAGGGGGCGCAAAGGATGCGATCTGGGCGGTCCCTCTGCCCGATGACGGCAAAGATTTCTCATTGCAGGCGCATGCGCCTCACCTCGGACTGGTCGGTCTCTCACAGGATCTTCGGATAACAGGAGCCAAAGAACAGCCGCCATTGGCGTTTGTGAACCCAGCGACTGTTACAGGACCTACCAAACGACCCGACCATATCTTCCTCTCCGTCCTATCCTACTTCCTCAAGCACAGTGACACCAGCAAGACGGGAAATGTCATGGACAGGATTATTCCGAACCCGACACCGGCCTACCCAAACTTCTCGGCACACTTGAAATCAAACCAGGGGACAATCTACCTCCTCCCGACGGGGATCATGTTTGCGTTCCGGAAACCGATTCTCTTCCTCCGCGCGGCTGCCATAGAGGCTGTTGGGATCCATGCAGTGCTCACCAGGACGTTTGATTTCGAGATTGTCATGGATACCAACACTTCCTTAAGCGACGGCGGCAGAGACAACGGAAAGGACGAGTCAAGACGAGGGACGATGGTGGAGGATTTGGAGGGGATCCCGCCAGAGAATAAGGATGGCCGACGGGCGATTGGGTTTGGGATGGTCGATACCAAGGAGTTTGCGAGGATGGAGGAGTGGATTAAGAAGGCTGGTATTCGCGACCGGAGTATGAGTGAGGATCTAAAGGCGAAGGATAAGGCGCCTACCGCGGCTGGAGCAGGAAGTGGGAGGAAGCGAGAGCGGGCTGCTGACGGAGAGGATGAAGAAGAGTCTTCTCAAAAGGCTGCCAAAGGCGAGAATGATGGAGGGGAGGATAGTGATGATGAGGATGATGATGATTTTGCGCCGGAGAGTGAAGATGAAGTGATGGAGGAGTATGATTCGAATGCTGAAGGGAGCGACAGTGATGGAGGCCATGATGAGGTGGCTGAAGGAAGTGGGAAGAAGGGCAAGAATACAAAGGCGGTAGGATCAGGGAAGGCTGGACAAAAGAAGGTGCAGGATGAGGATGTGGATCTGGATGAGGAGAGTTTAGGCGAGGACAGCGATGAGGATGAGGATGAGGATGAAGAGGATTGAAAAGCACCTCGCTCATGAAAATATACCGAAGAGATCTGACAGTGTTATGTTTTTATGGATGTCTAGGAAACTTTGTCTAATGTACATCTAATGAATGTCTAGGGTAAAGACCATGGAGCTGGTGGGGTACTGTCGTTGTTATTGTTGGTGCTGGCGTTGGGCAAATGCGTCAAAGGGTGGACACGTCCGTCATCATCTTCGCCCTGTCGTCCGTTGTTATCGTTGTTGTTGAAATCGGTCAAATATGACCCGTGGTGTGTGGTTGTGGTTGTGTTGTTGTTTGTTCTGTTCTCCTCCAAAACCTTTCCTTCCTCTTCCTCCTCAGCAACTTCCTCCACTCTCTCACAGGCAGATGACTGCCTCGTCCGAACTCCCTTCCCCTTCACATCTCCATCCGCCGCTCCCTGCTCCTGCTCATGCTGGTGATAATCTCCTTCAAGACCTAGAGTCGTCTCGGAAGAGTGGGACCCCGAACGGGTGTAAAATCCACTTGTCAGGAATGTCCTTCCTCCTGCCGTGGCAAAGGTTGGAGAGGACGAGGCCATGAGTGGGGAGTTGGAGGCTGTCTGACTGCCGCTACCGAAGGGTGTCAGCATCGTCGGGGACATGCAGAATCCACCGGTGTATGGCGTTGACGGGGATGAGAGGGATGAAGAGTTGGTGGGATCGAAGGGGGAGAAGAGGAGCTTTGTAAGGCGGTTGTGGGTTGTGGGTCTTGTGCTGTCGATATCTGACTCGTCTTCTTCGTCACAGTCAGAGTTGTTGTTACTGCTGCGAGTGGAGCTGTTGCTGCTAGTGGCTCTGGATGACGAGGAGGTGCCAGAGGGAGTCCTAATACCCAATTCGACATGATCCAGACTCATGTGTCGTATCACGCCATCACTGCCTACTACCTCTCTACCCCCCTTACTACCGCGCAACGCCTGCACACGCGCCACTTCCTCCTCTTCGTCGTATTCATCTTGCCCATTGCGATTCTCTGAGCGGTGCGCGAGAACAACAGGATCCGGACTCTGAGACCGAGATGGCTCACCATCCTGTCGACCATGTTCCCGATTCCGATGGTGATGGGCAGGTTTAGAACCCTCCTTGCTCTTGGGTCGTCTATGCTTGTTTGAGCGTTTCTTGGAGGATTCGCCGACGAGGGTGACAGACGAAGCGGCAGAGTGTCGACGGGCGGGGCGGCCGTCTGCTAGTGTCTCTGGACCGAAGGCTCCAAAGACTCCTCCTGTGGTGAGTGACGTTGGATCGATGCTGTTGTTGTTGGGGTGGAGGTAGTGAGGATGGTGGGTGTGGTCAAGGTCGATAATAATGGCTGTCTGGTGGAACGGCCCTGTAGGGTTAATCTGGACCATTTCTCCCGCTCGCACTCCTGCGCTTCTGAACCGCTTATCGTCGAGATGATCCTCTGTCTCACCAAAATCCTCAGAATCACTCTTGTCGACAGTCGAAGGGATGCTACTGCTGAAAGCCGTCTTGTTGAGTCCGTGGTTATACCGTTTCGTCAAGTAAAATGCCGGGATGACGCCCAACATGAACAGGATGACCACCCCAAACATGATAATCGGCACGTACTTTCCACCATCACTTCCATCGGCCTCACTGCTTGCCCCACCATCATCTTCGTCATCGCCAGTCTTTTGGATTGCACTGCTCATGAAGGCGAGGGTGAGAGATCCAACGACAAGGACTGCAGCAATGACGACAAAGAACGCAGCCAGCGGCCAGAATACCTTGACGGGTCGTGGGTAGTTGGGTCGCTTCTTCCGCAAGTACAACAAACCGGCCACCGAAAGCCCGTACCAGGTCCACCCGACCGCAGAAAAAATCTTTGAAAACGTCTTGAAATCAAGATTAATCAAGGAGTGAAACGACGCCTGGCCGACCAGGATCAAGATCGCGATCGCTTGGGTACCAGTCCGGGACCAGACGCGCGCTACAGGGAAGGGGATGATGGTGTTATCCTTGGCCATGATGACCAGTAGCCTAGACCCGGCCCAGAGGTTGGCGTTGATGGATCCCAATGCAGAGGCAACGACTGTCCCGGCCATGAGGAACCCGCCAGGATGGCCCAGAACGGTATGTCCGGCGTGGAGGGAAAGAGAGTGGACGTGACGGAGGTCGTAGGAGGAGAGGATGGAGAAGAATGCGAAATTTGCGAGGAGGAAGAGGACGGTGACGAAGGGCATTGCGATAAAGACTGCGCGTTTTAGGTTCCGTTCCGGGTCCCGTAGTTCGCCTAGTCCCAAGTTGATGTTGTTGAATCCATTGTACTAAATTCAGCCATGCAAAAAGATTTACGATTTAGTAACATATCACTCACAACCCTTCATTTTTTTCAACAAAAGAACGATAAAACAAATATGAGACTTACGGCAAAGAAGGCGAAGCAGAGGGCTGAGACATAATCGAGCACATTCTGAGACGACTCGCGGATGGGAATCTGCAAGGCCTCCGACTGAGCATGGTTCTTGACCGCCTGCATGGATCCAATGACAATCAACATACACATTCCGCCAATCTTGAAGACCGCCAACAGGTTGCTGGCGTATTTACCGCCCTCCTTGAACAAGATGTTAATCAGACCCATAAGTATAATCGCGCCGATCGAGAACCCGCGGACTACCCATGGCATCGTATCTGCATGATGCTGTTGCGGTGGTGGCCCATGGTTGAGTGGGAGGGGCGCCTTGGGGAAGGGTGCATACCCAGTGTCAAAGGCTGGGTTAGGACTCGTTCCTGCTCCTGCTTCAAGGGGACCGGCGCCAGCGCCGGCGGCCCAAACGGCTGCAGTCCCATTCACGCCAGTCCACAGCATCCTCCCCAACGTATTAATAATCGCATCCTGCGCCGGAGACATCGCCCCGGCCGCCGACCCAACCGCACTCACCCCTCTCGCCACACTTGAAGCCCCAATACTATTCCCCGTTCTCGAATAAACAATCATATCCGCAGCATACCTCCCCAAAACACCCGCAATCCCCGCAGTTCCAATCGGGTTGAGAATCGTAATAAACGACCATCCAAAGACCCATGCGACCTTTTTCCCGTATGCTCGTCGGAGGTATTGGAAATCGCCTCCGGAGGCTGGGAACATGGTCCCGAGTTCTGCGTAGGCGAAAGCTCCGATGGCGCAGACTATGCCGGCAAAGGCCCAGATGATGAAACTGGTTTGGGTGCAGTGGACGGAATCGAAGAGAGGGCCTGGGGAGGCAAAGATTCCTGTCCCGATCAAGGTGCCCACAATCTATCGTTGTTGTATTATTATTTTCAGGTACACAATTAGAACCAGGCATCATACAAAAATGAAAAAAAAAAATGAGAACGAGTTAAATGAAAGAGAGGACGGGAAGGGTAGTCGATGAACGTTGTCATACCATGTCATTACCATCAGAATAGCGCTAATTAAGCCCATAGTCCGCTCCTGTCCCGGGTCTTCAGCAGGACCACCTCCTTGTCTAGTCTCTGCCAACCTATTCTCTCCACAATCGTCTTGATTTGCCCGATTCCTGCGTTGATGTGCACCACTGGCAGTACTACTGCACACAGAGGGTGTGTAAGCACTATCGCTACGGTGCTGTCCAGCAGCAGTAGCAGCAATGTGTTGTGGCGATGACGGTGCGAAGGATGTCCGGGATGCTGATGAGGACATGTCGGAGGGGGAGGATGTGTGGGGTCGTATGCTGAATAAGGAAGGTATCGAGATGGTCATAAATCCTGTTCTGAGATGTTGTTGCTCTGTATGCTTGTGTGTCGATCAAGTGTGGAGATTCGATTTAGGATAAACCTTAGCCGATGTGTGCAATGGTTTTGTTGTGTGTCTGTAAGATCCCTCTAGAAATAAAAAATGCAATGCTACTACCACATTGGGAACAGCGAAATAAAAAAAGGGGGAGGAAGAGGCAAAATAAAGGTTAGCAAGATCGTTGGGAAAAGGTTTTTTGATACTTAATGATGTCGAAGCATGGAGAGAGAAATAAGGAAGTGAGCGAGAGAGAGGAAGGCAGGTAAGTGCATGAAGGGCGAAAGAGTGCCGAGCGACTGAGCGAGTAAGTTGGAGAAAAAGATAACCTGGTACGGTGTTGATGGGGTCCAGCAAAGAGAAGAGAGAATAAAACAAGGGTACTCATAGACATAACAGACAGTACGATATTGCCATTGCAGAGTAAGATGGAATGGAAAGTGAATAATAATTGTTCTGATGATGACCATGACAGCCATCCGATAGTTTTCTTGGGTGTAGCTGGATAGGATGGATGGATGGATGAGTGTTCATGGAACCCCTTTGTGTTTGTCGTCACCATCGTCATCGATGTTTCGTCGACTGTTGGAAGAGATAAATGTTTCAAGTGTGTGTGAGAGTGTGTGTTGATATGAGGATGGTCTGTGCGTCACTGTGAGCAGCCATATCGGCCGTGCGAGACACGATCAACTATGCCACGTTGTTTTGATTTTGATTGTTGACAATCACCACCAAAACAACAACTGTGCCCAATACGAAGAAAACGGAAGAGGGTGAAAGAAGAAGAAGAATAAGAAAAGAACGCTAGTGTCTGCTCTGGAGATATATACCCATGTCACTCTTATTCTCTTCCTGGTACCTCAAGACATAGAGCGAGTATGGTGTGAACCCGAATAGCGTCATTGAAAAACATAAATGAGACAGAAGCAAACAGGATCAAATGCGGAGTGTCATTGATATGAGAGGATGGCGTATTGAGTGAGTAGAGGCGTGTGTGTGAGCGAGAGAGAGAGAGAGAGAGAGAGAGAGAGAGTGTGTGTGTGTGTGTGTGTGTGCTGTAGTATGGGTAGGGAGAGGAGTGGAGGAGTTGTTGGTGTAAGGAGAGCGTGTGTTGTTCGTCATTACCGTGCGAGAGGAGTGGCGCGAGGCTGGGCGAGGAAAGGAGGTAGAAAGGGACAGAGAGAGTTCCGTGGAAGGTAGATCTACAGGGTCGTACAACAGTGAAAGGAAAAGGGAAAAGTACAGCGAGAGAAAGCAAACAGCGATAAAAATACAGGGCGTGAAAGGACTTTTTTTTTGTTCGTTAACGAAGGAAGGAGGAATGAAGAAAAGAAACGAGAGAAGACAATGGGTGCGCTTTTATTCTTGCATGGGTAATTGGGTAACAAAGAGACACAAGCACCTACAGGGAACTGGGTGTGGATAGGCAGGCATTGTGACATTGGCCTGAAACGAGTAATCCAACAATAGTCGCAAGAGGCGTGAGCGAATAGTAGAAAGAGTGGAGGGGGGTTCAAGAGAACAGCTGCATCCTTTATCATTGCAGCTCCTGTTGGGTCCGAAGAAGCCGATTTTGCTTTGTCGTCGTTTTGCTCAACATCGTCCATTGAGCCATTGAGTTACAAGAAAAAAGGGAAGCATATACCCCACCCCATCCTCGGATCTGGTTTCCAGCTCAGCTCCCTTCCAGATTAGATACGAAATAAAATAACACATTAAAGCAGGCACCAAACTGCCATCGCGCATTCACATTTCACTCTTTCTTGCACCACGGAGCACGATGGCGCGTTGGGGTACAGACATAACATGAAATTAGTTCTCGTTTGCAATGACAGGAGAGAGAAGCATATAATGAGCATTTGCAAAACAGAGACATTAGAGAAAACAAGGAAGGGGAACCTTTCATTCCTTTAGCACGAAAGTCAAGAATACCAAAAACGACACTAGGTAAGAGAAACACGCATAAAAAAACTGACTAGTGCCATCCGTCCCCGGCTGGGACACGGACACGGATCACGGATGGATGGGCCATGCCATGCAAGTCATTATTCTCTAATTCTCTCTCAAAAAAAATCTTTTTTCGTACAGCTGGACATCGGTTCTCAGCAACGACAAAAGAAAAACACGGAGGTCTGATGAAGATCCTGGTACCCAAATTATTGAACAGTAGCAAAACGCGTACACAAATGATGAAAAGAGGCTGTGAGGGAAAAGGAGAGGATGAATGGAAGGGGAGCGGAGGGAGAGAGGGAGGGGGGCGGGGGAAGCATGGAGACAAAACATGCAATGCATAAGATTGAGCCAAGGCAAAATAATGGGTTTGCAATGTAAAGAAATATTGGTGAGCGAACGTCCTTTTGGTCGTTTAATGAGAAAGAGAGAGGCGGACGAGGTTTGAGAAGTAAGCTAAGGGCGAAGTTGGCATGTCACGTAAGAGGGAAGGAGAGATGGAGAGGAAGAAGTTGGAGGAAGAGAAAAGGAAAAATGAAAAGGGATAAACCGTTCCGGTACGGGTACCTACATGTACGAGTCCTGCCCCTTGCAACTGCTGGATGCTAATGATAGTAAGAAAGGCAGGTAGGCAGCTAGGAGATTTAATAAATTGCTGAAATAGGGAGAGAAATGAAAGGGAAAGGGAAGGCAAGGAAAGTGGGGGGCTGTAAAGCGTTGACTAAGAGTAATTAGGACGAGGCAAGGGATTAGCAGTAGGGGAGAAGGATAGTCAAGAGGCATAGAAAGAGAGAGAGTAAGAGAGAGAGAGAGAGAGAGAGAGAGAGAGAGTAAGAGAGAGAGAGTGTGTGTGTGTGTGAGAGAGAGAGAGAGAGAGCGAGAGAGAGAGAGAGAGTGAAAAGAAACTAGTCTCCATCAGTACCTTGTTCAACGATCGTCATTCGATCGGCAATTCGTGTCCGTTACTCGTTGTCTTTTGTTTGTAACGTGGTCATATTGGTGCGTACGCGTGAACGAGAGTCTGCAAGAATATATAACCTCCCCATCTTTAGCGCAACATTCCAACGAGAGCAGATTGGAACAATGTATAGAGGAGGTACATCCATCCCGGCTTTTGTTTTTGGGGACAATAGAAATAAAGAGAGAAAGACGTGACATCAAAAAAACATTCCTCATTCCCCGGAGAGGGTGAATGTCGTAGCCTCAAGATTTCTTGTCGACTGACATTGTTTTTTTTTTTTTTTTTTTTTTTTTTGTTTACTTTGCTTATGAGATATGAAAGGATAGCAAGAATGGAAAGTTAACGGATGGATTACTTAATGCAGGCCGGTACTCCCTGTCGTTATCACACTCTGCTGTGCCTTTCGCTCATTTCCATACACTACTACACTACATATAGATCCGTTCGCGAGTGGGACAACATGCATTGACAGATAACGATTGTAAATAGAAAAGATAAAGCTACAAACCCTTCTTACTTGACACGTCTTCCTTTATCCTCTTCCTCCAAGGTTCTAAACAACACGATCTGAATTAAACTGACGGCATTGACGCATTTTTCGTAACAAATATAATCGGCGTATCCGCGTCGCGCGTTAAACAAGCCTTTTGTTTCAAAATGATGCGAATGAGGTTTCTATAGTATCTAATCCGCCTCATCTCACCGCGGAAGAGGTGTTTTCTTGACATATCGTCCATTCTTCGATGACTCCGACTCTGACTTTGATGGAGACAATTATTTCTTGCCTTTGCTCAAGGAAATAAGGTGAGAAACATTATGTCTCTTGATGAGAGTTGGCGTAAGGAGACCGCTGTATAGATCATTATCGCACCATCCAAACAACGCCGTGTCTCTACTCTACATGTGTTTGTTCAAAAAGTTGGTTTTATTACAGGATTACGAGTATTAAGAGGAAGGGGTAGTAGTAGAAAAACAAAAAAAAATGTAATTAGAAGCGGACGGGCTCGGCGGCAAGGCCCACGAGGCTGAAGAGAATAGGGATGCCATCGACGGCGAGGGCACCAATACCGGCATACACCACAAGCTTCGACACAATATCGACATCAAACCGACTCTTGCGAGGATGCATCCTCTCGACCCTCAACAATGCCTCTGCCTCATCCTCAAACCGACTACCCTCCTTACCATGCTGATGCTGGCAGGTGTCGTCTCCGCACTCGGTCGTACCATTGCTTAACACAGAGCTCTCCCGGTCGTGCTGGTACAGAGCCCTCTTTTCATCCTCACTGAACGATTCAAAGTGCTGACCGCCCTTGCGTGCCCTCAACCCGCTCTCCTGGTCCTGAGCCTGAGCTTGAGCAGCCTGCGAAAACTTTTCGTGCACATCCATCGTCGACTGCAAGCCCACAATCTCGGCGCTTCCTGTCATACTGGGCAGATCGATGACCGAGGGGACTTTTCCAATGGGGTAGGTCGACAAGGTGTTGTAGCTACTGGCGGGGATGAAATGGGGTCGGTAAGGCAAGCTGAAGAGCTTGTAGATGGGTGGCAGGAGGACGTAGAGAGCCTTCTTGGCTGCCAATCTCCAGACAAACAATGTTCCGACACCAAAGACCAATCGAAGAACACTCTTGACGAATCCGAGATCGGTGCTGTAGGGGATCGTGGCAGGGACAGGGATGTTGGACGAGTACGAGGTCGAGGCAAAGTGGATGCTGGCGGGGATCAAGCCCATGAGAACAGCGATAAACGCCACGCAGTCGTCAAAGCACGGGCAGTTGTCGACTGGGTCAGGGATAATCGAGACCAAAAAGATTCCAGCAGCGACCACAACGGGCGGGACCCACCAGACAGGGCTGACCATGTAGTACTCGATCGTGTGTCTGAATGACCACTGCGTTGCCCAAATACCGAGTCCGATCAAGGTGCCTCCGATGCAGTCGGTAATAGAGTGCATTCCGCAGTAGAGACGTCCATAAATAATGGAGACTGCATAGACGATCAATCCAAAGATGGAGAGTTCGCGGGTATAAGGGCTCCAAGAGGCGGGGTCGGTGGTGAGGAGATGGCAGTAGAGGAAGAGGGCGACAGAGATGGCGTTGGTCGAGTGTGAGCTAGGGAATCCGTATTCGAGACAGGTCGATTTTGAGCGAGAGAGGCGAACAATTGGTGGCGACAATGGGCGGGGCAAGCACAAGAAGTCCTATGTGTTTTGGAGCAATGGAGTTCCTTTTGTCAGTTTACAGTATTCATTGCTGTCTTTCCTCGTGAATGGTATGAACAAGAACAAGAAGTCAAATGAAGAGAGTTTATCTCTCTCTCCGCTTCTTCCTCCCCTCTCGTCCTCTTTGCCCCTGGCACTGATCCAGTCTCTCTTTTTCACTCCCCTGTCCTTTTCCTACGGTTAGAATTTTCTTCTTCAAAAAATGACACCGTCCACGTCTCTTCCTGGGGCATAAACATAAACAACTCAATGAACAACAACAGCAAGAGCGGGCCCAAGAACGACGCTAAACCGAGCAGTGGTGGTGGTAATGAGAAGGACATAAAGGACAGCCCACGCCAAGAACAACAGCAATAAAGATGAACGTCGGCCTTCACTTTTCCAAGAGATAGGCTGTATCGAACTGCCTTTCTTCCATGTCTTTCTTTCAATTGCTCATCCTCCATGACTGCGCTGACTGGACTGACAGACTGAAAAAGTAAAAAAGCGGAAAAGAGCTCACAACAACAGGCACGCACACAAACAAATAGATCTGACCTATGTTGTTTGGTCATCCTTTTGTTTGTGTTTGTGTTTTGCCTGGTCCGTTCCCGCTCCCGTTCCACTCTTTGTCCCCCTCTCACCGTCACACCTGCACCTAGTTCCCCGTTCAATGCTGCTATCCGTGAAGTGACATGTGCCATCCCAGACGCCGGTTTATCTGTTGTTCAATTCAAGCCCTATCCCTGTGATCCATTGCCCGTCGTTGTACTATTATGGATGTATTACCTTGAAGAATCCAGCCCAGTAGACGCCCATCGCAGCAATAAGTGTGAAACTAACCGGTACAATAGATCAAAACCCATCATTATCAACAGGTAAGTAACTAGCTTCTGCTTTGAACACACAGACACAGAGAGCGCCTTCATTTTCTCAGTTGTATGGTAAAGAACATACCCGCGGGCGATCTCTGAGAAACCGAACCAGAAGAGAACAGGAAGGGCAATCATGAAGAAGGTATGGTTGCCTGAGAAGGCCGTTGTCGTAAAGTAGACATCCAGGATTGGGTGACGAACTTTGAGCTGGTTAAATCCCGTTCCGGTAAGAGAGAAATAGACAGAGGAGAGAGAGAGAGAGATAAAAATAAACAGGTCAGAGGGAGGAGAGATTGGTTCCGGAGATAAAAAACCAAACAAAAAACAACGCATAAGAAAAACCCAGGAAAGCGAGAGTGTCCAGTTCATACAAATAGATTCCTCCACTCAGCGCACGACAGCAATGAAGGAAAAAGGCTGAATTACCTGCATGGAATGGAGAATGGGAGTTTCAGCACGGATGTAAGGGAGGAGGAAGCGACGGAGGGAGGCACGGAGAGGAGAGAGTTGAGAGTCGTAGTAGGCCTCTGGTGCGATTCCTGCAGGGATCTCGATATCATATTCCTCGTCGTCGCGCGGTTGTTGTTGGCTCTGGTTCTTTTCGTCCGCCGTCATATTGTGTGTGTGTTTGTCACTTTGGAACTAAATGCAATGAATGAGAAGTGGAAGAGTGGAGGAGTGAAAGGGGAGGAAGGAATGAGAGAGAGGGAGGGTATGAGTGGAGAGAGAAGTAAAAAGAAAAACGAAGGTGAGGAAGGGAGGAGGATAAAAAAAAGTAGTAAGACGAAAAGTGAAGAAACAGAAGAGGGGAATTTGAACTTGCACAGTTGAAGAAATACACCCACTCTCTCTGTCGCATGGCAGTCGGTCTCTCTCTCTCTCTCTCTCCCTCCCTCGCTGCTTGAACGTTTGGCCGGAAGAGGAGATGGAGATGAGAGCAAAGAGACAGGCGTCATCGGCACACAAACCCCGCACCCGCCATGGCAACTCTAGCCCAAAAAGAGAAATCACAGACACACCCACCCTGTTCACACTTTACACAAAAAAAACTTGTTTGTTTTCAGGTTTGTAGGTTTGCATCGGAAGAAAATATGAGTAAGCAAGGGGGCTTGCAAACCAGATGAACATTTGCTTTCTAATAGGAGACGTAAGAGACACTGCTCCCCTTCCCTGCAATGGAGAGGTAGTGATGTTTACTGCACTCACAGGTCTCTTATTGTGTTCATGCAGTCGAGACCTAGAGAGTAGAGAGGCGAGTCAATTCCCTTTGTACTCACATTCCAGACATCCCCTGCTCAATGCAAAGTGGATTAAGAAGAAAATAACCGCTATTGTTTAACTTTTTTTATTTTCTTTGTTTTTGTTTTGAAGTGTTCCTGCAACACCCTCAATTCGCCACATCTACCGAAAGCGTTGTCAACCGAGGCTTCACGTTATTTACGCTCTAGGTGTCGCAGCAAAGGAAAAGGGAGCGTCCTTTAGCAGTCGTCGATAGGAGGAGAGGCCCACTCCATCTTGGCAAACTCCTCCAGTCGCCGCTTCACAGAATCCTCCACCTTCTCCTGCTCCTCATCACTCTTCCCTTGACTCGCCATAACCTGCTCCCACCAAGCAAAATTCTGGTCAACCTCCTCCGCATTCGACATGCCCAACACAAGTCCCTCACACCCCTGCCACTTCATCGCAAACTTGATCGCAACCTCAGCCAGATCCTTCCCTTGACTGTGTTTATCCACAATCGAGATACAATCCTGAACAGCAGCCTGGAGGCGTTGTGGGGCAGGGTGCCAGTCCGGGCAGGCTGTGTGGGATCGAAGGAGTCCCATGGAGAGAGGGGATGCATTCCAGATGGTTTGGATGCCGAGATCCCTGAAGTGAACGACGTAGTCCTGAAGGAGGGTGTTGTGGAGGTTGTAGTGGCAATATGTGAGGAGGATGTCGAGTTTTTGGTTCAGTCGCTCGTGGAGGACTGGGATTAATGCCAGCAGGTATGGGAGTGGGTATCCTATTTGGTTGAAGATTGAGGAACATGAGCAATTAGTATAAGAAAGACATGAATAAAACGTGGGAGTGAGTTCAGATCGAACTCTCTTCCTCGATCTGCGCATTAAAGAAGCGAAAGCGCACAAACTGTCTCGCAGAAATGAGCATAGTGAAGAGAATTCTTACCACTGATACCGACATATTTGATCTTGCCCTCTGCCTATTATTCGTCGAGAGAAAGAAGAGGAATCCGTTCAGTAAAATGACTGTGGAAGGACCGGCAAAATCGGGTAGAGTGAGGGGGTAAGGGAGCATTGTCTGGAATAACAGGGAGTGGCAGACGAGAGAAGAAAAGCAGACGAAGGGTCCCCATTTTCTATCGCATACCGCACCCGCACTAACCCGAGCAATTGGGCGTTTGAAAAGGGGTTTATCTGATGCAATATTCTGCATCCATTCCAACGTGGCAAAAAGGATCCCGCACGACAAACAACACACAAGAAAAAAAAAACGGTGGGGGGATGTAAACCAAGGGTACATACCTTCAATCGAAACAACTCCCCAACGGCTTCAACAGCCTTGTCCATCGAGACAAACTCGACATCATGGGCATAGACAATATCCAGGTAATCCGTATGCATCCTCCTCATCGACTCCTCCACCGACTCCCTCACCCTCTCCTTCGAGTAATCAAACTCGATCTTCTTGGGACCATACCTTCCAACCTTTGTCGAAAGATAATAAGTCTCACGAGGGTGCGTGGAGGCAATCGAGGCGAGCGCTTTTCCAAGGACATGTTCCGAGTTACCGTAGTAAGGAGAAGTATCGAAGGTGTTGATGCCCAGGTCGATGGCTCGACGACAGGCCTCGGCGGGCCAATGGGCTTTGATGGGGTTGTAAAGTTGGGCGAAACAGGATGTGCCGTAGATGATCGGTGATGCTCCCAAACGATCCTGTGGGACTGCGCTAGGGCGTGGGGATGGTGTAGGGGTGGAGGAGGATGTGTCGGATTGGAGAGGGATCTGTGGGACTGGCGTTGGCATTTTGTATTAGTGGTTGGTGTAGTTGTTGATGAGTAGAAGTGTGAAAAGAAAAATGGAGGTAAAGTCGGGTATGCAAAGGTTGGAAGAGTGGAGAAGAGGAGAAAGAAAGAAAGAAAGAGAGAAAGAAAGAAAAGAAGTCGCACCTGTGTTTTTTTTTGTGGACAATTTAGTACAAGAAGCACGACGGGGCCTGAAAAAGCTTTTTAGTGTCTCGTCCTCTCTTTGAATCGACATATTTTGGATCTTCGATTCGATTGGATGTGATTGGTAACGCCGGTCATTGTGAAGGGGATTAAGGGACAAAACGGCAGGGTATATGGTGCTGTAGAAGGACAAACTTCTTGTACAAGAAAAAGAGGGTTGCGAAGGATGATGGATGTCGAGCAAACAAACAAAAGTGGTACCACAGTGCACTTCTTTTCTTCAAGGTTAAAAGATGAAAGAAAGATCTACAACACCAGCAAACAGCAAAGAAAAGGACGGGGGTCTGTTAGATCGGGCAATCAACTATTCAATTCCCTTTGTTTTTTCTTATGTCCACCATTTCATGCATGCTATTCACCTGGAGGATGTGGATGTTTGTCGGTAAACACCTTGAGGTTCACCCTTTTGTTGTGTCTCACAGATGGTTAAAGTGGACACACAGTTCACCCGGAGGGCCTCCATGTTTATTTGGTTTTTTGCGAACCCCCTTTCCGTTACCAACTGCCCTGACTACCAAAACTGTACCCCAAATCCTATCCTCGTTTAAAACAATTGATCAACTGCCAGCCTGGCTGCCCAACTCACAGTCACACACATTCAGACCGAGACATGCCAATGCTGCTGCTATCTTGTACCTGAAACTCTTCCAGTTTGAGAGTGCTTTGTGTCACCGGTACTCGTGGAAAACTACCAGTTGGCGTTGGGCTGGGGACGCTGTTTACCTTTTTCATTTTTTTTCCTCCCCTTCCAAACTCCTCCCTCATCTTCATTGCAAAACGTCAGATCAAGATGACGATCCCATCAACATCAACACAACGAGTGATCATCATCGGCGGAGGAATATCGGGTCTAGCCGCTGGTAAGTGGGGAAAGACATGCAGGGACCCCTAATTGGGACTAGCACGGGTTCAGGGCGTTAAGCACACAAGGGTCGTGACCAAACTCTTTATTTGTTATATTTTTTTTTTTTGGACTTGCCATAGCAAGGGAGCTGTCAAAGGACCCCAACACCCATGTAACCCTACTTGAAGCACGCAACCGTCTTGGAGGCCGCATCGTCACCCACCGCAACCTCATCTCCAAGGACCTTGAACTCTCTGGTCAGGTCCCCGCTGGATCCTCGGACCTCGTATATGACTTTGGGGCATCTTGGATCCATGGAGTCGACCCTGTCAACCCTCTTTATGAAATCGCCCAGACAGGACAGATGGAGTACGTCCACACCGACAGCGACATCATGTTCAAGCAGCCAGGATCCATTCCCATGCCTGGAGAAGAGAGCGATCGCTTGTGGCAGGTCGTTTGGGATATCCTCGACAAGGCTCAGGAGTATTCTGCGGAGAATCGGGATGAGATCCCGGAGGACAAGTCGTTCAAGGAATGGCTCACCGAATATCTGGAAAAGGAGGTGCAAAGTACGGATCCGGAGGGCGAGAACTATTTGGAGGAGGAGGTGAGGAAATGGGTTCCTGGGCTGTCGATGTATTGGGCAGATGAGAATGCGATCCCGGTCGAGAGGGTGTCTATGAAGTGGATGGATGCCGAGGATATCTTTCCGGGAGACCACAGCCTGGTGATCAATGGGTTTGATCGAGTCGTCAAGGTTGTCTCTGCAGGCTTGAAGAGCAATGTCCGGGTTCTGTTGGAGCATGTCGTCGAGAAGATCGAGTACGACGGTGAGTTTTTTTTCTCTTTTCCGCTCTCGTCAACTATAGGGTCATCCCTTTGCGGGACCATGTAGATACTGAACCTAAATCTACATGTTTTAATTACTGTAGAGACGGAGGTGAGAGTGTCGACATCGCAGGGTCTCTTCACGGCCGACAAAGTCCTCTGCACCCTCCCTCTCGGAGTTCTCAAAGCCCAACACACCACTCTCTTCCACCCCCAACTCCCCACCCCGAAACAACTAGCAATTGAACGTCTGGGCTTCGGAACCATGTACAAGATCCTCCTCTTCTTCCCAAAATGCTTCTGGCCCCTCAACAAACATTTCATCAACTTCCTCCCTTCCGCCCTTACCGTTCCCTCCTCTGATCTCGTCGCCCACTTTAGCTTAAACGAGAAGCAGGTTGAGGCCCTGACGGTGTACATGCAAGACCTAGCCAACTACTCGTCTCTGATGCCCCAGTACAATATCCCGATCCTAGTTGGCTATGCGACGAACCGGGCTGCAGAGTTAATGGAGCGTCTGTCGGATGAGGAGGCGAGGATGGTGTATGTGTGCCAGATGGCTCATTATTTCCCCATTCTCCTCCAGCAGGATGAGAAAAACGAAGAGGGAGAGTTGGTAGGAAAGGCGCTGTGGCCTACGGTCTCACACATGTCCCGATGGAACCAAGACCCCTTTGCAAGGGGATCGTATACCAGCATCCCTGTTCATGCGTCCCAGAAGGATCTGGAGGTCTTTGATATCCCTGTCGGTGCGCGGTCCTATGGCCCGCTTAATGGTGGGAACGATTGTGAGGATGAGAATGGACGAGATTTGAAGCAGAGATTGGTATCGGTGGATGATGCAGACTATGGTCGCATCTTTTTCGCGGGCGAACATACTTCGCCGAGTCGCTTCGCGTCTGTCCATGGTGCGCTCTTGACTGGTCAACGCGAGGCTGCCAAAATCCTCGACCAGCGTCCTCTCCTTGGTTAGAATTGTGAATCATAAAAAGAGGATACCATATTGCTAAACATCACCATTGTGGATAGACAAGTAGACATATTTGAAAAGAGGGAAGAATGATAATGTATTACAGAACGACAAACTGGTATCGAAGAAGAAAAAAAGATGAAAACTACTGTACAAAAATACATAAACAAGACAAAGAAAAAAATACACCAAGAGGGTTATACCTCGGAGGATCGATTTTTCTTATCTTTGCCCAAAGAAAGAGGCGCCCACAAGAAGCCCATACTTCTCCGTCCAGATTTCTTGCTGCTCGATGACGACGAAGACAGAGACCCATCTGTCGTCACGCTCTTTCTCAATGTGAGCATCCCCTCGGGCGGTGGTGGCGGTCTCTTATTCCCATTTCCTGCAGAGTCCGACAACATGGCCGACGCAAAACTCAATGACGAACTGATCGACGCCGCTGGCGAAGGTGGCGTCAAAGTAGTCGAGGCAGTGATGGGCGCAAAGATCGATCCCTTGGACGGCCTCTTCGCAGCTGACGCCCTCGCAGCCGCAGTTTGTCCATGACCAGGTTCCGGACTCCGTGATCGTACGCGTTCCAGCTCGATAGGGTTTGACTTACTCCCCTCATCCACGGAGGCCCTAGAAGTCTGTCTGGACAATGGGCTGGAATAAAAGAGTTGTGGTGCGGCTTGGATCTGCTCATCTGGAGCGTCAGAGAATCCGGCGACCGAGGAGCGTCGACGGAAAATGCCCTTGGCTTTGGTCTTTGATTTGATCAGCTTGCTGGCGGGACGGACGACGGTCACGGGGACAGGGGAGTGGTTCAAGAGGTACCGGGACACACTTCCCAGCAGGAACCCCTTGACGGAGCTCCGTCCTCGTGTGCCCACAACCAACATGGATGGTTCGTACATCTTGATCTAAATTGTTGCAATGGACGGGAGAAAAATATATGGACGACGTAAAAAAGGATTCGGTCAGCGCCTATTTTCTATTTTTACGGCAAAAGAGGAAAAAGAGGGATTATGCGCTCGCTTGAACGAGTGAGTATGCGCTCATTGCTTCTTACCATGTGTTGGATGGTATCGCGGACAGCACCGACGACATATTCGACAACAATGTTGACCTGCTTCGGATTCGACTTGTTCTTCTCCCGGATCATGTTCATGATCTTTGTTGCCTCTGAGCGTGCTGCAACCTCCTGTCCTTGGAACGAGGGGATCCCGGACTTGGCGACTATCAGCGAAAAAGAAGGAAAATCCTCAATGGTTAACTTGAGCTGCTCATTCCTTACTCTCTCATTCTCACTCTCCGACTCTCCTGTCCTTGTTTTTTTTTTCATTTCAACCGTCCGTCGGTCAAGTGAGCTGTTGGATTGTGGCGCTCTCTCTCCTCTCTCTCCTTCCCCGAGAGGAAAAAAGGTGCATATTTTCATGCCCTCTTGAGCCTCTTGTGTGCCTGTGGGCTTGGACAACAGCTCCTCCTCACCAATCAGACTACGACGTTGTGCGCTTTGTTCCCTCCTTTGTCCCCATTGTTTGTGTTGTGGAGTAACGATGCAGTCAATAGCTTTTCCTGCCGTGGATCCTGTGGGGAGAATGAGAGCAAAGCGCCTGGTGAAGCATGTAGCCCGGTCCAGCTCATGCACTTGCCCTCCTTCGCAGCTTCTATGACCTCCTCCGTCCTCTAACCATGTGCATCTCCTCCTGTCCAGGTAACTGTCCATTCCTTTCTGACTCTTGTCCTGAATGTGCACGCAATTAAAGAGCTCGCTCCTTTTTGCGTTGCTGAAATCGATTCCTCCTTTTCTTTTCCATAGGGTTGTTTGAGCTATCCGTGCTTTTGCTCTCCTTGAACAAATGTCCACTGTAACTGAAAGATAGAAGAGCATACATGATGCAAGAGGCACTGAGTGAGAAGAGAGAGAGAGCACTTACAGGAATCTCTCAATTCGACGGGCACCACTCTCAATGCAACAATCTAACAGACATTAAAAGGGGTTGGCAGTACGGTTAGTTATCTCTTTCTTATTCGTCGTTAAGAATAAATACGAAGCCCAAGATTGTCCTGTCTTTCAGGTGGATAGCAAAGCCCACACCAATTGAACGCAAGATGCACTCCCACTTTGTTTCGTCCGAATAAATAATATGAACAGATAAATGAAAAAAGATCTCATACGTAACCCGACTGATACCAGATATCATGTACCCAGGTCGCTGTAAAGTAATCCCTACCTCCTTTCCCTTGGACTGAAGAGAAATGAAATGAGAGAATTATTTTCACTGAATGAAGCTCCAGTTAAAGTAACTCACTCAGGTGGGCATGCTGTTCACATTCAAATTCCAATCGGGTCCGCTCACACTCAACCGACCACTCCTGTCACATTGTCTTTTTTTTTTTTTTTTTTCTTTTTTTCTTTGGCTTTCCAATTAGCCTATGATGATGGCTATCACCCTCCTCCCTCTCTCTCCTTGGTCAACAAATAAAGCATCGTCCTGTCTGCCTTCTCTTCTGTAGCTTGTTTTTTTGTTTGTGTGTATGTTTGTTTGTTGTGGTGTGGATTGTCACCCTTCTCGCCAGAAAGACAACTAAAGAAATTGACGCATCCTGGCAGTTGGGACTTTCCCTCACAAGCTCACAATGGAAATAAAACCTCGTCCTCCTCCTCCTACTTCATGCAAAAGATAAAAAAAAATGAAACTTTTTGCGCAATAAACAAACAAGCAAAGAAGAAAGAAGTGCGCCTTACCTCGTCACCATCCTCGACCATGTTTTCCATAACCCATTGGAGCGCATGGGAACTGTACTCGTTCAAATCAGTGCCGACAAGAAAGGTCCTGCTCCTCCTGGTTCGACGCCATCCGTCAGTTCTGGCCTGGAGCGTGAATGCGTACTCGGCGGGGGTGTCGCAGCCAAGGGTATCGAACCCCACGCGAGCAATATAGCCATTCTTGGATCGTTCTTTGGCGGGTGCCTCTGTGGCTCGTGAATGAGAGTTGGAGTCGGTTGAAGAGGAGCTGTTGGCCGAGAGGAGGTCTTTGGTGTGGTCGTTGTTGGTGGAAAGGGAGGTGGTGGTTGAGTTTGTAGGAGATCCGGTGGGTGTAGAGGTTGTGGAGGGGAGTGTAGGGGAGAGAGAGGGGGATGATCCTGGGGAGGGAAACATGCCCGAGCCTTTGATCTGGCTGTTATCGGTAATCTCCATAGCGACGTAAGTTGCTGTATCTGTTACTTTGTGTGAGGTATTTGTGGAAACGAGGTTGGAAAAGGTGAATGAAAGCAACCGAGGAAAGGAAAGGAACGAGGAATGAAGAAAGAACGATTGGAAAGTGGTAAAGGAGTGTGGGTTGAGAAGAAAAGGTAAAAACGAAGAAGAGAAAGAAAGGAGAAGGGAGAAGAAGGTGGAGGATTGGAGGTGAAGAAGAAACGAAGAGGAGAGAATAGAAGAAACAGAAGAAACAGAAGAAACAGAAGAAACAGAAGAAAAAGAAAATATTTTCCGTGTTCGCGGTTAGAAGGGCGGGGAGAGTGAGAGAGTCAGTCTGACAGTCATGCCATGTCCGTCGGACTGGTTTTGTGGTGATGTGTTTGCCGAAGAAATGAATAAGGAGAACTGGCCACTTTTTTGTCTCTGTGCTATATCGATGATGCTTATAACACAGGCAATGCTGTCACCTCGCATGTCCATCTCTCTCTCTCTCTCTCTCTTCGTTGCTCTCTGCATACTGCATGCTGTGCTATTTTATCCACTCTCTCTTCACCTACTCACATATTCACTCCCCATCGACAATCGATGTTCAAAGGAGTTGACTTGCCGCGTAACACCAACAACAAAGCAATCGCTTCCAAATCGGGCCATTGTCCCTTTCCTCGGATGCCACTTTCTCGTCCATCTTGCTCAAAGTTTATTTCGTTCAAAGGAAAGGGACCAACCTGACATTCCAACACCTCTCTTTTCAAGCGGAGTTCGACTTTTCATCATTACTGCAAGGTGTAAACAAGTCAGAAGACGAGAAGAAGGTACTGTTCACACTTCCGAGGTGTATATAGTCTACTTGCCTTGTACCGGGTTATAGAGGATATTCTCGTGAGGCTAAAAAAAAAACAAGCGACAGCCCCAGCTCAGCTACTCAGCCTGGCTGGCCATTCGCCCTGGTCTTCAATTCTTCAATTCTGGTCTTGCTGGATTTTTGCCATTTCAGGAGTCTGGCCGTTTATTCTTTTCATTTCTTGTTGTTGGGTTCCCGCAGAATTGAAAGAAGACGTGGAAAGACGAATGAGCACAAGAGGAGAGAGGAGTGAAAGACTGAGCAAGAAATGGCAGAGCAAGATACTAATACCAACGGCTCCCCGGTGGGTGAAAGAGCAAGGAGGCGCTCAAGGGGTTCAACTGGGTGCAGGCCAATTGCTAAAAATGTGACTGCCTTCTGTGCAACTGCCCTGAAGTGGAAAATACAAGCAAAGCTCGCGCTCTTTCAGAATCACTCTCAAACTCGATTCACTCTTGCAGGACACTTGTACTCTTCTTCACATCAACCGACACGGTTTTAGAAGGAACAACAGGAAACAAGACAACAACTCTCACATAACTACATACTCAAGCGCACACTCATCGCGCACAGAAAAACGACACAGATGTCAGTAGAAGAACTCGTCTCATTGGCAAAGACTGCCATCTCGGCGCGTCTTGCAGAACGGTCTCTGCCCGTCGCTCTCGTAGGTCTTGAAGAGCAATACAAGTAACGGATACAATACTCATGGCTCAACACCCCTTGCTTTGTTGCGCTTTCTTGTCGTGTTCAAAAACAGGAGCAATACGAACATGTACGTCGACTATGATGGGAGTGGCTCATCAAAAGTTCGGTGTACCTTTTCTTGAAAACCAACAACGATCACTCACTAAATAGAAAAGTCCTAGGACTTATGCGGCGTACGATTGAAACAGGCGAGAGCAACTCTTGCTTGATCCTAGGACCTCGCGGCACAGGAAAGACTATGGTACGAACTTTCTCGGATCAGACTTTTGAGCTAGGCGTAGGACTGCCAGGACATTTGCTAACGTACTAACTTTTCTGCTTTATTCACTTTCCTGTAACTGTAGCTTGTACGGCAGGCTCTGAAAGATCTGGAAAGACAGTTCGGGACATCATACCAGGACGAATATGGTGAAGATGAAGACGATATGGACGTTGATGTTGTGCGCAAGGACTTTATGGTGGTCCATCTCAATGGACTTGTCCAGACAGACGATCGAATGGCACTGAAGGAGATCATGCGTCAGCTTTCACGGGAAGGAGAATCAGAGCTTGGAAATTCTAATGTAAGTACTCTTGCAACCTGACCCTTTACTCTCGTCTGTTGAGAAAGGCTGCCTTCTAATGCTATTTTCCTCCGCAATGGCTCCACAAATATTTAGACTTCGTTTTCAGACTCGTTACCTTCACTGTTGACCTTCTTGAAAGCAGGAACGAAGGCTCAGTACCCCATCATCTTTATTCTGGACGAGTTTGATCTGTTTGCCCAACATACCAAGCAATCTCTCCTCTACAACCTCTTTGATGTAGCCCAGAGTGCAGAATGGCCCATTGCCGTCATTGGTTTAACTTGCCGCATGGTAAGGCTTCTCACTTGGACAGGGAAACAAACTGTTGTCGAAGCGCCACTAAATCAGAGACAAAGAGTAACTCGGATCTTCTTTTTAATGTATATGCTCATAGGATGCACTGGAGTTACTGGAGAAGCGTGTCAAATCTCGGTTCTCACATCGACACTACTACACCTTCCCACCAAGCGACTATCACGACTACATCGACATTTGCAAGAATGCATTGCTGTTGACACCTGCCGATCTGGAGATTCAGACTGACGTGATGATGGTAGGCACAGACCATCGGACAGCAGAGGCGTTCATGAAAGAGTTCAACCAACGAGTCAAGGTAAAAAAATCCTCAAAGTTTGCCAAATCGACTGGTTAGCATTTTTCATCTGGACGTTTGTTCCGTTTATGCTGTTTTGGGTCGCGTGTGGGTCGATTGTTTGAGTGAGCCGCCCAACAAGTTGTCTCACAGTAATTTTTTTTCTTCTTGCCACTGCTGCTGGTTCCTAGACTCTTTTTGAGGACGGTGGCTTTTCCAAAGTCGTCCAACGGATCTTTGATTTGATGAAGGACGTCCGAGCATTCTACCGACTCTGCGTACGTGTTTTTTTGCATGTTGTTTCGTCTCCTGCCTTTTTTTACGCCTTGTACTCTATTACTGCTTCTATGCACTTTTTGGTCGCATTCTTGTTATCCCTGGATGCGCATTGACGTGTGGGGGAAATAGATCGAAGAAGGAGGGGTGACACTTGACTTTGCCAACAACAGGCAACAAAAAAGGAGACGCACACGACGATGGCGTGAGATACGCTAAGAGAAGACTAATAGTTTCTTTCTTCCTTCTCGCTCTGACCTATTATTCCGGGACACGCATACGTAACACCAATACAAAAAAACACTCCGAAACAGTTTGGCCCGGTTGCAGAGCTGTCGAAGGAAAGCCCCTATTTGAGGGCCTCGCAGTTTTACGAATCAGGATTGCAACAGCGGGTAGACAACAAGACTGAGCTTCTCAAGGGAACGTCTCTTCTAGAGCTGTCGCTGTTGATTGCGATCAAGCACTTGGTTGAGCGAGAGGTGACTTCGTTCAACTTTGAGATGGTGTATGACGAGTACAAGGATTTTATGGATATGGCCGTTGTACGGGGCACCATGGCTTCTTCGGCGAGTTCGCTGGGCGTGGGCAGTGGCGGGTCGATTGCTTCATCTGATGGAGTATCACTGCGCCTCTACAAGAAAGCTGTTGCCTTGAAGGTAATGTTCATTCTGCCAATCGCGGATCAATATCCCATGGAATGCATGATTCTTTCTCTCTCTGATTCCAGGATTATTATTATTGCGATCAATTTTGATTTGATCAAACCTGATGGACATACTCACAACATCAACAACCAACAAATAATAGGCGTTTGAGCACCTAGTCGAGGCCGAGTTACTGCGGCCGGCGGATTCGTTCAGCAAGGGACCGAAGGAGTACCGTATGATGCGGGTGATGCTCGATGCCTCGCAGATATCGGACGTAGTCCTGAAACACCGCGACTGCCCAACCATCGTCGCGCGTTGGGCTGCCCGTCGAGGCTAATTTTTTTTTTCTAATAAATATTGCACCAATGGTGACTGTGAAAACATTGGCCGTGTTTATTAGAGTGCCAAGCGAAGGTGGCACCTTTTTTTTTTTTTTTTTTCTCTTTCCCTTCTTCCTCTTTCCCTTCGTTTTTTCACACCGTTTCGTTCCCCCTTCCCTTTTCTCCCCTCACCAAGCGCCTGACAACCGCAAAGCGAGGTGCCCCTCCTCCCTCTTTACATACACTCTCATCCATAGCCTTCTCCACACTCTCGATCTCAACCAACGCTCTTGAGGTTCATCAACAACCATCAACCAAACAACCTCTTCCAACACACACGCTCCAAGTCTTCTCACTCGGCCGAACCCGCGTGAGCTGACTTATCCTTTGCCGACAAAGCAAAAAACTCCCATTCTCTCCAAGTTGGATTCCGCAAGATCACACCTGATCGTCCGCTACCTTTTGCCTTCGCAATCGATAGCGTTAGCCTGCTTCACCTTCCTACCTTGATCCACCAAGATTATTCGCTTCCATGGGAGGGTAAAGACCAACACTTCACTCCACTCACCACTACACTACTTCCACCACAACCACCAACAAAAAGAAATCGCCATCTCATGTTCTTTTTTTTTTCGCTTTTCACGTTCTCCTCAGGCAACAGTCCTACCTTTTCGGACTTTCTTTTCTTACCTTCGCACTCTGGGATCCCCTTTGCCGAACAACAACAACACAAAGACGCAAGGCTTTACTGTCGGTCAGTTCTGTCCTTCGTTGATGTTCCCTTTCTCTCTCTCTCTCTCTCTTTCTTTACAATCAACAACATTTTGTTATCCACAATTGTTGTCGAGAGTAGAGAGAGAGAGAAAGAAGGAAACAAGGGGTGTTTGTTGACATTTTTTTCCATGAAAATTTTTTTGTCCACCCCATGGATGGATATGAACTGTCGTTCCACAAACAAACAACAACGAGTGTCGTCTGTCTCTTTCTCCTTCTTTCCTCACTGGACTAGTAGAAAGAGGTGGTCGAGTGGTGCAATTGCATTTCGTCTGTCCTTTTTGGAGGCGCTAGCTTATTTATTTTGTGGTCTTTTTTCACTCTTCGGGTATATCCCATGCAACCACTGGACGTACCGTTTTGTGACCAAATCAACCCCACTCCCCCTCTCCTCTTCTTTTCCAATCGTGTGTGTGCGTGTCTCAGTTGTGTTGCCCTCGCGACCTTCCTCGGGTTCTCACGCGATATCATCGATTGTACCCTTGCCTCACCGTTCAATGCTTGCTTTACTCGCCGTTCTCGTTCTCACGCGATTTGTTTATGTACCTCTTCCTCTATCCCATCACCCTTATGCGAGAATAGAATAACACTAGTCGAGAATCCTCCTGTTGACCCGGATGGGGGCCTTGCGCTCTCATCCGGGTTCTTCAACCCCACCCTGCTCAAGGAACTCAACCAACTCCAGTTCTCAGCATCCCTTGCCCAAACCACTACCACCACCATCAACAACAACATGAACGTATCCACAACAACCCTTCCAACCACTATCACCAACACCGATGCGACTTCCAACCAAGCTGCTCCCACGTTCTCCATTTCTGACTTTCTTGTCCCAGGACTCCAGACAAAGGTCTGGGACGATTGGCAGGGTGCTGACGTTCTGAACGACTACTCGTAAGTGTCATTCTCGTTATTCTTTTGCTCAAAAGCTTTATCTTTTTGCTCTCGTTAATGTTTTTGTCGAGTCGACCCTTCTTGGGCTCAACATGCACCGTTTGTTTGTTGCCTGGGAAACTCACTCACCTGCTCTGCCCGTTCTTCTTTTTCCCTTACTGTTGGTGCACGACCATTTTCTTTTCCATTCGCATTGTCCCTTTTCCGTCAACTCCTTTCTTTCCCTCTTTCTTGTCAACAATGGATTATTAGTGCGTTCGACACTCAAGACTTTTCATCCGACCTCAATGGAAACCCCTTTCAGTTCGATCTTGACGGTCTGATGGGCAACGCTCCCATTTGGGATAACAATGCCATCCCGGCCGACCAAGCCTATGACGAGTTCGTCTTTGACTTGGCACCCAACGCCTTTGAGACCCCTGCAACTGTCAATGTCGCTGATTTGATTGTTGGACCCAACTCCTCCAGCAGCGCCTCAGTAGTGTCCCCCATGGATCTTTCCATGGCTTCGGTCGACATGTACCAGAACCTCACTTTGGCCAACCTCTACGGGTTCACTGACACTACCACGGGATCCGACTCTGGCTCAGATTCTGAGGTGGATGAGGATGCTTCTGACGACTCAGACCAAGACGAGATTGCCAAAGCTATAGTTCCCACGGCTGTTCCACAGCCCGCTGTTGATACCCAGTCGTGCGCGCCCATTGTTCAACAACCCATGGCTCCTGTACCTGCAGCCATCAAGCGCGAAGATCCCAACAAGCGCCGTATGGAGGAGGCCCTAGTGGCCCGTATCAACAACGACCTTGGCCCCGAGCACATGGCGGGATTGTTCAAGATTCTGAACGGCTCCTTGGATCAGGATGCTGAGAATGATGAAGACGAGGAGATGGAGGTCGATCTTTCCAGCTTGGACGAAACAACCTTGGTGCAAGTCTACCAGTACGTCGAGACCTGCTGCATGCAGACCATGCGCTCTATCTTGGCCGCTGAGGAACGTGAGCGCGCCGCCGTTGCTGCTACCAAGGCAGCCGCCGCCGCCGCCGCCGCCGCTGCAGCTGAAGCTGACGCGATGGAAAGACAGCGCCAGCGTTACTACGCTGAAAGGACGCCTGAGCTGTCGCCCGGTCATTCCTCTGCTTCCTCGAGCTCACCCTCGCCCCCTCACCCTTCGTCTGGGTCGGCCACCAAGGGCCGCCGAGGAACCTACAACAAGAAGCGCAGCCCCGTGCAGTCGACCTCGTTGGCTATGTACCAGGCTGCAGATGACCTTGAACAGGATGCACTCTGGACTGCTGGACATGCGTCCAAGGCCAGGAGAAGGCGCGCCACCCTGGGCAGCTCGACCGGAGTGGGAGGTGGCGGCACCGACAAGGGTCGCAGGATACAGAAGGATATGGTTCAGCAACAGCAGTTGATGATGCAGCAGCAGCAATCCATGGAGCATGTTGTTGTCTTGCGCACCACTGTTACCGCTGACGACGACGAGATGGAGTATGGTGAGGATGCCGAGATTGACGTCGTCGGCTAAGCGCGAAGGGTCTTTTCCTCTTTTGTCACACCTCTTTCGTTCTTCCTTTCGCACACCCTTTTGCATTCACATTCCACCTACCCCACATACCAACAACACACACACACACAACTTTCTTTGCATTTATTCTTCCCGTCCTGTCGTCAACGCCCGGCACCGGACTTGTACTCTATGATGACTCTACTTCTTTCTTTGTCTTTTTCCACTCTTTTTTTTGTGTTCAAAAGTTTGCTTCCCTTTCTTTTTTTTTCTATTGTTTCTTTTGTTTTTTTTTGCCTTTGTCAGTGCGTACCATTCGTTTTCTTCCCTTGAAAAAAAAACTGTAAAAAGAGAAAAAGAAAAACCAAAAAGTCTAGAGCAGAGATCGCTTGTAACAACAACCCAACAATAAAACCCCCCACACTTAAGCCCTTTACACAGTCGTTTGCGCTTTGAATTTCGTGATGTAACTTGTCTCGTTTTTTTTTTTTTTTTTTTTTTTTTTTTTTGGGAGTTCCACACAGCACAAAGAGGAGCCGTGTTTATTTTGAATCTGAGAAGGGCCGAGAGTAAAAGATACTTAAAAGATGCGAGGAGACTTTCTCTGACCGAGGAGTTCATCCCGTCGCTGGACAACCCTCACTCCCCACGGGAACCTGTTCAAGACGTCATTGGTGATCAATGGGTTCTGACTACTCCACTGTGCCCCCCCTCCTCCTCCTCCTCCTCCTCCTTCTTGTCCCACAGAACCACCAGGATTTGACCGGTGCCGCTCATCAACCATGACCAACTGCCGGAATTTCATGCAGCCCTGTCCAATTGCCAGGATGGACTTGTCAGATACTTGGGTCAACCCTGTGATATCAAGGACTTGTAGGTCGGGACATGCTTCGGAGATGGATACTAGGCCAATGTCGGTGACGTCGAAACAGAATGCAATGTTGAGGTGCTGGAGGGGTAGTAGTAGGGACTGCTGGACAGCGGAGGAGAATTGGAGGAGGACGGTGTCGGTTACGGCAAGGCCGCAGAAAGAGAGGTTGAGGGATACGAGTGTAGTGGAGTAAGTTCTGAGGAGGTTTGAGAGTGATTGGGACGAGGCAGAGTCGATCTCGCCGGATGTTGGGAATCGAAGACCGTTTGCTAGGTTCAGCGTGTGGAGCTTCCTGACGATAGTGGTGGTGGTGGAGTTCTTGGAGGGTGGGGAGGTGACGGCGAGGTGGTCGATGGTCTTGTGAGTCAGTGTCAGACTATGATTCGACGATGAAGCCTTCGAGCTATTCCCTACCCCATCTCCACCAACCTCCTCGCTACCAACAACATTTGAAAGAACAACCGTCCTCAACTTCCAGCACCTCTCAAATACAGCCTCCATCCCCTTATCCGACACCCTCACACATCCCAACAACTCTAACCGTACCAGGTTACAACAATGCTCTGCTAGTGTGAAAAGAGAATCGTCCGAGAGCTGCTTTGGGGAATCGATGATGAGTTGTTGGAGGGAAGGGGAGTGATGGAGGAGATAGGAGAGGAAGGTGTCGGAGAGGATGTAGTGGAGTTGGGAAAAGTCTAGGATTTTGATGAATGCACCGTAGGTGAAGGGTGTGAGAGGTGGTTTTGTGGGGATGGTGGGGGAGAAGGAGGAGGGAGTTGTTGCTTCTCCTTGTTCTCGTGAGTTGAGGGATACTTGTGCCATGATTCCATCTCTTCCTCGACCAGCATGATCCTCTCTCTCCTCCTTATCATCATCATCCTGCTGCTGCTGTTGCTGCTTCTCCCGTTCTTCCTGATTTGTCAACCTAAGCCCAACAGCAACAGCTTGTGGATTCGTGCCCTCAATCCTCATCATCCCTCCATCCCGCTGCTCTTGCCCACTGCCTCCACTTCCACCTCTTCCACCCCCACCGCTCCTCGCACCACTCACAGTCTGCAAGAGCTTCATCCAAGAAATATAATACTTCATCCATGGCCGATACCACAAATGAGGCATCACCCTCCGACTCCACCGTCTCGACAGTACCGAGCATTGCAAGATAGTTGACCTGTCCAAGGAGAAGAGGATATGATCGAGGATCTCGGGTGGGAGGGTATCCATGAGATCTTTTGTTGGGTCGTACATTTTTCCTTGTCTTTGGTGTCGCTGGTAGGCATGGGGGTAGTGTTGCGGTTGATGAAGGACGAGGTTCTTTGTTACTGGGGTGGTGGTAAACACTGTCGTTAATGATATGTTGGATGAGGCAATGAGGATGGTCTCATCGTCGGTTGTGATGGGCGAGGACATTATCGCGTCCTTATCCTCGGTCCTACTGCTGAGAACAAATCGATCGTTGTGCTGTCCTGTCATCTTGGGCTCAATCGACTTTTGTGTCGGTTTTAAAAAAAAAAATGTCCAAAGAGTAGCTGGAGCTTGTATGCGGAATTCCTGATAGGGGAGAGAAGAGGGTCAAGTGTTCTGGCAGAAGGGGGAGTAAGAAAAAAAGGGAGAAATCGATAAAGAAGAAACAAAAGCGAAGAGAGAAAAAAAAATTGTATCAAAAATTGAAACTGATCAAGAGTTGCATACACACGCGAAAGATTACGCGAGTGAGACCCATGCCAAGGGGACCATGGGAGATACCTTCTTTGTGGATTCACACCTCCGGCTTTCTATTGTTCGTTTGGCATCCAACTAAAATGACCTGCGTTATCTCTCTATCTTTTTCAATTCCTTCTCGTTGTAGTTCTTTTACTCTTTTCCTTCCTTGATGACAACTTAGATGAGGCCCCAACATCTCATAACCAAAAACCACGGAGTATAGAACGTAAAAGAGAGTGTTTTGGTAAACCCAAGGCAGGAATATGATATTTGAAGCTGGTGATGCAATGTTATTGTTGTTGATATGTGGGGAGATGTTCGTGTTAAGATGCGCTAGATGGTCCTATCAACTCGCTGCTCACTTGTGGCTCTTTTTCTTTTTCTTCTTCTTCTTGGACCCAGTGGATGGCGCCGGTGACTCGGCCTCAGTCACTGTTGTCGATGTGGTGGACTCTGGGCGAATCAAGGGTGTTGACGACTCTGAGATGGAATCCAGGCTCAGGTTGTGGTCGCTGACTGTGGGCCTCAAAATGGGTGCGGGTAATGGCTCCAAATCGTGGACAGGAGCTGGCGTATCCATGGTAATAGACACGGCGTTGCCCAACTGTGGCGCCCTTGGTGTGAGGATCTCAGCAATGGGTTTTGAATCCACAGGGAGAGCAAGGATCGAATGCTGCTGCTGTGGGTGGTGAGTAAATGGTTGCTGAGGTGACTTTGGTCCTGTATAGTGGTCGTACTTGGTATAGGATCCAGTCCTGAATTCGCAATGGTGAGGGGCACCATCGTTGCTCAAAAGATGCTGGTTCTCACCTATGCCGCCAGTAGAGGTCTTTCTCGACTGAAGGATCGTCTTGCCAGACACGTATTGGTTGGGTACCTCCACAGGAAGAGCTAATCGTCGCTCGATCTGAGGAGTAGGATGCATCACAACGCCGGCATGACCTGTCAAGGGAGCAATGGGTCCCACAAGAGGGGTTGCTGCCTCGCTGAGAGCTGGGGATTGAAGCAGGGTCTTGAGGTTCTTGATCATATGCACGTTCCTGTTGGGTTTCCTGATAACGCGGATCTTGTTGTGCACATCGACGTAGACATCGGACTCGTCCACAATCTCTTCGCCTAACAACTCCTCAATAACATCCTCCAGCGTAATAACTCCGACGGGCAGACCAAATCCACCAGGCTCCGAGGTCACCATCGCCATGTGCGAACGCCCTTCCTGGAAAAAATTCAAAATGTCGAGACAGCTAGTGTTGGGCGCAGCCTCGGGAAGAGAGTTGATCGTGAACTGTCGAACAGCAATATGGTCCTCTGGGTCGTAGGTAATCAAGCGCTTGACGAGCAACATACCAATAAAGTTGCTGGGGTCGTCATGTCGGTAGATAGGGATGCGCGAGTATCCCGCAGAGACAATCTCCTCCATCAATTCCTCGTCTAGAATCGCGTCCTCGCTCAGAGTAAAGACGTCCTCCAGTGGTGTCATGACCATCGAGACGGGCTTCTCCTTGAGATCAAGGACGGATGCAATGATGGTCACTTCGTCGTCGGTGAGCTCGCCGATTCCGTTGACCTGGTGAAGTGAGACCAATGTCTTGAGCTCTGTCCTGCGATAAGTTGTTCCATGATGAACTCCCAGCCACGAATCTAGCAGCATAGCGATCGGGTATGCGATAGGTGACATGATGTACATAACAATGAGCATCGGCTTTGCGCAATAGGCACCGATGGCAAGCCCATACCGAGCGCAAACAGCCTGTGGGATGATCCTATGAACCAGTCATAGTAATGAAAAATGAGACGAGTTAGTCCACGTGTATCGGTTGTTAACCCCTAACACTGCCCGATGCTTCATCATTGTTTGGCCATTGAGGTGTACAGGTTGTGAGTGGGAGTGTTCACTTACTCTCCAAAGACGACAATCAGCAAGGTCGAGATCAGAATGGCGACGATTCCTCCGCCAAGTTCAGAGTCCAGGACGACAGGAAGGGTCTCGTTCACAATCACATTTCCCAACAGCAAGGTTACTAGAGAACGGAATTGCCAACACAAATAACGAATATTTGTCAGAACAGAAGCATATTTGCCATCCATTTGTCTGTTGTTGATACCCTGAGGCATAAAAGAATTTGGTTGGGCCTGAGCAATGAGAGCAAATAAACAAAAACAACAACAGACCAAGCAACTCACCAAGGACCCAATGCTTCCCACGCGACAGGAGGCCAAAGACGGTTTCGGCGTGGAACTGCTCCTTGGGAGATCCGGATGCCATTAGGACATGCAGGTTGGTCTCGTCGAGACCCATCAATCCGATGGTCAATCCTAATAGTAGTAGATGAACGAAAATCAACATAGTCGAGAGGTACGCGTGACATTGTTAGATCATCATCGCCTTCCTCTCGTAATTCTGCATAGATCATGGCATCAAGCTACATCTATATCTCTCTCTCTCTTGCTTTATTACGGCTCCTTCTCTTCCTCTTCTCATTTTGATATCCAATCCTAAATGGTGCTGCACACCATCCATCGGGTATCTTGCCATCGGCCATCGCAAAAACCTTGCAGCGAGCTGAGTAGTAAAAAACAAAATCGCTGCGTGACAAAAAAAAAGAAGACAAGGTTCAGGTCGGGACCTGAGGAGAACTCACCAGCAAAGATCCCTCCAACCATAACCAAGAAGACGATTAAGGCCATCTTGAGCCAGAAGTCAAGCGTTTCTACGTCTCCTCCTTGGTGGCCGTTTTCAGGTTCATGGTGCGGTTTGTTGTTGGTTCTGAAATTTGAAAGGGGATCCTCTTGACGCCCATAGGTAGAGCATAACCTCGTCAAGAGGACAAGGTTTACAAAGACGAGTACATAGATGACAGTAGTCTTGAATCCCGAAGTTTGTTTTTGTTGTTGCTGTTGGTCATTGCTGCCAGTGTCTATTGGGATTTTTTTCTCTGCAGGGATGGAGACAGTAACATCCTGTGGCCCAGAGTCGTTCTGGTAGGAGTGGTAGTTCATGAGGCGTTGTTGTCTGTCCCTTTTTTTGTATTTTTTCCCTGATCAGCGAGTGGCGTTGAGGAGAGGAGGGAATGGAATGGGCGTTGTTGTTGACAAGTGTAGTCCAGGGTGAAAAGGGGGAGCGCGAGAAGGGAGAGTGGAGAGTGGGAGAGTGGGGAGTGGAGAGAGGGTATGCAGTGTTGGAAAAAGGAAATGAAAAAGACGAAAAAAAAAAAGACGTGGAGCCAAAAAAAAAAAAAAAAAAAAAAAAAGGAAGACGAAGAGCGGTCTATGCCAAAGAGGGACAGCAATGGCTGTTCCGTCTCTCCTTCTACCACAGTGTAGACTGCCTGCCTGTGAGAGAGAGGAAAGCCAAAATGTGTGTCCAGCAGGCCTCTTCACTGCTCACATTATTGTTCAACCCAAACACCGACAAGGGCAGACCGACAGACCACCTTCGGACTTTTGGCGTTTTTGACCATTCAACGCGCGCGCATGGGCCACGTGATGGCTGGACTGATTCGACTGGAAGACTAGAAAGAGGGGCTGAAATTGATCAATTATCTCTAATTGACAGTCGATCGCTTTTCTTCTCTTCCCTAATTGACAATGAGTTGCCACCAAAAACAACCCCTTTGATCAATTATCAATTGCTCACTCTATCTTGCTGATGATTGGACACAACTCTATTAGTACGAAAACGAAAGAAATGCCGCCATCCGCTATCACCAATGCAAGTCACGACGATTTCGCCATTTTGAATCTTCGTTGCTTTGGCGTCCTTTAGTCACTCTCCTACTTTCACACTACTTTTTTTGTTCTTCCCTTGCTCTTCTTCTTTGCTCAACCCTCTCCTCTTTCTTTCTTTCTTTCCTCTCTTTCGCTCGTCACACCTCTCTCCTTTCTCTATCCTCAGCACTCTTCCTACTTAATCGCATCTTCCCAACAAAATAGCACCAAACAAACCGCCTCTTTTATACCCTAAAGTCATCACAACGCAATGGTCCGCTCCTCTATCGATCCCATCCGCCCTGGCGCATCCTTGATCCTTGCCTGGCAGATTAAACAAAAACACGTCGTCATCATCGGAGGAGGCTTCGTCGCCGCCGGCCGTAAGTCTCCTCTTTCCTTCTCCTGCTTCATACCCCTGGACCACTTCAACCTGACAATCTAACTCTTTCTTGTCTCTGTTTCACTTGATTCTAGGCTTGGTGAACGTTCTGGAGGCAGATGCAAAGGTGACAGTGATCTGTCCCGATAACGAGGAACTGTCAGAGACGGTCCGTCAGCATCTTGAGGATCACTCACAGACAACTCGCCTTGTGCCTCGGGAATTCCAGGACTCAGATCTGACTACACCCTTCGGAGAACACATGTTTACAAAAGTATCACCCGAAGCGTCATCAACTCTCACACAGGAGGGATATCCCTCAGCAACTGCAACAACAACCCTCGAGTCGACGCTCTCACAGGACGAACCCCTTGACGACGTCGTCTCCGGACCTGCGGTCGATATGGTTCTCTCGGCAATTGATGACATCCCTCTCTCAACACACATCTACAACCTCTGCAAGCGACTCCGGATCCCAGTCAACATTGCCGATGTCCCTCCCCAGTGCGACTTCTACTTTTGCTCGACCCATCGAGACCAGAGCCTGCAGGTTGCTGTCTCGACCTCCGGAAAGGGTCCCAAGTTGGCCAACCTCGTACGCCGTCATATTGCAGATCACTTGCCCAATCGAGTTGGTGAGGCGATTGAGCAGGTCGGTATCCTCCGTGCCAAGTTGAGAAAGATGGCACCGGGTCCTGAGGTCGGTCCCAAGAGGATGGGGTGGATGAGCCGGGTCTGTGAGCAGTGGAGGATGGAGGATCTTGCTACGCTAGAGGAGAAGAGTATGGAGATTGTGTTGAGTGGGTTCAAGGACAATGTTGTCTTCTCCTACGATCAGGTCCAGGCGAAAATTGCAGATGCTGAATCGACGGAGGCGGAGACTGAAAAAATCGAGTCCAAGGTCACCACTGCAGGCGAGCTCACTGCGGAGCACACCATCACAAAAGACACCCCCACACAAAAGACTCCAAGACTGGTTCTCGTCGGCGCAGGCCCTGGCGATCCCGAGCTGTTGACTCTCAAGGCTGCAAGACTGCTGGAGGAGGCCGACTTGGTGGTGGCCGACAGATTGATCCCTATGGAGGTCATCGATCTCGCAAAGGGTGAGGTCCGCATCGCCCCCAAGAAGCGCACTGTCCTCGTCGTCGAACAGAAATCCTCCACTGCCGACCAAGAGACCCTCTCCACCGCTATCACATCTGATAACATTCAGGATCAACTCAACGAATGGTGCCTCCAGGGCCTGCGGGAGGGCAAGACTGTTGTCCGACTCAAGCAAGGAGACCCCTTCATTTTCGGTCGTGGCGCAGAGGAGATCCTCTTCTTCCGCGAGCATGGATTCGATGCCGAGGTGGTCCCCGGAATCTCCTCCGCCCTTTCAGCCGCACTCTCTGCCAACGTTCCTCTGACCCACCGCGGATCGTCGAACCAAGTCGTCATCACTACAGCTCAGGTCAAGGGCGGACGTCTCTCAGACAACTTCCCCGTCTACGATGCCCAAAAGACAGTCGTGGTCTTGATGGGCGTGGGGAAGGCCAAGGAAATCTCCGAGATGATGCAGACGGATCTGGGTTGGCCTGCCAATGTACCCGCAGTGATTGTCGAGAATGCCCATTGCGCCAACGAGAGAGCCATGGATGCGACGCTGAGCACCCTGGCACAGGTGGTCGAAGAACAAAAGGCGGTCCCTCCATCTGTCTTTGTCATCGGATGGGCCGGATCTGTCCTTCGTCAAGCTTAGAGAATCTCATTCTTCTCTTTTCCCTTTTTTCTTTCCCCTTGTTCATACACCACCCTCTTCCATCTTATAACTTGTATCAAATGTAGCAATAGACAATATATACAAATGCATCTATTTTTTTCACATAAACATGCGTGCATGTGCTTGTTTTTTTTGATGAGATAGTCCATTCGAGAATACAGATGCTCACGAACCCTTGGCTCATATTTCCTTATCCTAACAGAAAAGAAAGATTTAGGCTTAGTTGTTTGTAGCTTTGCGCTCGCTGTTTTCTAGAACATCTGTTTGCACCTCTTCTATCTTGACTCCTTACATCTGTTTGCGCCTTTTCTATCTTGGCATGTTTTTATCCTTACATTTGTTTGCACCTCTTGGCATTTATGTTTCCTCTTGTCCCTGTACTCTTCTTGTCTTGTCCTTTGTTCTTGTCTTTGTCTTACCAAACTACATAAATAATCTGCTCTTCTTCATAAATCCCCTTTTTTCCCTTCATTTTCATCCTATGGTCTAGCAATTTCACACATCCTCTCTTGTCCACACTCTCCCACGCTTTCTCTCACCCTCATTCAGAACCTGGCATAAACAATGAGAATACAGATCTCGATCTTAAAATGGCACCATTGGCGCATTGTCCTCCCGATTGGCTCTCCCTCCCCTCCCCCCTCCTCATTCTCTCACCCCCATATGCAACTTTCACAAGGTGAAAAACAATGATTAGATTGACAGAACCTTCACTTCACCCCCCCCCCCCTCTTACACTCCCATTCCTTCATGCTAAGCCTGTGCATTTTATTTTTATTTTTCAATCAGATAAGAATCAAAATTTATTCCACCGCCAAACATCACAATCACATGGGGGCGCCGAGCACCCCCAGGGCATCGGGAATCAAAGGAGGAGGGGGGGGGGGGGTAATCTAAGAAAAGCGTTTGTTAGTGCGCAATGCAAAGACCTGTCCGTCTGATCACAACCAATACCGGTCTGGACTCACCGAAGGAGGAGGAGGGAGGGGGGGGGGGGAGGGGGTGAACAACATAAGGCTGGATACAGAAAGAGAGCAGCCAGAATACACACCCCTTACCTCCCCACGACCATTCTATAGCTCGTAACAGTAAAAACTTCTCCCTGTCAGATACAAGACCACCGGCCTACAAGAAAGACTAGTCTTTTGACGGAGGATGTGTCTGCCCACTTTCACAAGGAGATGTGGGCAAAACAGGGGTTATGAAGGGATGTAAACGTATCCCCGTGGATTTGGAGTGTTCAGGTACCTCCCTTCGCCTCCTACTGTTGAAGACATTCAACTTTGGGGAGGAGGGGGAGGTACTGAGTGAAATCCATCGTGGCTGAATCTTGTCGACGAGCGGGTTGCGCAGGCGATTTCCTTGTAGACGACAGGGTGAGGAGAGGAGACTTTATTGGCAAGAGTTGGCGATGACCCGTTTGTCTGTTTGAAAGGTGCGGTGCTCGAGCCGATGGCCTTGCAAGGCTGCGATTACTTGACGTTGAGGCGATGGCGAGACAGCAGCAGTCCCAGTGAGCCCCTCCCTCGCTCGATGGGAGGCAGGAGGTGGCGTTTGGCGTTTGAGTCATCGCTGTTGCCTGGCTTGGCTGCTCTTGATATGACGACAGTGCTGAATCATGTGTTAATGGCTTCCTGGCTCTGATTAGCGAAGAGAATGGCGGCGCAGTTGACTTTTTTTACGAGGAGTGATCGTAGTGTTGACTTCCTGTCGCCCAGAGGTTACCTGGGTCTAGGGAACTAGTTGCTGTAAAGAAACTACTTGATGAATCGAATCTGGGAGTGGTGGGAGTGGTGGGAGGGAAAGGCGGAGAGAAGAGAAGAAGCAGTTGGGAGAGAAATAAATAACACATACAATGGGTTTTGCCCAGGTCAACGAAACGATGAGGGTGCCCTTTTCCCCTGGCTATCCGCGCCCGAGCTTGGAGGAACAATGGTATACAACTTAACCTTTGCATGCGATTTTCATAGACATTTTTTTGTCAGAATACGCAGGAGTACAGTTTTATTTACAAAAAGAGAAAGTAAAAGAAGAGAGGGCCGTTCTGCAGACACTGAAAAGTAATCTGCAAGTTCGTGTAGATTGAGTAGGAAGAAAAGACAACGTAATCGTTACGGGGTCGTCTAGGCCAAGACGAAAGAAAACAGCATCATAACAATGAGCCGAATCATGTCCTGACACAGGTGGGTGAAAGAGAAAGCGTACAAATCATGAAAAAGAAGGTTTTCTAAAGCGATACTGCCTCAACAGCTGGGGACTCGTCCTCCTGTGCAGACTCTCTAACAACCTGGTCATCTCGATCCAACGCCTCAGCAACGGGTCCTTCAGCACCTCTACTAAAGCAAATTGCGGGCTTCTTTCCAAGAGCGACCTCCTTGTCAATGACAATATGCTTGATCGAAGATCCTGGCGCGTCATACATCACATCCAGCAACAGTGATTCCTATTGTACGAACGAGAAAAAAATATACAGGTCAGATTCTACGTCTCCAACACCATCATACAAGCTGATCCATGACAATGCAAGAATATGGTATACATACCATAATGCGGCGAAGTCCTCGAGCTCCTGTCTGCTTCTCAATGGCTTGCTTGGCAATGGTATAAAGCGCTGCTTGTGAGAATTGAATCTTGATGCCGGCCATGCCAAAGAGACCCTGGTACTGCTTGACCAAAGAGTTGCGAGGCTCCGTCAGAATGCGAACCAAGGCAGCCTCATCCAGATGGTTGACTGAAGCGACAACAGGCAAACGTCCAATGAACTCGGGAATCAATCCAAACTTGATCAGGTCTACATTGAACAGGGCAATAAGAACAACGTATTAGTATTCATTTTGTTGAAAAGGCACAACCGCAGATCTAATGACAGAAACTCAATGCTTACCGGTTGGGTCAACTTGGTCGAGGAGGCGACTGACCTGGGATGAAGCATCCTTGGACGAACTCAACTCTGAAGATGGTGCTCGGACCATAGCATCGAAGCCAATCGATCCCTTCGACACACGGTCCATTACGATCCTTTCCAGACCAATGAACGCTCCACTCAGAATGAACAATATGTTGCTTGTGTCAACCGAGTAGATCTCACCCTTGGCTCCAGGTCCTCCGCCTCCAGCGCTGGGTCCGCCAATGCCAGGCAAACCATTCTTGCGTCCCGCATTCGCGCCATTCCAGTTAGAGCCATTCTTTTCTGTGACATTGACAACAGTACCCTCCAGCATTCTCAGGAGCGCTTGCTGAACGCCCTCTCCTGACACATCCTTGGAAATCGACATAGTGTCAGGTCGCTTGGAGATCTTGTCAATTTCGTCGATAAACACAATGCCGCACTCTGCCTTCTTGATGTTATAGTCACAGTTCTAATTGCAAGAAATTTGTAAGTTGTTGGCGTTACTATCGCCCTTCAGTTTCGGTGCTTTCTAATCCTTGACGTCGCAAAGAGTCGTCACAAGAACTAACCTGCAACAAGCGGTGAATAACCATCTCGACGTCCTCGCCCACATATCCTGCCTGCGTGAATGGTGTGGCTATTATTAATTGAAAGTTTGATAGAGCATCATTTAATACCGCGTCACTTCGTTTCTTATGCAAATATGTTTGAGCATACAAAACCCATATACCAAACCAGTCGCTTACCATCGGACATGGAGAAGGGAACATTGAGGACCTTGGCCAGTGTCCTTGCCAGGAGCGTCTTGCCTGATCCTGTGGGTCCGAGCAAGAGGACATTGCTCTTATCAAAGATGGTTGATGGCGGTTTTGAGGGTGTGTCTGCAGCCTTACGGTGCTGCTGCTGCTGTGGTGGCGGTGGTGGTGGTGGAGGTTGCTTATGGTATGTGTCGTAAGGTTGTGAGAACATTGATGGTGGGGAGGGGCTGTGTCCATTGGACGCCGAGTTGATCCATGGCTGTCGATGCGGATAATGGATCGCCTCTAAATATGTTGCAGAAGGAGATAATAAAATGAGTAAGGACGACGAGAAAGACAGAGGGGGATAGGGCCAAAGTGGTGCCATCTCAGCCGATGCGCTGGCTGTGATTCGTGCAAAAAGAGTTTGTCGTTCATGAACCATCGGGCAAATTAGAGTTTTCACATGACTGCTCTCTGCCCGCAATGAATAGGTTTCGAAAGTGAGGACGCGGACAGGTATGAAAGGGACAATACATGAAGGAGAGGAGTGGGGAGCTGCTTTGTTGTCAACTTACGTCGGCCTGGGACATGCAAGTCGCTACTAACAGCATGGGTATCTTTGCCATCGTTGCTGCTGCCTCCTGCAGCAGTGTCGGTTCCTGATGCATTCGAAGGTGGCGATGAGGGTGAAGTAAAGGTTTCAATGATAGGGTCTGGTGTGCTTGGTCCGTCACTCATCAGGACACCCGAGCCGTAATACACGGAGCCCGGGGGAATCGGCGGGTTGGAGATGGCAGTCAGAGACTCCTGAATTTGCTGTTGACGCAAGTTCTCGTTTACGCGCGAGTAATGGTTGTAAACGGCTACAGCCAGGATCTTTTTGGCCTTTTCCTGTCCAATCACATACTCGTCCAAGTGTTGCACAATCTAAGAAAAGTAGCGAAAAAAAGAGAAGGAACAAAAGCAAAGTAACAGAAGCAACCATCAGTGACATCGTCGCACGATATGAGAATCAAAGTGGCATTGCATCAACAACGATAATAACAGGTGCCAGACAGTAAACATACAGTCCTGGGGTTCTGAATGCTGCCCATCCATTCTGAAGAATTCACTGCGCTATTCTTGCGAGCGTTGGCCGCTGAGTATGAGTCGCCTGGTCCTCCGCCACCACTTCCACCAAAGGTATCACGCGACTGGAATGAACTTGTAAATGGGGGTTGGGCCGGGTAAAAGCTGGTCGACGAGGTAGTACCAAGGCCATTGTTTTCTCCCGATGGAGGGTCTGTTGCTACATTTTGCGAGTCATAACCAAAGGTGGTGTGAGTCTTCATTATCATCAACGTGTGGTATGGTTAAAAAACCGCAGTGCGTTGAAACAGGAATATACCTTTGGCTGAGTGTGAACCCGACCGCCCTTTACTTGGTGTTGCCTTGTCGTCGTCATTCGCTCTCTGAGAAGATGAATGCAAGGCTGCATTCGCCCCCGCAACCTGACCAGAGGGACTGACTGCATCCTTTTTTGACCCCGCCAAGGAAGCCTCTGAGGAGCTACTGCTGCTCTTTGCTGGACGCTTCTTAACTGTGCGAGCGGCAGCTGAAGCAGCGCCGTCAGCACTCTCTTGCGAAGCACCGCCAGAAGTCGAACTTGTTGTAGAGCTCTTGGGTGGTTGAGTGACTTGACGGTGGTGAGTCGAGGAAGCAAAGAAGCGATGGGGTAGGGTCTGGTGAGAGGTGTTGATAGAGGCATTTGTGTGATTGTTATGGGCTCGTCCACGATGGCTGGAGAGAATGGTGGTTGCGCACGGGTGTTGAGACCGTCTAAGGGCGGCCAGGGCCATCGACCTGTGAGCCGGCGAGGCCGATCGCATCGCAATGACGAGCATGGAGTAAGTGGGTTTTTGACCTTTGGGTCGGGTGAGACGGGAGAGGGGGGAAGGGAAGGGAAGGGGGAAAGAGTGAAGGAAAGAAGGGAGGTAAAAGAGTTGAGGTGACGGAGTAGTGGAGAAGGGATGAAAAAGAAAGAAAGGAGCGTTCAGGGTTGCGATAAAGAAGACAAAGAAGACAAAGAGAACGGATAGCACGGGTGACACGGGTGGAGACAAAAGCGAGGGATATAGTAGGGCAGAAGTGGAGACGTACGAGGAAAGGGGGTTGGTTGGTGGACTGGATTGGGTTGCTGCATCGGGAGCACCCATTAAAGAGTCACTCATGTCAATTCAACCTAGCGAATGAAAAGTGACTGTTTGTTGCATTGACCAATGAATGGGCTTTTTGTTTGCAACACAAGAACAAGGGAACAAGGAAATACGATACGATGCAAATGAGTTGAATATTGTAATATGTGTGGAAATGATGAATAGTACTAGTAAGAGTGGGGGAATGAAAAAAACAATGAATGGTGGAGAAAAAAAGAAAAACAAGAGACCAAGAGATTCTATCTATCTCCTGCGCTTGCTGTCCTTGCGGTCACGGTCGCCACGGTCGCTCTTACGGCTCTTCCTCCTCTCATCCTCATCGTCGTCGCGCTCGCGACTCGAGCTCGACTTCAGCCTCATAATCAACTTCTCAAGAACGCGCTTGCCCTCACAGTTGGGGAACGAGTCCAGCTCAAAGTAGCCGGGCGCAATGTCGAGCAGCCATTCGGCACGAACCTCAGACACCGTGCGGATATAGTTCTGGTTGGTCAGCACAAACTCGTTGTAGATCACCCACTCCGACGCGTGATCCAGGCACGAACTGGGGTGAAGACGAACCACTTGGTTATCCTTGACAGTCAAGTAGTTGCCAGATCTCTCCTGATGGGCAACCTGCATAAAGTATCCTGCACAGAGAGCCTTGCGGATTCCTGTGTAGTAAGGACCCTTAGGCCGCTCGTCAAAGGGAAGCGAGACCAAATCCAAATCGGCACGCTCCATGTAACGCTTCAACTGTGTCCTGACGTTATCGGCTGACTTCAATGTACGGTAGTTGCAGAAGTTGTCATAGCACCACTTCTGGTCCTCGCCCGAGGTCTTGTATGCGTGGTATACGTTCAACAATGTGAGGTGGTCGCCATCAGGGTGTGAGAACTGAGCCTTGGCCTCATCAGCCATCTTGCGCTGGTCTGGGGGACGCATGAACACCAATGGGACTATTGGAATGAATCACAAAGAGAGGCATGTTAGTACGCAGCTTACTACTACTTCTCAGCAATCGATTCAGTGCACATAAAAAACGCGTAGCGAAAGTACATACCGTTCAACAAGGAGACGATGGTCATGATCTCGTTGGAGCATCCGTACTTGGGGCTGGTAATGAGCATCTTGGCAAGCTGGGGATCGAGAGGGAAGTCGGCCATGATGCTTCCGAGAGGAGTCATGTTACCGTCATCATCCAAGGCACCGAGGTAGTTGAGTAACTCCAAAGCGCGCATAAGAGTCTCAGGAGCTGGGGGGTCCATAAAGTCAAAGTGAACGAGATCGTCGATTCCAAGCTTCTTGAGCTGCAAGACAACGGTGCCCAAGTTACTCCTGAGAATTTCGGGGTAGGTGGTCTCGATCAGCTCCTTCATGAATGCGTTCTCGGTGTACAATCTGAAGCACTTTCCGGGGCGAGTACGACCGGCACGTCCTGAACGCTGCTGGGCTGAAGCCTTGGAGATGGGCGAGACCAAGAGCGACTCGACACGGATACGGGGGTTGTAGACCTTTTGCTTAGAGAAACCGGGGTCAATGACATAGACGATACCGTCGATAGTCAACGAAGTCTCGGCCAAGTTGGTCGACACGACAACCTTGCGTCCAGGGCGTCCACCAGTGGTCCTTGGTGGTGGGGCATCATCGTAAATACGCTTCTGCGCCTGGGGAGGCAAACTCGAATAAAGTGGGTAGACCCTGATAGGTCCAGCATCCGGCATCTGATCAGCCTCGGCCTTGATTTTCCTGCAAGCGTCCTCAATCTCTTCCTCTCCTGTCAAGAACAGCAAGATATCTCCGGCATCCTCGGTCCTGTGAATCTGAAGGGCGGTGAAAATGGCAGCCTCCAAGTAATCGCTCTCGGGCTCGGGGGTGTAGTAGATCTCGACGGGGAAGGTACGACCGGGGACGCTCATCAAGGGTGCGTCATCAAAGTACTTTTGGAATTTTCCTGCATCAAGGGTGGCGGACATGACGACGACCTTGAGGTCGGGTCTCTTCTTGATAATCTCCTTCATCAAACCCATTAGGATATCAGTCGAAAGGGTACGGTCGTGAGCCTCATCCAGAATAACGGCAGAGTAGCGTGTCAGCAAGGGGTCGTTCATGGCCTCTCTGAGCAACATACCATCGGTCATATACCTAAAAGTGAAAAATAAAAACTGCGGTTAGATCAAAGGGCGCGGCAGAAGTTTTGTTTAAAAAATTACTGCGGCGAAATGTAACAATACGTACTGGAGCATAGTCCTTTCGCTGGTGCAGTCCTCGAAACGAATGTTGTAACCGACTTCCTGGCCCATGACAACGTCCATCTCCTCTGCAACACGCTGAGCAACAGACATGGCGGCAAGACGACGAGGCTGGGTACAAGCAATCTTCTTGCCCTTGAAGGCTGGCAGATCATCGAACACCATGAACTGAGGGATCCTATTATCATCAATTGAAAGCAGGAGAGGCACAGAGTAGGCAATCAGTAAAAATAAGTTCGATCAGGAGACCGTCAAGTTAGCAACAAATTCAAGCTGTGAGAACAGCACATACTGGGTGGTCTTTCCGGAACCAGTCTCTCCGACCAAGATCACGACCTGGTTGTTCTGCACAAGATCCAAGAACTCCTTGCGGTGCTTGTTGACGGGGAGCTTGCGACGACCGGCAAGGATCTTGCGGTATTTGTCGCTGAAGGGCTTGTTAGTGAAGGGGTTGATTTCGCCCTCCTCGGCAGCCTCTCCTTGCTGGGCGGTGGTGGCGCCAATGACAAAGTTGGCCAAAGGGTGGTTGGCAGCGAGGCCATAGTCGTTCTTTGCCGTGGAGGCACCTCCGACGAGTCGCTCGCTAGGGGGGAGGTGTGCAAGGTAGGGGTTCTCCTTGGGGGCATCCTCCTTGCTTGACTTTGAGCGCTTCTTGGAATCGGACATTAGAGATTGTTGTTGAATTCCTGGAAGAACGGGTGAAGAAGAGGAGAGAAAGGGGAATGAATGGAATGGGGAGTTGGACAAGGACCTTGCTAAAAAAAAGAAAAAAAAAAAGGAAGAGGCAAACAACATTTCTCCATCCCAGCCACCCACGTAGAAAAACGATAGCAAATGCGATCGTAATGAATACTTCCCGTGATCCAAAGGACCATTCACCTTGAAGATGATTCGCCGAGCCAACGGTGTTGTGCTTCTCAAGCAGACAACCAATAGGAAAAGGACTCCGAGAGTGTACCTGCTCACACTCTCCCCGTGTCTTTAACAGTTGTTCTTGACCTTCTACTTATTCTTCTTCCCCTCCTCTCCCATCCAAACTCCTTCATCCAACACAAACTCGAGCTTCATGTCAAACACAATCCTCTACTACGGCGTCGCCGCAGGCATCTTCCTCGTCGCCCTCATCTTCTGCTACGTACGTTCGTCATTCACAGGAACAACCTTCTTCTGCTCGTTCTCTCATCACCCCCCCCCCCCGGAATCTTCACCATCAGAGAAACCTTCATAACCAAGGACACCGCTATTTTCTTTTTATCTGATAGGCATATGAATTGAGCAACGTCTACTTGTACTACCCATTGGCGGCATATGTGGGATACACTATCTCGATGAAACTCCTCAGCTTCTTTGCGCCCACCGCCTGGGAACCCGCACCACCACCACCTCCCAAGAACCGCCAGGAGAAGAAGAAGCAGGCAAAGGAAGCAGAGTTCCAGGCTAGGAAGGCCGAGAAGGTCTCCAGGAGAGATGCTGATGCCCTTCGCAAGCAGGCTGAGGCTCGCGAGAGGGACTAAAGGACGGATAAGTCTAAGAAGTGAGTGACGAGAACGAGTTCCAGTTTGGCACTCTTCTATCTCCTTCCATGGACACTTCATTTTGGATTCGCAATTGGTGGGAACTTTCGACTATTTCTATTTTTTGTCTCTCCGACATCTCTATCCTTGGGCTGAACTCCCTTACAACATTCACACCATTCACACGCGCTCAGATATAGACCACAAAAATGCTGCAACCTTGTACCCTGGCTCTTTCTTTGAAAGCCTGGCAGCTGTAAACTAATAAACCGATACCATAATAGCGACCATTGACATTCAGCCACTACCTTTGTTCTATTGGGATCTTTTCAATTAGAGAAGAGGCATCATATTTGAAAGTGCCTGATGTCAGTGCGAAAAAAATGGTGGCAAAGGCAAACTGTACACAACCTACGACTGCCTACCGCCTACCGACTACCAACTATGCTACACGCCTTCAAAGGCTGAACCCACAAACACACACACACAAGACACGCCCGAGGAAAGCAATTCTCCCTCATAAAAATTATGCCATTCATGCATCTAGCATCTACAACGACAGCAACAACAACAAAAAATACACCCTCCAAAGCCCCGACGGACTTGTTTCAAGGAGTGTCAAGATCGAATGTGCATGCATCTAATAATTGCCTTTGCGTGTTTTTTTTTCGAAGGTCTCTGTTTGTTTGCGTTGTGGCTGTTGGTTGTAGAATGTGCCCAATTGTTGGGCGATCCGCAATAACTATCCTTCCCCAACCCCCTTGCACTTTCGTGGTGATGTGCCTTTTTTTTTTTTTTTTTTTTTTTTTTGGCTATGCAGCTCGTTGATAATGAACAGAGTCTTCTAATTGTAAATGATGTGTCTCTTTCATTCTTCGTGTCTTCTTTCCCCGTCTCCTTGCATCAAATAGGTACATGTACCTTTCCCACCCACTCTTTCTCTACCGTCTCTCTTCCCCGCGGACCAATAGCTCCCTCAATTTTTGTGCTATGCCACCCATTCGTCTTCCTCCCAAGCCAAGCAAGCCCTTCTCCCTAAACTAAAATTGAGAGAGGGGTCTTCCAAGACGTGAGCAAGGAGTGACCTATAATTGCTCACTTTACTAAAGTAATGTCACCAGTTCTTCCTCTCCAACGCATGCTAATGCCTCGTTCGATGCCATGTACCCACGAGACAGACTTGTTTTTTTTGGCTGCAATTTGCATGGGAGAGGGATGGGTCGCTAGGGAACCTCACCTCCTGAACCATGCCATGCCCAATCCCCCCCCTTCTTCCTTCAAACTCGCCTCTCTTTTCTCTCTCTTATTCGTGCCAATATACAACAGATACACAGACACACGCATTACAGTATTTTTTACGCCATACAGAAGAAAATATGAGCTATGTTGGACAGTACCTTCTTGAGGTTGAAAAAAAGGGTGCCAACAAAATGGGATGAAACGTTTTCTTTTCAACGGCTAATTTTTTTTTCTTCCGCCTTCCTTCCCCTCCTTGCAGCAGCAGCACGAAAATAAAAGAGCGAATTCAATCCTTGGAAGAAAGTGAAGGAGGGGGATGCCAAAGGGGATTGAAAAGAAACAAAAAAATGCACACACTAAATAGTAGCCTTTTTTATCGCATATCATCTTGGAAAGAGAGGACTCATTTATTCATCGCGTTATGTCTTTTCCTTTACAATAGTTTTGGATCCACAGAGAGCCACCGACTCTGGTGCACTGCCTTCGTGTTTTGTTGTTATTATGATTATATTTTAGGACGCGCTAGGGTAGACGGGAATAAACAACTGGAGAAGGGGGCTGGGGGGGATAAAAAACGCGTTTCGAGGGGTGTGCATGTGTGTATTAAATGGTAATGGCTGGAAGCAAAAAGGGCAAGCGTCCTTGAGAATAGCCCGTATTCCCTCCCCCCCCCCCCCCCCCGCCCCCTGGATCAGCACAAACTATTATCCGATTGAACAAGCCAATAAATTGAGGCAGCTCATTTTCAGGGGGTGGGATAAAGATACGAATGCGAGATATGTTAGGATAGTGGATGCATTGTGGATGAGGGGAGTTAAGAGTAAACAGCTATTTTCCCTTCCACTCAAACAACTCAATCACCTCTATTTTTTTTTGTTAGATTTTTTTCCTTGTGCCTCTGTGCATTTTGAGGAACCTTCCAAAACCGTATTCACACTCCTGCATGCAGCTACAATGTATTCCGCGTGTTCTTCATACCTGGCAACGCCAAATACACACTCGGCGCAACAGCAAACACATGCCATCAACAACAAAAATTAATAGCATCAAATGGCGAGAAAAAAGTAAGAAAACAACAAACGAATTAGAAAAAAAAAACAATAAAGCATAGCAGCAACCACTCTCAGGATTCTCCTAACAAAAAGAGAAAAAGGAAAAAAAAAAAATGACGACCGAGTGCGATTCAGGGTGACCTATTGTAGAACTCACTGACTCGTGTCCGTTATTTTTATAGGTTCCTGAATGCCTTTTGTTTTCTCGCCTCTATTGCCTTGAGAATACCTTTCCCAACAGAGTTCTTTTCAACAATAATCTGCCCTACAATAGAAACGTTTTTCTGTTTGTTCACCCACTTTCATGCAAATCGCCTGTAAGATACCAATAAGAAGACGATAATCCGGCACGGGCATGATTGTATGTTAACTTGCATCCGAACACCTCCTATTGATCCTATTGTACACTCTCGAAGATATGAATCCGATTGATCGCTCACGCATGCTTGAAACAATAAGAAACACCCAAACCACACAATGCAAGATGAACGCACTGATTGATAAAACGTGGATCTTGTTTTGCATGTGTGACCTAGGGAAAAAAACGCGTCTTTCTTTTTGTGCCTTTTGAGAGCTCCAGATTCACATCAGATGTCGCCATCTTTTTTTCTCTCTTTCTCTCTTTCTTCCTCTCACGCCTACAACTACTTGTCTCTTTGAAGGGGTTCCTATATCTTGATGGTTGCCCAGGATTTCCCCTTCTTCTCGCCTTTGGAAGGAAGAAGGGGGCAAGAGGCGCATAGAAGATGATCCAAATTAGGAAGCGAACAAAAAAAGAAAAAGAAAAAGAAAAAGAAAGGGATGCCTTGCATTCATCCACTACTGCTTTCCTCCTCCTTCCCTCCACTCTACTCTGTCTTCACATTCGAAAGGAAAAAAAAGAACTGAATGGCTACATTCCTCCCGATCGATTTGCCCCTCACCTGTCCATTCCCGCTTCTCCCTTCCCTCCCTCCCTTCCCTCCCTCCCGTCGTTGACCAAACATCTCTCATCTTATTCTCCATTATCTCGCGGGAGACAGGCGGGAGCGTAGACAGAAACAAAGACAAAGAGAGAGAGAGGCTCGAGTTTCAAGTACGCCCAAGAAGATAAGGCAGACGTTCAAGTCAACTATCCGAAAGAGAGAGGGAAAGAAATAAGGGCGCTAATCACCCTGTCCGGTCTAGCTAAGTCAGTCAACATTGCGCGTCTGTCACCCTTGAATTATTTTTCTTTTGCGTGTGGGTTTGTTGTGTGTCTCTCTCTCTCTCTTTTTTGTCCGCGTTATATGCACGTTGATTTCGTCGTTGAGCATTGCATCGCATAGAGAATGTTACAACCCAATCCGCGAAACAAGAGGAGACAGAGGCAGAGGCAGTGAGGACAGAGACAAGAGGACAGGGGAAAAAAAAGACAAAAAATGTATATCGAACGTAGGACTTACGAGGAGACAGATGCATCCTTCTCGCTATTCACTGTGCGAGAGGAGTAAACGAGAGAGAGAGAGAGAGAGAAAGGACCGGGGAAGACAAAAAAGAAGCTATAGCGGGAGTGATAGACAATTGACGAGCACACCTTGAATATACCTCCTCTTCCTCTTCCTCCCCTTCCTCCTTCTCCTCTTCCATATTTGTTGTTGAGTGTTTGAGCCCAATCAAAGAGTACCCAGGAGAGAAGAGAGAAAGCAAAATAAAGTTGATTGAAGGAGGGAATGGATGGGGTGGGATAGAGGAGAAGGAGCTGGACAGAGAAGAAGGAGCCGGACAAAACACTATAACGCATGGCCTACCACCTATCTAAAAGGGAACCCGTTCACAGACGGGACCAGGGTCAATGCTCTCCTTGTGCCGGCCACTTCTGCTTAAAACTAAATTGGTCCTAATTGCAAAAGCAGGGGAGAGAGAGAGAGAGGGAGAGAGAGCGAGAGGAAAAGAGAGGAAACAAGTCTTCATGTTTGTCGTTCCTCAATCGTGCCCTCCCACGCTCACCCTCTTTCTCTCGTTGGCGTTGATAATTTCCTACACTCTCCCTACCCCTCTCTCATTCTCTCCCCCAGAAAGAGCCGAGGGCAGGTTATCATTTTCCTCCAATTCTGGGTCCTCAACGCGACGATCGGTCTCTTTTTATTCATTCTCTTACCTATACCGCCTAGTGAAGCAGACTAGCACAATCAACTTCTTAGTCTAGGCCTAAACAAACACTCCGTCTCCTCTGGTTTTTTTTTTGTCTTTTCTTGTTTGAATGAATTGTCAGATAGCAGCACGGATGATAAACAATGCCCTGCCACGGATGTTTATTTGTGTTGTTTTGTCAAATGTCGAAAATATGGTTTTTGGATGCAGTGGATGCAAGTGGGGAGTGAATGAGATGAGGGAGAAAGGGATTTGCATGAAAAATGCTCCAGAGGGCCGTTGTCCAACTAAAAACTTGCAACAGAAACAGTTGGCGGAGCACATACAGACAAACAAACAAGCAAGGCAAGGCAAGAACACTCACAAACAAACAGGAAGCCAAGAACAACAACTAAAAAAGCAACCAAGAAACAAACAATCAAGCCAAGCTAAAGCTACCTCAGGCATGACATCCATCTTTTTTTTGTCTCTGTAAGGATTGTTAGGCATTGTCAATTAAGATAGCAAGGCATGTCTCACTCATATAATTACATGCTTTTTGGGGGGCTCCATTCCAAGCCATCTTTACGCCCATAGTCTAGAAGGGTAGTCATTTAC